GAATTTGCTACTCCGCTAACGTCACACAGCTAGCTGCAGAGACTTGGCTGCTTAGCTGTAAGGCTTAGCTAATCTGGCTAGGTTGCCGCAAGGCTAGCTATCCTACCGGCTGTTTTTTTCTATCTGGAAGGGTAGAATTACTAGTTCGCTCTCTCGTTTAGCTCAACTGACTAACGGCGTTGACTAGACCAACCGTCCTAGCGTTACTGCTTATCGGTCGGGAGCCACGCTTTTGTTTGTCGCAGGACCAACATAGTGCTAGCTTTCTTTGGCTAACTGTGCTAATCCACGTGGCAAACACTAGCTACATTTCACTTTGTGAATAACGGATAAGCTGTTTTTTGGAGCCATGGAACCTGCTAGCTCGGTCCAGGGGCACCAAGCAAGGCCCCAGCACCAGCACTCCCATGGCTATGTGGGGCGATCATTTTGGGCAAAGACACACACTCCCTGTGTGTCATCAGCCTGGGTGTTGAACACACGGAAGCAGTGTTCGACGACCCCCAGTCAAGCATCCAATGCAGGGTTTTTGCTGCTAACACCCTCCGCCGGAGAGTGCGCAGAGCAGACCAACGTGTTTCGTTTCCCACTCTTAACTGATTGCATTGTGTGTATGATTGTTTTGTGTGTATGATTGTGTATATTTGTTTTTTTATGATGAACGTGTATATTAAGTTATTTTATTGTATAGATATGTACTGTGTATTTTTTTATGTACAGGGCTCACCTCTAAAAGAGACTTTGTCAGCGTGACTTCCCTGTCAAAAGAAAGCTTAAATAAAATTAATTTAAAAATCAAGCGGGGAGACTGCCTCACAGACCCAGCCCTCATGGGCCGATGTCTTGGATGGCTACCCCGAGGATTTTCGCCTACTTTTCCAGGGCTTGGCCCCAGAGGAGGGGGAAGGGGAAGGACCCTTGTTATTGATGAGGACGATGGCGGTGGTATGACCGACCTCCTTCAGGCAGTGGGGCGTCAATGGCGGATGACAGATATTTGCTCATTGACGTCTGCAAACAGGCAGCGACCAGACTCAATATTGAGTGGCCAGAACCCGTGGGGGGGTGGCAACGCAGAGAAGGACTGGTACGACGGGAGGAAACTCCCCTTGCGCACCGTCCCAAGCAAATAACTTCTCCCAGCCATCCCGTCTTGCATGGCGGAAGCCAAACGCAATTGGGATAAACCTTTGACTGGCGACCTTGCCTGACTTTTTGTCAACATGAATGTCAAGGACATGGAGGAGCTGGGCCTCGACAAACCACCAGTGGTCGAGCAGTCACTGGCCAACCACCTCAACCCTAGTGCCTCGTCAATGACAGGCACTTCTCTCCCTGGTAAGGCGGACCGAGTCTATCTTCCAAAATGTCTACGTGTCTGCCGCACATTCTGTACGGGCGTTGAACGTTATGTCCCTACTACTGGCTTACCAGGCCGATTTGATGTTGAAGATGCACAATATCCTATCGATTGGCAATCCTAATCCAGAACTTTGGGATGAGATATGTGTCGTCACAGACCTCAACCTCCGAGCCATGAGCCTTGCAGTGGTAGGGGAGAGAGCCCTGTGGCTCAACCTGTCCAGCCTGTCGGACAAATAGAGAGCAGGTTTCCCTGACGCTCCTGTTATGCTGAAGGAACTGTTTGGGCCGGCTGTCTCCGCCATGCGGCAGAATTTGCGAACTTTGAAAAAAGGAGGGCGAAGCCTTCAACTTCTGTATGTCCCATAGACCTGGGAATCGTGGCTACCCGGCTTACCCCTCCACAGGCCAGGACCTTGTGGCAGGGAGAGGGCAACTGCTGGCAGCAGGGCTTTTATGTGGGAGGCCCTCAGCAACGCAGTGGTTATCGACCCCACAGTTCGGATCCCCCAACAGGGGCCGACAGTGGGGAAAACAGTCCTTCGCTGCAGCCGCATCGAGGTCCTGCCCATTTGATTCCCCTGCGGGGACGAAAGAGAGCCCGACCTAGGGGCACGCCCCCTGCGGCAGAGAGGGGCAGCCAACAGTTCAATCAATCAATCAATCCAATTTTATTTATAAAGCCCTTTTTACATCAGCAGATGTCACAAAGTGTAATGCAGAAACCCAGCCTAAAACCCCAAACAGCAAGCAATGCAGATGTAGAAGCACGGTGGCTAGGACAAACTTCCTAGAAAGGCAGAAACCTAGGAAGAAACCTAGAGAGGAACCAGGCTCTGAGGGGTGGCCAGTCACCTTCTGGCTGTGCCGGGTAGAGATTATAACAGTACATGGCCATTAAGGCCACATTTTTCTCCAAGATGTTCAAATGTTCATAGATGACCAGCAGGGTCAAATAATAATCACAGTGGTTGTAGAGGTTGCAACAGGTCAGTACATCAGGAGTAAATGTCACTTTGCTTTTCATAGCCAGGCATTTAGAGGTTGAAATATTAGGTGCGGTAGAGAGAGAGAGTTGAAAACAGCAGGTCTGGGTCAAGGTAGCACGTCCGGTGAACAGGTCAGGGTTCCATAGCTGCAGGCAGAATGGTGGAAACTGGAGAGGCAGCACGACCAGGTGGACTGGGGACAGCAAGGAGTAATCAGGCCAGGTAGTCCTTAGGCATGGTCCTAGGACTCAGGTCCTCCGGGATCGGAGGGAGAGAGGTTATCTGGCCTGCCTGCCTCTCAGGTGGAGCACAGTCGACCTACAGGATGCTTATTTTCAGATAAGCACCCTACCAGCACACATATTTCTGAGGTTTGCTTTTCAAGGCACAGCCTACAAATATCTTACTCTCCCATCCGGGCTAGCGCTAGCTCACCGAACGTTCAGCAAGTGTGTCGAGGCAACACTCCCACCCCTGAGAAACAAGGGGCTGAGAGTCTCCACCTACATAGACGATTACCTGCTTTTCTCCCTGTCCCAGGAGCAAGCGGTACGAGACACAACTTCCCTTTTAGCCCACCTCTCCGAGTTAGGGTTCAAGATCAATAAAAAAAGAGCTGTTTGGTGCCAACACAGAGAAAAGAATGCCTAGGCGTAATTATAGATTCTCTCTCTTATCAGGGCGTGCTTCCGAGTGCTGGGGTTGATTGCGTCCACCATCTCAGTAATACCTCTTGGGCTACTGAGGATGAGAGACTTCCAGCGCTGGCTGTTTGCCCAACGCCTGTGTATATGGCGTCACCTCAATCGCCAGATAGAGGTGACTTACGCATGTCTCTTGGCTCTCCGTCACTGGAAGATCAGCTTCATTTGTGTTCCTGGCACTCCCCTAGGGGTAGTGGCAACGAGGAAAGTGGTAACGACAGATGCGTCACTAACGGGCTGGGGCGTTGTTCACAAGGGAGATACAATAAATGGTGTATGGACCCACAAATCCACATTGCTCACATAATATACCTTCAGAATTGTCACGTTTTGATCAGAACGGACAATACGACTGTAGTGGTGTACATAAACCGCCAGGGTGGCACTGCGCTTACACAGATTATCCGTCAGGATTATTCTGTGGAGCAGAGCACACCTAGCTGTCCATACGCACCACTCATGTCCCAGGCGTACTAAACGTAAGTGCAAGCTTATTGCCCAGGGGGAATCCCCATCTAAGGGACTGGAGACTCCTTCCCCAAGTGGTGAAACAGATCTGCTTACTTACGTGTCCTTTTCCAACAATTCAGAGTTAAGACAAAGATAAAAATTCAATAAATTGAAATAGTTACACAAGGAATAAATGACTGACGAATAACTAACGAATAGCAATATCGAGTAAAAGTAACATGGCTGTGTACAGGGAGTACCAGTACTGAGTCGATGTGCAGGGGTACGAGGTAATTGAGTTAGCTATGTACTGTACATATAGGTAGAGGTAAAGTGACTTGCGTAACCCCTGTTCTCTAATATTATGAGTGAGACATTATGACCACATTCCCATACTCGCAAGATTGTGAGGAAGTTCGTCATGCTCGAGAATGATCAGAGGGCAGGCGGGTGGCTCTTTAGTATTAGAGGAGGGGCTCACTCATACGCCACTCGACCTGTCTGTCTCTGACAGACGTGTATGATTGGTTCTTCAAGCTACTTAGGCGATTCTGGTGAATTCCACTAGTGAGATGTCTCACTCTTAATATCAGAGAACCGGGGTTACGGAAGTTTCTCTCCACTCAGCAACCAGCTGTTTGAGCTGCGCGCTCTCGCTGCCCGACAGGTGATATTCCAGTCAAACTATTGGCTCTTTCTGTGGCACATGTGTGATAAATGTAATACAGCAAAAAAACATGTGCCAATTTAATTCCACTACATTATTCAAATTAACCTATAATCCGTTAATCATGACCGTTACATTTCTTTCAGCGGCTAACCGACTAGTTATAGTGCTCCTCATTCTTGGAATGACCTCCAGGATATATAACAGCTGGATAGATTAGACCTGGTTTCATTAGGTCACTTTAAGACTTTAATACAGGACATATTCATTGTGGACTGCACTTGTAAAATATAATAATTCTGCTCTGTATATAATTTCTGTTGTGTATGTAATTTTATATGTTTGAACTGTTTGGAATGTTGATTGTTGTAACACAGGGCACCATTGAAAAACAGACTGCTCTCAACTGGGATTCCCTGTATAAATAATGTTTAAAACAAAAAGAAAACCAGCCCTATATGTCTTTGTAATTAAAACATGTGCTCTTGTCTGAAGCGGAGGACATCCCTGAGCTGCTGAGCTCTTCCAGCCTGTTCTCCATGCTCCTCCCCCTCATCTTGGCCTACATCGGCCCTGTGGCTGCCTCAGCACCCAAGGTGAGATGTGGTAAAAATATATCTGAAATTGGTTTTTACTGCTGTATCTAGTCAAAGGTCCCCAATGTGAGAGTAAGGAGTTTTTTTTTTTTTTTCTAGATGAAGCACATTGATCCAGCCTAGCACTCTTTTTGAAGCTAGCTTTTTATTGTTTATAAATGGTCAAAGCAAACCCAAAACAACTGTCAATAATCACACAAAAAATGGGGGTGCTTTCTTGGGGTGACATGACTCAGATCTGGACCATCTCCACATTGAGCTCTGGACACAGCTCTTTGAGGAACCTTTCCAGGAGGATATAAAGTAGATGCTTGTTGGCACTGGTCTCCTGAAGTGTGTTGAAGACTTTGATGCTGCCATATCTGCCGTTATGCTGTCCCACCCTGTTCTGTAGTGCATCTGGAATGTTGTTGAGTAGCTTCTGTTGGGCTCTCTCCAATGAGTGTTTTCCGAACCCTCTTGAACATGCCTCTGTGCTCAAAGATCTCCCCTATGAGAATAAATCAGGGTTCTGCGTCCCTCTTTTTTCAAGGACAGGAAAAAGTTGGTCATCTTCCTGTGCAGTGCCTGTAACTCTGAGCTACCTGGTTATGCTATTCTGGCTGTTCTGGAAGTCATACCTTTACAGGAGGCTCACATTGATGAAGTAGCATGGCATCTGCTCCCCATTCTCCTCAGCCCCCCCTGGTGATGAGGGTCCTCCAGTACCCCAGGTTCTAACACCACCAGTACGGCAAATGCGCAGCTGCAAGTCGCTGTGCTCCTTCTCCATGGCCCCTATCTCCTCATTCAGCTTATGCATGTCCTGGTTATCGGGCTTGGGGTCATTATGGATGGAGCCCAGGACCTGGCATTTACACTACAGGCCTTCACGTGTCCAAAAAGTTGGACCCGTTCCGAAATGGACCTGGGGCTTTCCCACCTAGACCCGATATGCATAAATCATTTTTTTTAAATATAGAGACCGTTCCAAATGCACCCGAGGACAACTAGACCCGTTCTGTATAGACCTGGTCGGATCCAGACCCGTTCCGATCAGAGTGATGGAAGCAGCAGAAAATTACATTTTTTAAGCTACTTTATAGAAGTCTTCACAGATCCAAAAAGTTGGACCCGTTTCGAAATGGACCTCAGGCTTTCCCACCCGCACCCAAAATGCATAAATATATACAGATTAATATAGAAACCTGTTCCGAATGAACCCGAGGACAACTAGACCCCTTCCGTATAGACCTGGTCGGACCCAGACCCAGTCCGGTCCAATCCGAGTGAGGGAAGCAGCAGAAAAGTTCATTTTTAAGCTACATTATTAACCAGAACTGATCAAGCATGAGGGAGAGAGAGGTTGCCGCTCTAGCAGGGGCAGTTCTGCGGGAGAGACGGCAACCAACCAAGGCGACTCGCGCTATAGTAGATAGCTGCCACAGCTGTTATTTATCATCCAATATGATTATGTCGTACATTGCTTAATTTGTAAATCAGGAGATGCCGGAACAAAAAGTGAGCGCGAGAGGGGTGTGACCTGGGGAGCTCTGAGGTACAGGAACACATACATAAAAAATAAAAAAAAGTTACAATAAAGAATTGCATGCATATCGCATTTGCATAGAGCAGTAGAGTGCTTACAGAAGTTGCACACATGGGGGAAAGATTTTAGTAGCCTAGGAACATTTTGCCTTTTATAAACGCATTTCATTGCAATTCTAATCATTTTACATGACTGTAGACTTTGGTAGAATATTTTTTGATCGCAATGACAGGCTACTTTGACACTGACAAACTGAGAATCTGAGATCAATAAAAACGACCTTGTCTTGAATCTATCAATAGCCTAGACTTAGGTGTGTGGAGGCGCACATATTGTAGGCTACAATATGAGGAGGAAATATAGTCCTAAAAATGCTTTCCAGCTTCACTGACTCACCCAAATATGCGCAGCTCACTTGCCGGTGATGGCCGATGCATTCGTGCCAAAAGCCTATCTCTGTTATTTTATTTGTAAAACAATATTTGGAAGTTGAACAAATATTTTGGTAGCCCACAGCATACATATTAGTCTTCTCTTTTCGGCAGGAGCCATTTGCCTTCCAACCTGTGTTTTCCCGCAATTCAAATCAAATGTATTTATAAAGCCCTTTTTACATCAGCAGATGTCACAAAGTGCTTATTCAGAAACCCAGCCTAAAAACCCAAAAAGCAAGCAATGCAGATATAGAAAACCACTATCCTTAGAATGTTGCGTCACTTGCTGGACGCTGGTAAATGCTTAAACATAGATTATCATTGCATTATAAAGTGAATACAGGACAGGATTTTAAATTATTTGATCACCATTTCCTGAGGGTCCGTTTCCTGATGAAGACCCTCAGTCGGTGCTGCACACTTATTTTCACACAGAAATATGTCATTAAGACTAACTCAGTCAAAACAGACAATATTGAAGCATAAACATTGTTTGCTACCCCTGTTGACATCAGCGGTGTGTCCAACTTTGCGGATGTATTAGCAATGAACAGATAAAAAATATATTTCGAATTTTCAGAAAAACAATTGTATTTGAAAAATTTTGAAAAGGGCTGTTTTGTCTGCATGGTTCATTTACAAATTTTCTCTGATTTTCCCCACTGTAGGGTTTTGCCTTTTTATTGGGCTACAACAATCCAAGTAGTCAATTTTTTTAAAGAAGCCGTTGATCCTCTGTGGCTAAATTATAGGCCTTCTCGTGGTGTAGTAGGCTATTCTGAATTATTTCATTTCTTTCTGAACAGACAGCAGTAATTCTGTAACTCTGAGCTACCTGGTTATGCTATTCTGGCTGTTCTGGAAGTCATACCTTTACAGGAGGCTCACATTGATGAAGTAGCATGGCATCTGCTCCCCATTCTCCTCAGCCCCCCCTGGTGATGAGGGTCCTCCAGTACCCCAGGTTCTAACACCACCAGTACGGCAAATGCGCAGCTGCAAGTCGCTGTGCTCCTTCTCCATGGCCCCTATCTCCTCATTCAGCTTATGCATGTCCTGGTTATCGGGCTTGGGGTCATTATGGATGGAGCCCAGGACCTGGCATTTACACTACAGGCCTTCACGTGTCCAAAAAGTTGGACCCGTTCCGAAATGGACCTGGGGCTTTCCCACCTAGACCCGATATGCATAAATCATTTTTTTTAAATATAGAGACCGTTCCAAATGCACCCGAGGACAACTAGACCCGTTCTGTATAGACCTGGTCGGATCCAGACCCGTTCCGATCAGAGTGATGGAAGCAGCAGAAAATTACATTTTTTAAGCTACTTTATAGAAGTCTTCACAGATCCAAAAAGTTGGACCCGTTTCGAAATGGACCTCAGGCTTTCCCACCCGCACCCAAAATGCATAAATATATACAGATTAATATAGAAACCTGTTCCGAATGAACCCGAGGACAACTAGACCCCTTCCGTATAGACCTGGTCGGACCCAGACCCAGTCCGGTCCAATCCGAGTGAGGGAAGCAGCAGAAAAGTTCATTTTTAAGCTACATTATTAACCAGAACTGATCAAGCATGAGGGAGAGAGAGGTTGCCGCTCTAGCAGGGGCAGTTCTGCGGGAGAGACGGCAACCAACCAAGGCGACTCGCGCTATAGTAGATAGCTGCCACAGCTGTTATTTATCATCCAATATGATTATGTCGTACATTGCTTAATTTGTAAATCAGGAGATGCCGGAACAAAAAGTGAGCGCGAGAGGGGTGTGACCTGGGGAGCTCTGAGGTACAGGAACACATACATAAAAAATAAAAAAAAGTTACAATAAAGAATTGCATGCATATCGCATTTGCATAGAGCAGTAGAGTGCTTACAGAAGTTGCACACATGGGGGAAAGATTTTAGTAGCCTAGGAACATTTTGCCTTTTATAAACGCATTTCATTGCAATTCTAATCATTTTACATGACTGTAGACTTTGGTAGAATATTTTTTGATCGCAATGACAGGCTACTTTGACACTGACAAACTGAGAATCTGAGATCAATAAAAACGACCTTGTCTTGAATCTATCAATAGCCTAGACTTAGGTGTGTGGAGGCGCACATATTGTAGGCTACAATATGAGGAGGAAATATAGTCCTAAAAATGCTTTCCAGCTTCACTGACTCACCCAAATATGCGCAGCTCACTTGCCGGTGATGGCCGATGCATTCGTGCCAAAAGCCTATCTCTGTTATTTTATTTGTAAAACAATATTTGGAAGTTGAACAAATATTTTGGTAGCCCACAGCATACATATTAGTCTTCTCTTTTCGGCAGGAGCCATTTGCCTTCCAACCTGTGTTTTCCCGCAATTCAAATCAAATGTATTTATAAAGCCCTTTTTACATCAGCAGATGTCACAAAGTGCTTATTCAGAAACCCAGCCTAAAAACCCAAAAAGCAAGCAATGCAGATATAGAAAACCACTATCCTTAGAATGTTGCGTCACTTGCTGGACGCTGGTAAATGCTTAAACATAGATTATCATTGCATTATAAAGTGAATACAGGACAGGATTTTAAATTATTTGATCACCATTTCCTGAGGGTCCGTTTCCTGATGAAGACCCTCAGTCGGTGCTGCACACTTATTTTCACACAGAAATATGTCATTAAGACTAACTCAGTCAAAACAGACAATATTGAAGCATAAACATTGTTTGCTACCCCTGTTGACATCAGCGGTGTGTCCAACTTTGCGGATGTATTAGCAATGAACAGATAAAAAATATATTTCTGAATTACTAGAATAACAATTGTATTTGAAATATTGTGAAAGGTCTGTTTTGTCTGCATGCTGTTCATTGACAGATTTGCTCTGATTTCCCGACTGTAGGTTATGCCTTGTTATTGGGCTACACACAATCCACAGCTAGTCAATTTTTTTAAAGAAGCCGTTGATCCTCTGTGGCTAAATTATAGGCCTTCTCGTGGTGTAGTAGGCTATTCTGAATTATTTCATTTCTTTCTGAACAGACAGCAGTAATTCTGTAACTTTGGCATATTTTATTTCAAATTGTTAGGGGTGCTGCAGCTACTTATATAAGGAAATATTTATAAAATATAAATGTTTTTTCTTTTTTTCCCCCACCTTTAACCAGGTAAGCCAGTTGAGAACAAGTTCTCATTTACAACTGCGACCTGGCCAAGATAAAGCAAAGCAGTGCGATAAAAACAACAACAACAAAGAGTTACATATGGGATAAACAAAATGTACAGTCAATAACACAATAGAAAATCTATATACAGTGTGTGCAAATGTAGTAAGTTATGGAGTTAAGGCAATAAATAGGCCATAGTGCAAAATAATTACAATTTATTATTAACACTGAAATGATAGATGTGCAGAAGATGATGTGCAAATAGAGATACTGGGGTGCAAATGAGCAAAATAAATCACAATATGGGGATGAGGTAGTTGGGTGGGCTAATTTACAGATGGGCTGTGTACAGGTACAGTGATCGGTAAGCTGCTCTGACAACTGATGCTTAAAGTTAGTGAGGGAGATAAGAGTCTCCAGCTTCAGAGATTTTTGCAGTTCGTTCCAGTCATTGGCAGCAGAGAACTGGAAGGAATGGCGGCCAAAGGAGGTGTTGGCTTTGGGGATGACCAGTGAGATAGTATATGTGGCTTTGGTGACAAAACGGATGGCACTGTGATAGACTACATCCAATTTGCTGAGTAGAGTGTTGGAAGCTATTTTGTAAATGACATCGCCGAAGTCAAGGATCGGTAGGATAGTCAGTTTTACGAGGGCATGTTTGGCAGCATGAGTGAAGGAGGCTTTGTTGCGAAATAGGAAGCCAATTCTAGATTTAACTTTGGATTGGAGATGCTTAATGTGAGTCTGGAAGGAGAGTTTACGGTCTAACCAGACACCTAGGTATTTGTAGTTGTTCACATATTCTAAGTCAGACCCGCCGAGAGTAGTGATTCTAGTCGGGCGGGCGGGTGCAATCAGCGTTCGATTGAAGAGCATGCATTTAGTTTTACTAGCGTTTAAGAGCAGTTGGAGGTTTGTATGGCATTGAAGCTCGTTTGGAGGTTTGTTAACACAGTGTCCAATGAAGGGCCAGATGTATACAAAATTGTGTCGTCTGCGTAGAGGTGGATCTGAGGGTCACCAGCAGCAAGAGCGACATCATTGATATACACAGAGAATAGAGTCGGCCCGAGAATTTAACCCTGTGGCACCCCCATAGAGACTGCCAGACAACAGGCCCTCCGATTTGACACATTGAACTCTATCTGAGAAGTAGTTGGTGAACCTGGCGAGGCAGTCATTTGAGAAACCAAGGCTATTTAGTCTGCCAATAAGAATGTGGTGATTGACGGAGTCGAGTGCCTTGGTTAGGTCGATGAAGACCTGGCCGGGGGGGGGGGGGGTGGCATGGGCAAGTTGCAGCGGAGGGTGCAGAGCTGGTGGCCGGGGTAGCCAGGTGGAAAGCATGGCCAGCCATAGCAAAATGCTTGTTGAAATGTTCGATTATCGTAGATTTATCGGTAGTGACAGTGTTTCCTAGCCTCAGTGCAATGGGCAGCTGGGAGGAGGTGCTCTTATTCTCCATGGACTTTAGTGTCCCAAAACTTTTTGGAGTTAGTGCTACAGGATGCAAATTTCTGTTTGAAAAAGTTAGCCTTTGCTTTCCTAACTGATTGTGTATATTGGTTCCTGACTTCCCTGAAAAGTTGCATATCGCGGGGGCTGTTTGATGCTAATGCCGTACGCCACAGGATGTTTTTGTGCTGGTCAAGGGCAGTCAAGTCTGGGGTGAACCAGGGGCTATATCTGTTCTTAGTTCTGAATTTTTTGAATGGGGCATGCTTATTTAAGATGGAGAGGAACACACTTTTAAAGAACAACCAGGCATCCTCTACTGACGGAATGAGGTCAATATCCATCCAGGATACCCTGGCCAGGTCAATTAGAAAGGTAGTGATGAGGGGTGGTCGTTTGACCGCGGACCCATTATGGACGCAGGCAATGAGGCAGTGATCGCTGAGATCCTGGTTGAAGACAGCGGAGGTGTATTTGGAGGGTAAATTAGTCAGGATGATATCTATGAGGGTGCCCATGTTAACGGATTTAGGGTTGTTCCTTGATAATTTGTGTGGGATTGAGGGCATCTAGTTTAGATTGGTGGATGGCCGGGGTGTTAAGCATATCCCAGTTTAGGTCACCAAGCAATACGAACTCTGAGGATAGATGGGGGGCAATCAATTCACATATGGTGTCCAGGGCACAGCTGGGGGCTGAGGTGGGTCTGTAGCAAGCGGCAACAGTGAGAGACGTATTTCTGGAAAGGTGGATTTTTAGAAGTAGAAGCTCAAACTGTTTGGGCACAGACCTGGATAGTATGATAGAGCTCTGCAGGCTATCTCTACTGTAGATTGCAACTCCGCCCCCTTTGGCCTTCCTAAGCCAGGATTCAGACACTGCTAGAACATCAGGGTTGGCGGAGTGTGCTAATGCAGTGAATAACTCAAATTTAGGGAGGAGGCTTCTGATGTTAACATGCAAGAAACCAATGCTTTTGCGGTTACAGAAGTCAACAAATGATAGCGCCTGGGGAGTAGGTGATACTGGGGGCTACAGGGCCTGGGTTAACCTCTACATCAACAGAGGAGGAATAGAATAAGGATACGGCTAACGGCTTTAAGAACTGGTCTTCTAGTGCGTTGGGTACAGAGAATAAAAGGGGCAGATTGCCGGGCGTTGTAGAAAAGATTCAGCGCATTATGTACAGACAAGGATATGGAAGGATATGAGTACAGTGGAGGTAAACCTAAGCGTTGGGTAACGATGAAAGAGAGAGCATCACTGGAGACACCGATTGAGCCGGTCTCCGCGTGTGTGGGTGGTGGGACAAAGGAACTATCTGAGGCAGGTTGAGCGGCACTGGGGGCTCTACAGTGAAAAAGTACAGTAATAACTAACCGTATCAGCAATAGGCAAGGCATATTGACATGGGAGAGAGGCATAAAGCAATCACAGGTGTTATTTGAGAGAGCTAAGACAACAGCTGGTAATGGCGACGAAAGTTTGAGCTGAGGCTAAACAGATAAACAGGATGGGGTACCGTATAAAGGAACAGTCCAGCAGGCATCAGCTGTGTAGCTGAGTGATCATAAGGTCCAGTGAACAGCAATAGGTGAGTCTGGGAGCAGTTCAGTGGCTGCCATGGTACAGGCGAGCGTGAGGCACGGCTGTTGATTGCGTGTGCTAGCGGGCTGGGGCTAGCAGATGGATCTTAGTGGTCGTCGCAACGAGAAGCCTGTTGAAACCACATCAAATGATTACGTCGGCAGACCAGTCGTGATAGATCGGCGGGGCTCCGTGTCAACACTAGGAGGTCCCGTCCGGTTGACAGAGAGGTAGATAGCCGGGAGATGGGCCTGGCTCGAGGCTAGCTCAATGCTAACTGGGGCTTGCTAATGGACAGTGGTGATTAGCCAACAACAACAACAGCCATTCGGTTGCAGCTAGCTAGTTGCGATGATCCGGTGTTAAGGTCCAGTGATTCCGGCAGAAAATCCGATATGCTATTGCTCTATAGCGCGATGTGCAGACTGGCCGATAATTGTCCAGGCTAGAGCTGGCTGGTAGGTAGTGTAGGCCACGGACAATGGTGAAGACCGCTAACGGTGGCTAATAGCAAGTAGCTAGTTAGCAAGCTAGCTGGCTAGTTTCAGCCAGATGTTCTAGATACGAAGGTATAAAGAAATAATAGAATCCGTTCCACATTTGGTGAGGCGGGTTGCAGGAAAATATATTTAGTTAAAGGATGGAAAGCGAGATTGAGAAATATATATATATTTTTTTAATTGCTATTTACATGAGGACACTACAGAAAACACGACCGCACTGCTACGCCATCTTGGATTTATGAGCAATGCTGGAGAGATGAGAGTTGCAGGTTCATGTCTATCAGAGCAGAGAGAGGGAGAGAGATCATATAAAGTTAATCTCTAGTTCTGTGAGAGATACAGGCGTGCTTCTCACACAGCCACGGCCATGCGTTGGTCTCAAACATAGGTTACAATGTTGCGCAAACCATAAGCCCGGCCCAATCTGAATTAACTCTTAAAATATCAGGCCTAGGCTGAAAATCTACTTTTTCATATTACGTTTTTGGGGGGACAGAAAATTTTATGAAGAGGCAACTTGAAGGAACTTTGATCGCTTTTATTCAAATGTTTACGTTGCAAAAAGTAAAAATAATTTTTCATGCCATGAGCAGCATGAAAAATTAAGCACTGACTGCATCAAACCGGGAGAAGCTAGCCAGCTAGATAGCTAGGCTAATTAAGGCTGCATGTGCTTGCTTGTCCTACACAGTTACAAATAACAACTCCATTCAGAATATTAAGTAGCAGCCTACCTGTTGACCTATCATTCTCCTTTAACTTTTAATTCCGTCATTTTATTACCGTCTTCCATTGATTAGATACTGTATCTCCTCACTTTTGCCACACACGCAGGCTCTATGACTGTAGCCTATTGCCGCTTTGATGACTTATGATTGGCCAACAACAATCTACACGTGCCACTCGTGCAAAGCAAGAGCAGCAGCATAAATTATACAATTTCTCTCTTGTTCTACTGCGCAGCAGTCTCGTTCGCATCTGTACGGGTCCTTCCGGACAAGTCAGTTAAAATTACACGTACCCGAGACCCGTGACAATCATATCAGACCAACCCAGACCCGTGCCATTATTTAGAATTTTCCATCCAGACCCGCTCTGGTCTTGGTGTACAGGTGGATCCGTGAAGACTTGTAGTTTACACTCCAGTTTGTCGTAGAGCTCATGCAGCTTGATGGCAGCGTAGCTGGTCTGCTCGTTGATGCCTTTTTTGCCCTCATCCAGCACCTCTTCCCCAACTTCTGTGGCCCGGCACCCTTCGCCCTTGTCCTCGCTGCTGGACTGGGAGCTACTGCGCTGCTCCTCTCATTTGGTGCGCTTCTCATAAAGTTTGCTGACCAGGAAGGATGGGTAGTGGTGTTCCTTCATGGTCTCGTACGCGTCACCCTGGATGCGTTTGAACACGTCCTTGTTCCCCACCTGCATCAACAATAGCTCCTTGTCCAGAGCCTCTCCCATAGGAATCTCCTGGCTCTCCACAAATAAGTTATGGTAGCTCTCCCCCACCAGCTGGGTGACTTTGTTAGTCTCGAGCATCTCCACTATCTCCCAAAAGCTGATAAGTGCTGTCTTTTCCACACTCTGTCCACACAGAAGTGCTCACAGAACCAAGGTCTGACATGATCATAACAAATGTCAGGATCCTCTGGCTCTCATTTGTGGTTCCCTCCTGCTGCTAATAGTTGGGCCCTCCCAAGAGGCAGATGCGTCTCTCACGCTGCTACTTGGCCACGCTCAGTTGGTTGACGTAGCGCTTCATGTTGTGTGCTCTGACCACCTCTGCCTTCATGGCCGCAGTCTCCTTCCCTTTGCCGTCTTTCTGCTTCTTCGGGTGGGACAAGCTGCTTATAGTGGTTGCCTGAAAGCTGTAGCATTAGCAATGTATTTCAAAAGGAGACGATTCACGAATGCGGAAATTCTGGAGATTTTTGTAAATTCTGACAATGATTCTGAGTATGGCAGTGAGGAATCAGATTCTGACAGTGACAGTGAGGAGCTGCACCCTAACCTTGTGGTCATTGATAACCCTCAATCTGTGGACCCCTTGCACACTGATGAATTCCCAGGTCACTCGGAAGATGCTGGTGGTGATGGAGGCAGACCAACAATGGGTAAAGTACTAGAGGTCTGCGGTAGCTGGAAGTCCACCAGCCATTTCACCCCTCCTGGAACTGCTGTTGGCTTTGATGAGTCCCAGTCTGGAGTGTAAAGCCCCTTGCCATCTCCCTCTGAGGCGGAGTGCTTCAAGATGTTTCTGACAGAGGAGCTGGTGGAAGACATAGTGGAAGAGACCAATCGCTATGCGTTGGCGCTACAGGAGTAGAGAGAGCCACAGGAAAGGCTGGACCATCTGACGGGAGAGAGAAAGATCAAACCAGATTGTGTGCTTGACTAAAATAGTAAAATGTGGGCAGTGGATAAGTTGGACATGATAAATAGCTTTGTGGTATAATAAGATATTTTTCCATCTGATCGACACTGCTGTCCTCAATGGCCACATAGTTCACCGCCAGCTAACAAATGAGATGATTACTGAACAAGTTTTGCAATTATATTGACAGTATATCACTCACCTCCCCACTCCCTCATCCTCCCTAATCCCTCTCCAAACACAATGTTGCTAGCATACAAAACCTGTCCTCGAAAGAAAGATGTCCAGTTATGATGTTGGTAAGTTATGTTCCAACAGGATATTAAATCCTTTCAGTCTGGGAAAAACCTCAGGGCTTCATGACATACCGGTAGAGGTATATCTAGCCTTTTTTGATATACTCAAAGCTCCATTATTAGCTTGTTTTAACTACTCCTATAGAAATGGTAGTCTGTCAGGTACTCAGCAGGAAGGTCTGATTTCACTATTATTAAAACAAGACCCAGATGGCAAATATAACCCTGTCTATCTAAAAAACTGGAGGCCTCTTACACTTCAATGTTTTGATGCAAAAATACTAGCGAAATGCATAGCACTCAGAATTAAAAAGGTTTTACCGGGTATTGTTCATCCTGATCAGACAGGTTTTTTACATTGACAATACATTGGAGATAATATATGACAACTACTAGAAATAATAAAACAACATGAAACATCTAAGAAGTCAGGCTTGGTATTTATAACGGATTTTGAAAAGGCCTTTGATAAAGTAAGTCTGTATTTTATTTATAAATGCCTAGACTTTTTAAATTTCGGTGAGTCTCTTATAAAATGGGTAAAAGTAATGTATAGCAACCCCAGGTGTAAAATAGTAAATAGCGAATTGTCAAGGGGAGTTTAACAAGGGTGTCTTCTGTCACCATATCTATTCGTTATGGCCATTGAAATGCTAGCTGTTTAAATCAGATCAAATAACAACATTAGATGATTAGAAATCCAAGGCTTAAAAACAAAGGTGTCCGTGTATGCCGATGACTCAAGTTTTATATTAAGTCCGCAAGCTAGATCCCTGTAATGTCTCATTGAAGATAACTTTTCTGGACTCTCTGGACTAAAACCTAATTATGATAAATGTACAATATTACTTATTGGATCTTTAAAAAATCTAACCTTTACATTACCCTGCAGTTTATCTATAAAATGGGCTGATGGTGAAGTAGACACACTTGGTATTCATATCACAAAATATATAAATGAGCTCTCCACAATTAATTTCAATAGAAAATTAGTAAAAATAGACACAATCCTGCAACATTGGAGAGGTAAATACCTGTATATTTGTGAAAAAATTTCACTGATTAACTCCTTAGTCATATCTCAGTTTGCTCACTTACTTATGGCGCTGCCTACTCCTGATGATTTGTCTTTCAAATCATGTGAGCAAAACATATTTAACTTTATCTGGGATGCTAAACCAGACAATATAAAGCATGCCTATCTATATAATGAATATGAACTGGGTGGGTTGAGATTATTAAATATAAAAGCACTAAACCCCTCTCTAAAAGCTTCACTTATACTAAAGTTTTATTTTAACCCTAAATGGTTCTCAAGTAGATTACTAAGAAATGCTTATCCATTTAAAAATTGCCTTTTTGGAGGAGGCAGGTGGCAGAGAGAGGAGGTAGGGAACTGGTCTGTCTGACCAATATAAAGGATCAAAACTGGCTGAGGAATAAAAATAGCATAAATAGGAAAGTATACCAGTTTCATTTGAGGACCAGGATGTTAACAGCTGTGCCATAGAGATTGCAAAATAGTTGGGAAGAGATTTTTGATGTACCGATTGCAGTGTATGAGTTGATATATAAAACGACGCAAGATTCAAGACTTCGTGCTTTTCTGCTAAAATTATTGTGCAGAATTCTTGTCACCAACAACATTTTGAATATTTGGGGCATACAGTCATCGCAGCTCTGCAGATTTTGTTGTGAGGATACAGAATCAATAGACCATTTGTTTTGGTATTGCCCTCAGGTAGCATAACATTAATCTAAATTTGACCCTAGAAATAGCATTGTTGGGAGATCTAGAGAGACCTGGTCAGTCTATTGCTAATACTCTTAGTAAAATTATTTATCTTCAACTCGCAATCTGTGGATTCTATTCGATTAAATAGATTCAAATTGTATGTTAAACATCACAGCATAGTTGAAAGATATGGTGTGTAGAAATCCGAGGAGGGTGGCCAGCAGAGATAGGTGGGATGGGCTGAGGGTTGGAGTTGGAGTGGGAGTGGAGTTGCTGGGCGGAGGATAGAATGATGGTCAAAGATAAAAGTAAAAAAATAAAGTCAAAATAAAACAAAACAAAAAGTATGTTTGAGTGACACTGAGGGTCAACGTTGTTACATCTAATGCTTGTTTGCCTGAGGCTGATACCACGCAGGTGTTTGTACGCATGTACACATGCATATGCACACACTCTCATTAAACGCACACACGTGCACATACACGTAAATAGTGCTATACATGCACTCAAATGTATTCAGTTGGTCTTGCTGTTATGATTGTTGTTGTCCTTGATGTCTTTAGTTTTTTGCATTGTTTTCAGTTTTTCTTTGTCTTTCCCTTTTTTCATTTTTTTTTTCATTTTGTTGGTGCATTGGGGGGGTGATCATGGAGGGCTGGTAGCCTGGCGGTTGGGAGCTTGGGCCGGTGGCTGATAGGTCGCTGGTTTGGGTCCCCGTTTTTGACCTTGTGGGAGCTCTGTCGACGTGCCCTTGAGCAGGACGTTGACCCTGGTTGCTTCTGTGCGTCGCTTTGGATAGGAGTCTGTTAGATTACTGAATGTAATGTGAATGTTGAGCGACTTCACTGCAAGTAGATTGTATGTTGTAATATTAAATAAAAAAAGTTATGTTCCATACTGTGTGTGTGTGTGGTTTCTGAAAGTACACAATAAAGAGGAAGTATTAGTAGTTAGAATAAAATATCAGCATATAGCAATAAAACAATATTACAGTGAAGTAACATAATAACTGAAGAGCTCAAGGGCTCTCCAAAGGGGCAGGGCAGAGCTATGCTAAACAGGCCAAATGAATACACAGGCCAATGCAATGATAAGGCCAGGGCAGCTTCAAAGTATACAACACAGTTTAATACTTATTTGACACCATTAGCATTAGCATTGTTTTACAGACCTAATAGAACAATTTAACTACATAAGCACAATTGAGTATAACACCATAAAGGTTATGAAATCAGTGCCTCGCGTGTCCGCGGTTAAAAAACTATACACATAGAATATGTTATGCTCCATACATAAATACGGTGTGCTACAGTAGAAATTACATAACACGATATACAGAAACTGTATTATGACAAGGTAATACGGCACTTACTTTGATAAGAACGCACACAGTAATTATTAGTAAGGAACGCGAAAATGAAAGCAATGTGGCCGCCAGCCGGAAAATGCGCCATGGGGAAAAAGTTTGAGCAGGTTCTGTTCTGACTGGAGATGTGCAAATGTCTGCATACTTGACCTGAGGAAACACTACAGTCATCGCAGCTCTGTCTATGGGCTCTCATCGAAGAGAGAAGTATGTCCGGCTCGTCTAGCTAATCCTCACCTTACAATAGCATAGCATGCCTCAAACATAAATTGTCCGCCATAATGAAATGGACTACTTCTGTGTGAATTAACACACCTCATTTCAAACTGTAGAAAATCATGTATAATTGATCAGTTGAAACATAGCCTATAGATAATTAGCAGGCAGCGTACCTTGGTTTGAAGGCAGGGTGGGTTAACTGACTTTTGCATAACAATACCATTTTGGAACTGTGATGGAATTTTTACACCACGCACATAAGAAAACTGGTGGGACAGCTAGAGATATTTGGAACTCACACGTGAAAAGGTTAATCTTCCTCTAAGGGGAAAATACCCACTGGAATCAGAAAACCCTCGAATCCAAGAAGACTGTCATAATATTCACTAAATTGGAAAGTGGCTCACCATTAGAAGCCCACTGAATAAGAAAGCCATAAATAAACAAAAATATGCAAATATATATATTACATGAAAGTAAAATCTTCATAAAAATGTATGAAAAAAGGTTACGCCAACACCAGTGATGTAGTGTAGACTAAACCTGTATCGATGCAGTTTACTCACCATTTTATTTTATGAATAGCGATTATGCACTTATAATGCAAAAGTAGCTCTCTTTTTTTCATGAATGTTTACTGGTCTCCTGTCTATTTTTCCTTTCTTACCACCAATCGTTTTACCACTATATCCCTGGCTATCATGAATAAAGTTTTGCCTTTGATAACTCTTAAAATTATAATTTGAAAGGGGGAGAGCGAGAGATTCAGGTGCCCATTACTATTACCCCTATGTGTTTAGATGTAAATGTGATTAAAGATCATACACAGTGGGTCAACTTCCTGCTTACAGATATCAATAACATCTAAGTCTACCTTTAAAGTGAAACGGAACCAGTGTGATTAATTTGATCATATTTGTTCCCCATCAGGCCGCAGTGGAAGTCTTTGGTCTGGTCCAGGAGTTACTTCCTGCTGTCTCCGCTTTGAACCAGAAGTATGCGCAACTGGCTTTCAACCCCAACCAATCAACAGACAGCACCATGGGCAACCAGCTGGAGCAGGGCCTATCGGCATGCACCACCTCCAGTCACTATGCTGTGATAGAGAGTGACCACCCTTACAAACAGGCCGGAGTCACACAGTATAAGGTAAAGCACGCACACAAACACACACACACACACACACACACACACACACACAGTGAAGTGGGACTGTTCCCAACATAGGAATTCTTAGTCAAGGGTAAAGAAAAGTATATATCAAGCAGAACTGGACGTATTATATTAACCAGAATGTGTATTTGTTTATTTGGATCCCCATTAGCTTTTGCAGAAGCATCAGCTACTCTTCCTACCATAACTGTTTCATGGCTTTAACCATCTTCTCCCCCTTCACACCTCAGGTGTCATTCCCGGACTGCGTGCGGTGGACCACGATCGAGTTTGACCCCCAGTGTGGCATGGCCCAGCCAGAGGATGTCCTCCGCCTGCTCATCCCCAGCCATTCACTCCACCTGTCCAGCCTGAGCACCAAGCCCCTGGTCCACGACACCATCAACACCTGGGTGGAGCTCAAGAAGATCTCCGGCTCCAATGGCTGGCCCACCACTGTCCTAGTGCTGCCAGGTAAGATAAAAGCGGTCCAACGCTTCACCTCCTCTCTGATGAAACACTTTGATGAAACGCCTCCATATTTTTAGATGAATAATTATTGTTCTGTGGCGCATCCTGATCGGGCAAAACTAGTTGTAATTACCGGTACTTAATTTCAAACAGATATGCCCGCTGGGTGAGGGTGTTTTGTTTCAGTAGGAAGGCATTTAATGTGACTAGCTAAGTCAAATGACACGCAAGGAAACAAATCATCTGAACCAATCAAAGGTTATGTTATTGATCGGGGCAGCTCAATCTCTTCATTGGACAGCTCTGCTAAACCACTTGCCACAGCTACATTAATTAATCTCAGGTGACCTACAATAAAGTAGTCCCCCTGTCCTCCCTGCTGACAATATGACAGCATCACCCTTCTGTTCTTCCTCTGGGATTCCAGGAAACGGGGCCCTGTTCTCCTTGGAAACGGCCTCTGACTACGTAAAAGACGAGAAGGCCTGTTTCTACGGCTTCAAGTGTGTTGCCGTGGGATACGAATTCAACCCTGGACCAGATGAGGTAAGGGGGAACTATCTTTTGCTATGTTAAAGGGGTAGTTTACCCAAAAACAAGATTTACCCGCTTTTCCTATTCTTGTACTGTCATTTGTTGTCAAAAGCAATGTTTTTACAACTAATGATACCTTTGTGTGTGTGTGTGTGTGTGTGTGTGTGTGTGTGTGTGTGTGTGTGCGTGCGTGCGTGTATGTTTCAGGGTATTATCCAGCTGGAGAAGGAGTTGGCATACTTGGGCAGTGTGTGTGCTGCTGCTCTCATGAAGAAGGATCTGGCTCTTCCTATTGGTGAGGGAGATCATAGGAGAACATAGAACATGATAGAACCGATGGGGAACTGATATTGAACATATACTGTATCAACTCATATTCTTTCAAAACAAGTACCAGGTGCTTATTATTGAAGTTGCAGTCAAATATATTTGCACCTTTACACTTTACAATGGAGTGCAATGGAGCAAAATGTTCTGTTTGCTCTTTTCAAGACGGGTTAATAATTTTGTCCAGGCCATTTTGTGACTTTGAAGTGAAAATTCAAAATGTCTGTTTTTTCTTGGTCCTGTGCAGTTGTAAATCACACAAATACACTTGTGAACACCAAACGTTTTTTCAATTTCATCTTATTTTAGAAGAAATAGTGCCAATATATTTGACCACAACTGTGTATGTGTGTGTATGATTATAATTTGCACTAAATAGCATATCATATTTTATACTCTGTACTTTTTTTCCAGGGAATGAACTTGAAGAGGACCTTGAGATTCTTGAAGATGCCTCTCTCCAGGTATTCTGATGCCATTTAACTTTTTCATAATCACATTGTGACATAACTAAAGCTGTCAAGTGTGTAACCATGAGGTATGAAAAAGATGGCCAGCACTCACAAACGTATTATCATCAAGCCTCCGTCAGCATGTAACAATGACATACTTCCGTCTCCACCCCCACTCCTTCCCCTCCCCCCTCTCCCCCCAGGTGTGTAAGGCCCACTCAGGTATCCTGGGCAAGGGGCTGGCCCTGTCCCACTCCCCCACCATCCTGGAGGCTCTGGAGGGCAACCTGCCCCTGCACCTGCAGACCAACGAGCACTCCTTCCTTGAGGACTTCATCACCTGCGTGCAGAACTCCAGCGGAGGACGCTTGGCCAGGTGAGAGAGTTGGAGAGGGCATGTAGACATAAACACATAGGCACATTCACACATGCTCACGTACACACACACACACTGCTGTGAAACAAAGCTCAGCTCATGGCCAAGTAAGCTGTGAAGAACAGTTATGAAAACTCTCACTGCTTTGTAAATTTATTTGCCTCTTGGCCCGGTTGTAAATAAATAGATTAATTAAGAAATGTCCCCCCCCTCCCCTCTCCCCCCTCTAGGTGGCTGCAACCAGACTCATACGCGGACCCCCATAAGACGTCTCTGATCCTGAACAAGGACGACATCCGCTGCGGCTGGCCCAGAACAGTGGCCGTCCAGACCAAAGACCAGTACGGAGACGTGGTGCATGTGCCCAACATGAAGGTCAGGGTTTTGAATTGTTCTATTCTTACTTCACGTCATAAAAAGCCTACATCGTCACATGATTGTTTGTAGTGACAGTTTAGACCCGAAACATACACTTATGTTTGCCGCACACTACCTATTCAGACTGTTAGCTAACCTGACATTCAGACTGGCTACCAAGTCACTGAAATTTGCGTTAACTTGGGACATTTTCAACTCTGGTCACAAGCTCTCTAGTTGCCGACCATTAAGTCGCTGAGTGTCCCCTTGTGTGCATATAAAATGACTGGTCGCTGGTAGCTAGATCACTGATAGCCTCACCAGATTTAAACCCACTGTAATGATATCAGATTTTCATGGTGAACATAAAATCTATAGAATATGTTAGCTAACATTTGCGAACTGTACACCTTGTTGAACACATCCCATGTCTCTTGCTCTCCTCTCCCCCAGGTGGAGGTGAAGGCGGTGCCCGTCTCCCAGAAGAAGTCCATGCAGCAGGAGTGCATGAGGAAGCGGCAGCGTCTCCCAGGCAGCGCCAACCCCTCCTCCTCGTGCACTGCTGACCTGACCTTCGGGGGCCTGCCCATGCCCAAGCTGGACGCCACATACGAGCCCATGATCATCAAGGAGGCGCGCTACATCGCCATCACAATGATGAAGGTTGGGCAACCATAAACCTGTGACCTTAGAGATAATACAGATTTCTTTAGATGTTTAGATTAAAATAATGTTTTATCTTTATGCATTGGACTGAAATTAATTGATCAGCTTGTATGTGAAGAATACTGGTTTGTTTTCTACCTGGGCCCTCGTTCACCTCCCTCCACAGATCTTATAGATCTGGATGGGAAAGCAACATGGCAGAACCTAGGTGAAGCTGTTGCTCACCAGACCCGTGTTTCCTTGTGAAATGATAGAGAAATAGTTTTTTTGTTTTTTTTGTGTAACCTACCTGTATTATGTTTTTGACACCATGCTTATCCTCTCTTTTCCAGGCCTATGAGAATTACTCATTCGAGGAGCTTCGCTTTGCTTCGCCCACTCCAAAGAGGTAATAGATGAGAAAGTTCAATCAAGTGCAGCAAAAGTAATTGAATGAAAACAAACACATTTACATTTTAGTCATTTAGCAGACGCTCTTATCCAGAGCGACTTACAGTAGTGAGTGCATACATTTTCGTACACTATTTGAACCTAGGTTTGATGACAAATGAGAAATGAGGGGGAAGCAGGTCTGTTCATTTGGATTTAAACGTTTTCATCCCTGTGTTTCTCCCCCGCCAGGCCCAGTGAGAACATGTTGATCCGGGCCAACACAGACGGGACCTACAGCGCTAACTGGACCCCCGGGGCTGTGGGCCTCTACACCATCCATGTCACCATCGACAGCATCGAGATCGGTAAACCAGACCAGGGTTGGGGTCACTTCTATTTATATTCAGTCATTTCATTGTAATAAGTGAACAGAAATTCAATTTCCAATTTCCATTTCCTCTATTGAAATTGGACTAGAGAGTTCAAGTCAGGTCAACATAACTTGTGTCAATGTGTAATTTCAGAGTTTCTGTTAATTGAAAGTTTGGCACTCCAAAAAATGTACGTTGGTATTGTGTTAGATTAGAGCAAATAAATGTGTTAGTTAGTTTAATGTATTAAACATAAATTAATTGTTAATATAAATTAAAGTTATATGTTAGCTGAGTGTGGACTATGTGTGTGTTTAACCCACTAGATGCTGGTCTGGAGGTGGAGGTGAAAGACCCTCCTAAAGGCATGATCCCACCTGGCACACAGATGGTTAAACCCAAGGCAGAGCCCCAACCTAGCAAGGTGAGACCGACACACCTGACCACACACACACCTGAGAACACACACTCATCTGAGAACAGACACGTGCCCAAACCAAAGAACCTGAAAACACACCGTCACAGCCAGTAGTGCCTGTTGCGTGTTCATTTACTGTTTGTATTGGGTCCTCTGTTGTTTACTCCAGCTGTTGCTGTCAGTGTCTGGGTGGAATCTATAGGATCATTTATTTCACGTCTTGTTCACTCTCATTCTAATTAGTGCTTATCTGTGTGGACATTTATAATGAAGAAAATTGCAACATGAGGAGTGTTGTATGTTTAATGCAGTGATTATTTTCCACTGTCACAAACCATGTTCTATATCATTGTTTTTGGGGCTGACTATTATTAAACAGAAAATGGGGAAACAAACAACAAACTGCACATTTCCAATCAGCTCTTTGTATCCCCCTTCTGAACTTGTGTACAGTGGATCATATCCAACACCATCAGAGAACTGGGTGGATGGTAGGGTTTCATATTGTTTGAATATATTTATTATTTATTTAACCAGGGAAGTCCCATTGAGACTAACAACTCTGTTTCAAGTCAACCCTGGTTTTGGACTGGCCAACAAGCAGTGTTCCGAATGGAGTACTTCTACGCTTTCTCCCACTATTTTGCAGTGTGGGCGTGCCTGTGTGTGTGTGTGTGTGTGTGTGTGTGTGTGTGTATGTGATTGTCTCTTCAGTGTGTGTGTTTGTCCTCTTCCCCTCTGCTGCCACTTTTTTTTCTCTTTCCCCTCCTGAGGTTCCTGCAGCTCAATGTCTACCTGTCTCTCCTCTGCTTCTCTCAGGTCCGCATATTTGTGTCCAAGGACAGTGCAGGCCTCCGTGTGCGTAGTCACCCCTCCCTGCAGAGCGAACAGATAGGCATAGTGCAAGTCGATGGCACCATCACTTTCATTGATGAGGTAAACTGCTCTAGACCAGGCGATTTGATCATGTTGTAGCATTACTCTTTATTTTCTTTCAACTTGTATTTGTTTGTTTTTAATTTTAATTAATTAGGACTGAATCCTAATTTGAGATCCAAGTGTATAACCTTAACCTTTTACACTCATGGGAATTGGCCTATACAGTGAGGGGGAAAAAGTATTTGATCCTCTGCTGATTTTGTACGTTTGCCCACTGACAAAGACATGATCAGTCTATAATTTTAATGGTAGGTTTATTTGAACAGTGAGAGACAGAATAACAACAACAAAATCCAGAAAAACGCATGTCAAATATGTTATAAATTGGTTTGCATTTTAATGAGGGAAATAAGTATTTGACCCCTCTGCAAAACATGACTTAGTACTTGGTGGCAAAATCCTTGCTGGCAATCACAAAGGTCAAACGTTTCTTGTAATTGGCCAACAAGTTTGCGCACATCTCAGGAGGGATTTTGTTCCACTCCTTTTGCAGATCTTCTCCAAGTCATTAAGGTTTTGAGGCTGACGTTTGGCAACTCGAACCTTCAGCTCCCTCCACAGATTTTCTATGGGATTAAAGTCTGGAGACTGGCTAGGCCACTCCAGGACCTTAACGTGCTTCTTCTTGAGCCTCTCCTTTGTTGCCTTGGCCGTGTGTTTTGGGTCATTGTCATGCTGGAATACCCATCCACGACCCATTTTCAATGCCCTGGCTGAGGGAAGGAGGTTCTCACCCAAGATTTGACGGTACAAGGCCCCGTCCATCGTCCCTTTGAAGCGGTGAAGTTGGGGGGCGGAGCTAGCATGTTGGAGTGAACGGCTGTGTGTGAGAGGCTCCCGCAACTTTTTTGCGAAATAATCTAACCTAACTTACTTTATTGCACTTGTTACAACAAACTTTTCTTTCTAATACAATATTGTAACTTTCTATGTGAAAATGCCTAGTAATAAGCGACCAAAGGACAATAAATCCACATCAGAGGCCTACTCCCCACCAAACAACGAGACAAACATGGCGGAAGGCACAGGTAACAACGTGACACTTACAGAACTTACCCGGGCTTTGGGAGAACTACGTGTTGCTATAGCGGAGGATCTTAAGGCTACTATTGCTGAACTGGACACTAAAATCGAGAGCACCATTCGAACGGTCGCTTCGCAGGGCCAGAGTATTGTGGACCTTGAGAAAGCTTCAGAATTCAACGCTGGTAGGATCGACGAGTTAGAGAAACTATGCACGTCATTGCAGGATAATGTGCAGAAGCTTTCTGTGAAAGTGATCGACCTGGAGGGCAGATCCAGGCGTCATAACCTTCGCGTGGTGGGTCTGGCAGAAGGGGTGGAGGCGGGCTCTCGCCCAACCGACTTCTTCGCCAAGCTACTGAAGGATGCAATGGGACCGGATGTTTTGGCGTCGGATCCCCTACTGGACCGTGCACACCGCGCCCTTGTCCCAGTGCCTGGACCGGGCCAGCGTCCTCGCCCAGTAATCATCTGTTGTCACAGTTTCAAGACCAAGGATCTTATCCTGCGCGAGGCTCGAATGAGGGGCAACCTGTTACATAAAGGGCACCCCTTTCGTGTCTATGAGGACTATGCGCCCGATGTGGCAAAGCACCGCGCTGGCTACAGAGATGTCATGACCAAACTCTACAAACTCCATCTTCGCCCAGCCTTGCTCTTCCCTGCAAGACTAAGAATTACCCCGCCTTCCGGGGAGAAGATCTGGCTCTCCTCGGTTCTGGACGCAGAGAAGTTTGTCCGGGAATATACACCAATCCCCCGTACAGGTTAGAGTGCCTTGTCATTGTGTGTTAAGGTCTGCTCACGGACTCGAATCCATACCATACCATAACGGGTGAAACCGTATTCAACGGTCTCAGCAAGGGCTACCGAACATGTAATACGATGTGCTGACCAATGGAGGGTGGTCAGAGCTCTCACTTAACGTTAATTTCACTTTCATTCCGACTGGGTTTAGAGCGATGCCTGTTTGGGACGCCTTCCAGGTCGGATCATTGACACTTTCGGATGGATATACTTATATTCCCCTATTTTTGTTTTGTTTCGTTATTTATTTTTCAATTCTTACATTATTCCTGTGCGTACATATAATAATAATTATTTGTACTTTATTATTATTTTCTCTTTAGCATTTTAGTATTATGTATGTGTATATTTTAAATTTGTATAGATTATTATTCTGGGGTATGCATGTTTGTGTATGTAGATGTGTGTGTATGGATGTATGTGTGTATGCGTGTGTATGTATCTGTATATATTTAAGAATATTTATTTTATATGTATATATTTTTTGGGTGTGTGTATGTATGTGTGCGTGTATACGTGTGTATATGTGTGTGTGTGTGTGCGTATATATATACGTATGTGTGTGTGTGTATGTATGTAGGTATGCACATGTATGTATGTATGTATGTATGTGTGTGTGTGGATGTGTATATGTGTATGTGTGCACATATGTATTTTTAATTTTTTTACATTTTTATTTACTTTGTTATTTTTTTGATTGGGGGGTACGTTCAATTTATCAAAATCCTTGTTCCCATCTCCTAACCCACAATATGTAACTGTACTGCTGTCTATGTCGGTTACTGATGGTTTATGTTTAGACCGGTATTGCTTAGCAATAGAATCTTGTGATGTTACATCTTGCTTATCTCAGGGATTGACCCAAGATTAACCTTAAGTGCGCAATATGTTTAAGTTGCAACTTATTCTGTTTAGGTTTATTAGATGCTAATTGAACACTTTAAGTGCGGGAGCCTCCTCAGTTCATATGTTAGTAGAAGTTCTAGGATAGTGAGAGGTGAGCGCATAGTTGGGATTTTATTTGTGTTTTACCTCTTGTTCGAGGTCGCGCCGTGCTTTTTTGGCATCGGCCAGACAATGTGTTTGTTATTTTTATTTTCATATTTTTTTCTGTCCTATGTGTGTATGCCTGTTAAATGTGGGTTGATGGGGGGGGGTAAAGGTTGGGGAAAGTAGGGGAACAGGGTGGAGAGTAAAGGTGCTTGCGGGGGGGGAGGGGTGGGTTGGATACTGCTCGGGTGTAGGTGCTACATATGCTGATCGTGATGGTTTGGTGCGCTTTCTTACCTTTTTAGTGAGTTACAAGTTATGCAGGCCACCATAGGAACTACAAATGAGAGGAGGGCGGGACTTACATTCACTTCCTGGAATGTCAAGGGTTTAAACGAACCAATTAAGAGAGGCAGGGTCCTAGCCCACTTGAAAGCACTTTCGTCTGATATTATATTTTTGCAAGAAACCCATCTGAAAAACAAATCTCATAACAGACTTAAATGTAAGTGGGTGGGACAAGTGTATCACTCTAACTTCTCTGCCAAAACGAGAGGCACAGCGATTCTGGTACGGAAAGGAATTCCCTTTCTACATAAAACCACTATTGTGGATAAAGAGGGTCGTTATGTGATCGTAATAGGAGAGATCCATTCTACTTCTGTAACTCTACTAAATATCTATGGGCCAAACATTGATAACCCCTCTTTTTTCAAAAGAGTCCTTGCCCTGATTCCAGATATCTCCCATACTAATCTGGTCATTGGAGGGGACCTTAACTGTGTACTAGACCAATATTTGGATAGATCCTCTACCCGGCGAACCCCTACCTCCCATTCAAGCGAATTCTTGAATACCTACATAAAAAATTCTAACTTATTTGATATATGGAGGATCTCTAATCCTACGGGTAGGGAATACTCCTTTTACTCTCATGTCCACAATGTATATACTCGAATTGACTACTTTTTGGTTGATGCTAAATTACTCCCCTATACCTGTAATGTGAGATATCATGATATTATAATCTCTGACCACAGTCCACTCACCTTCTCCCTGAGATTGGGTGACATCGTACCAAACGAGAGGGTCTGGAGGTTGAATCCTCAGCTCCTCACAGAACCAACATTCTGTGAACAACTTAAAGACCAAATTACATTTTTCTTTGATACCAACGACAACACAGAGACTTCCCCAGCATTATTGTGGGAAACGCTGAAGGCTTATTTGAGAGGCTGTATCATCTCCTTTCAGACTGCCAGGAGTAGGCAAAACAGAAAAAAATTGGTAGAACTGGAGGGACAAATTCACTTACTGGATAGGGAGAATGCTAGACATCCATCTATGGAGAAACATAAACAAATTATGTCTTTAAAATTTAAATACAATCAGATCCTCTCGGCTAAAATTGCCAAATCTTTTCTCTATGCCAAGCAAAAATATTTTGAGTTTGGTGACAAACCACACAAATTACTCACCAGACAACTTCGAAAAAACGTGAGTGACCGAATGATTCACAAAGTTAAATCTGCATCTGGGGAATTACTCTCCTCCCCCAAAGACATCAATGACAGATTCCGTCAGTTTTATGAGACTCTATATACATCTAAAGCGGATCCTAACCCCTTAATTATGCAAAACTTTTTGGAGGACTGTAATCTTCCTGCCCTGAACCAGGAAGACTCTAACTTCCTGAATAAGGAAATATCTCTTGAAGAAATTAGAGGAACAATTAAATCTCTAAAGAGTGGCAAGACCCCGGGCCCAGATGGATACCCTGGTGAATTCTATAAAACATTCAGCAACATGCTATCTCCCTACCTGCACAAAATGTTGGTTCGGGCCAATGAGGATGGAGCTCTCCCATCTACTTTGGATGAGGCGTTTATTACAGTTATACATAAGAAGGGTAAAGATCCGGAAGAGGTAGGGTCATACAGACCAATATCCCTCCTTAATACAGACCAAAAGATTTTAGCAAAAACTCTGGCTAACAGGCTTAGCACTTTAATTGGCAAATTGGTCCATTCGGACCAGACCGGCTTTATCCCTAATAGAAACTCATTCTTCAATCTCAGGCGCCTCTTCAACATTATGTATTCTCAGAGGTTACCTAACGTGGACCTTGCCGTTATATCTCTTGACGCCGAAAAGGCCTTTGACCAAGTTGAGTGGCCCTATCTATTCAAGGTCCTACAGAAATTTAATATTGGAGATGGGTTCATAAATTGGATCCAGCTTTTATATAGGAACCCCTGTGCGAGAATACTCACTAACCAATCAATGTCGCCCCGATTTAACCTTCACAGAGGGACAAGGCAGGGTTGTGCGCTGTCGCCTATGCTCTTCGCCCTAATTATTGAACCTCTCGCTCAAGCGATCAGATCTAACTCAGCAATACACGGCTATAATACTAAAGATACTCTAAATAAGATTTCCCTATATGCAGATGATATTCTCCTCTATGTAACAGAACCCCAAGCTAGTATTCCAGCTATTCTTGAGGTGATTAATTTGTTTGGTACCTTCTCGGGATACAGAATAAATTGGAACAAGAGTGAATTAATGCCCATACGGTTGCAAAACACCTCCTGGCTAGAACATCTTCCAGTTAAGTTATCTTCAGAAAAATGTATCTACCTTGGAATTGTAGTTACCAAACAATACTCCTCACTATTTAAAGAGAATTTCCCTTCTCTGATGCAAAATCTCAAGGCAAACATACAGTTTTGGAGAACTCTCCCAATTTCTCTGCTCGGAAGAATTAATGCCATTAAAATGGTCTTCCTCCCACAACTGCTCTACCTATACCAGAACATCCCAGTATTCATACCTAAATCATTTCATAAACAACTGGACTCTATTATCAATCCTTTCATCTGGGATTATAAAACACACAGGATAGGTAAAAAACACCTATGTAAATCCAAGATGGAAGGAGGATTGTCTCTCCCAAATTTTATATTTTACTATTGGGCCGCTAACCTCCGCGCTGTTACGTTTTTGCTGGATGACGCAACCCCGCCACCCAGCTGGCTTAGCATGGAGCGGGAGGAGTGTCACCCCTTCTCTATTGGTGCCGTGATTTTGTCACCTGTTAATCTGGAGATGTCACTTTACCATAACAATCCTATTATACATAGCACAGTCCGAATCTGGAAGCAAATTAAAGTCCACTTTGAGCTTAGACCAATATCATTCATGCTCCCTGTTGCCAGGAATCCCTCCTTTGCCCCCTCTAACCTTGATAACACCTTTGAGCGATGGGGAGAGTTGGGGATAAGTACCATAGGGGATTTATATATAGGAGGGACCTTTGCTTCCTTTGAAGCGCTGAGGGAAACTTATAACCTTCCCAGAAGTAACTTTTTCAGATACCTACAAATTAGAGACTATGTTAGAAAACACCTCCCAACATTTGAGAATGCTAAACCTTCCATGTTTGACGGATGCATAAAAATATGCCCCACCTCAGACAAACTGATATCTCGTCTATATGATGCTTTTCAATCTGTTAGCGCACCCTCTACAGATGCCATTAAGGCAAAATGGGAGGAAGAACTAGGGACTGATATTTCGGTGGCAGACTGGGAGGATAGCTTGGAGTATATCCACACCTGCTCCATTAACTCCAGACATCGTCTCATACAATTTAAGGTACTACACAGATTACACTATTCCAAAACTAAACTGCATAGGATATTTCCTGATACATCCCCTATGTGTGATAAATGTCAGGCTGAGCAGGGTACACTACTCCACTGCTTTGCCCTATGCTCTAGTCTGTATGGTTATTGGTGCGGAATATTTGGGGTCCTCTCTGAAGTTCTGGAGACTTCAATAGACCCAGACCCGCTTCTGATAATCCTGGGAGTGTCCGACTCCCTAAACGGATTAACCAACTCCCAAAAACAACTAATCTCTTACAGTCTCATCTCGGCAAAAAAATTAATCTTGTTGTTTTGGAAAAGGAGGGAAGCGCCCTCTACCAAATTATGGCTCAGCGAAGTGGCAAAAACTGTACACTTAGAAAGAATTAGATATATTCTGAACAATAAATTAGCAACATTTGATCAAATCTGGCAGCCTTTCCTCTCTTACCTGGACCAGTCGGTGCTGTGAATTTGTACTTTTTAACGCACTCTCAATTGTCATATTTATATACACCTTTGGGCAGCGTGTGCTGGCCCCGACACTCGAGCAGTCGGGAGGGGAATAGGGTGGAATAGGGGGGGGGGGGGGATAAAGGGGGGTATAAGTGGGGGGGTTACATCTACCCTTTTTCTTTCTACCTGTCCCTGTTCTGTATGTCGTGTTTTGTAATATTTGTTTTATGTCCAGAACTCTGGGTCTTGTTGTTCATGTCTGTTCTCTTATGTTTAGATAAGAACTGTACACATGTCTTTCATACCTATACACCATTCTTGTGTGTGTTCAATAAAAAAATATTTGAACAGAAGCGGTGAAGTTGTCCTGTCCCCTTAGCAGAAAAACACCTCCAAAGCATAATGTTTCTACCTCCATGTTTGACGGTGGGGATGGTGTTCTTGGGGTCATAGGCAGCATTCCTCCTCCTCCAAACACGGCGAGTTGAGTTGATGGCAAAGAGCTCGATTTTGGTCTCATCTGACCACAACACTTTCACCCAGTTCTCCTCTGAATCATTCAGATGTTCATTGGCAAACTTCAGACGGGCCAGTATATGTGTTTTCTTGAGCAGGGGGACCTTGCGGGTGCTGCAGGATTTCAGTCCTTTACGGCGTAGTGTGTTACCAATTGTTTTCTTGGTGACTATGGTCCCAGCTGCCTTGAGATCATTGACAAGATCCTCCCGTGTAGTTTTGGGCTGATTCCTCACCCTTCTCATGATCACTGCAACTCCACAAGGTGAGATCTTGCATGGAGCCCCAGGCCGAGGGAGATTTTGTGTTTCTTCCATTTGCGAATAATCGCACCATCTGTTGACACCTTCTCACCAAGCTGCTTGGCGATGGTCTTGTAGCCCATTCCAGCCTTGTGTAGGTCTACAATATTGTCCCTGACATCCTTGGAGAGCTCTTTGGTCTTGGCCATGGTGGAGAGCTTGGAATCTGATTGATTGATTGCTTCTGTGGACGGGTGTCTTTTATACAGGTAACAAGCTGAGATTAGGAGCACTCCCTTTAAGTGTGCTCCTAATCTCAGCTCGTTACCTGTATAAAAGACACCTGGGAGCCAGAAATCTTTCTGATTGAGAGGGGGTCAAATACTTATTTCCCTCATTAAAATGCAAATAAATTTATAACATTTTTGACATGCGTTTTTCTGGATTTTGTTTTTGTTATTCTGTCTCTCACTGTTCAAATAAACCTACCATTAAAATTATAGACTGATAATTTCTTTGTCAGTGGGCAAATGTACAAAATCAGCAGGTGATCACTGTATGAATAGGGCTAAATTGAAATGTTTCCTACATAAGAAATATGAAAATGCATAAACATGGTTGCAATTGAAAGGGAACAGTTTGTATATTATGGGAAAATTATTAGACCAAAGGTGAGGGCACAACATTTCACCTGACACAAGACTGAATCCAAACATTACAATGTTGATTTTATGTGCATTTTACATTTACTGTATTTTTTGTAACATTTGTTGATAACCAAATCAGAAAATACTCTGGATACATTCAGTAAGATGATAAGAATATTCATGTAAAATGTGGGGTAGGTGCAACATAAGACAAATAAATTACAAGGGTTTGAGTGAGAGGACTAACTGGTGTCTCCAAGTGGCCACACACCTCTCCAAAGTCTGCACAGTTCCTAAGTAATTTCAATGCACTTTTATGACTCGAAGAATCTTCAACTATAACGTGTGTTATTTTTTTTAGCTCTTCTAGCTGTGCCATTGAGGAACTAGAGCAAGCACACTTGTAGTTATTTTGTTTTTGAACACACAACCCTGCATCCCCACCATCACACAATTACTGTTGTTCATGCAATCCAAAAAACGGTCCATTCTAAATTGTAATCTGGGTCAGGTGGGCATCATTTGAAAGCCTGTTCTATTGCCAACATGACTAGCTAAGTTATAAAATACGATAGTATTATTAGGCTTTCACAATGCAATTCAGAGAAACGCATCATAATTTTGGTGCGCACAGAAAGGATTCATGAGTGCATTCAGGTGCGTGTGCCGTGGCGAATTTACTTCATAATAGACAAACATAGGCTCATTCTGTTCAGAACAACCCAGGGTATGACAACATGTCATCTTGTAACTGTACATCGAACATAGTGATCATAAATGTTTACACTAGATATGACATTAGTTTTATGATATGGAAATGTAAAGTGCACATTTGTACTCGCGGGTATTTGACTTGCATGTATGACATCAAAGCGGTATTTATTGTAATCCTCAAAGTCTCATCTTTCTAAATGCATAGTCCTCTTCATTTACAGCATTTCCCTCAATCAGACAATAAACAATGTGCAAATTTGCCCAATTAGTGGGAGGGATGGAGGCAACTCAAGTTCAGAACAGCTGTCAGTCAAAACCCATACAGTGCTGTAAAGTGCAGAGCCAGAGCTCTGACGTCATGTATAGCATGTTACAGTACAGCCACTGCGTTCCAATTCAGGCATTTATCAGTGCCCAAATCTGCCATTTTCATCCTGTATATGGTACGAGTGTAAAGGGTTAATGGTTGCAACATTCCAGAAAAGTTCCTCCTACTTTCTGGAGAGCCTGGGAACGTTGGGAAAGTTTCCAGGATTTTGCAACCCTAACCTCAGACTTTCGCGCAAGTCATGCATTGTGGTCAGTTGGGGATTTGAGTGGAAATTTGAGGTATATGCACAGATCACAAGTCAGGATGAGTCCTTGCAATATACAGTCATGGTCAAAAGTTTTGAGAATGACACAAATACTAATTTTCACAAAGTCTGCTGCCTCAGTTTTGATGATGGCAATTTGCGTATACTCCAGAATGTCATGAAGAGTGATCAGATTAATTGCAATTCGCAATTTGCCATGAAAATGAAGTTAATCCCCCAAAAAACATTTGCACTGCATTTCAGCCCTGCCACAAAAGGACCAGCTGCCATCATGTCAGTGATTCTCTCGTTAACACAGGTGAGAGTGTTGACGAGGACAAGGCTGGAGATCACTCTGCCATGCTGATTGAGTTAGAATAACAGACTGGAAGCTTTAAAAGGAGGGTGATGCTTGAAATCATTGTTCTTCCTCTGTTAACCATGGTTACCTGCAAGGAAACACGTGCCATCATCATTGCTTTGCACAAAAAGGGCTTCACAGGCAAGGATATTGCTGCTAGTAAGATTGCACCTAAATCAACCATTTATCGGATCATCAAGAACTTCAAGGAGGGAGGTTCAATTGTTGTGAAGAAGGCATCAGGGCGCCCAAGAAAGTGCAGAAAGCGCCAGGACCGTCTCCTAAAGTTGATTCAGCTGGGCACCACCAGTGCAGAGCTTGCTCAGGAACGGCAGCAGGCAGGTGTGAGTGCATCTGCACGCACAGTGAGGCGAAGACTTTTGGAGGATGGCCTGATGTCAAGAAGAGCAGCAAAGAAGCCACTTCTCTCCAGGAAAAACATCAGGGACAGACTGATATTCTGCAAAAGGTACAGGGATTGGACTGCTGAGGACTGGGGTAAAGTCATTTTCTCTGCCATAAGGCAAAAGTGATAACTAAGTGGCTCGGGGAACAAAACATCGACATTTTGGGTCCATGGCCAGGAAACTCCCCAGACCTTAATCCCATTGAGAACTTGTGGTCGATCCTCAAGAGGCGGGTGGACAAACAAAAACCCACAAATTCTGACAAACTCCAAGCATTGATTATGCAAGAATAGGCTGCCATCAGTCAGAATGTGGCCCAGAAGTTAATTGACAGCATGCCAGGACGGATTGCAGAGGTCTTGAAAAAGATTGCAAATATTGACTCTTTGCATAAACTTAATGTAATTGTCAATAAAAGCCTTTGACACTAATGGAATGCTTGTAATTATACTTCAGTATTCCATAGTAACAACAATATTTTGTGAAGACCAATACTTGTGTCATTCTCAAAACTTTTGACCACAACTGTACAGAGTAATTTTGTATGACTGTTTTGAGTACAGTAAAACTGTGCAGTGTGTCTACCACTTTCTAGTGATTACTGCTTCTCCTCTGAGCTCACTTATTTGTTACCTTTGCCTTTGTGTTGCTTTATACCCATGCAAGACACACCGAGGCTGCTGCCAAAAAACATAAAAATTAAAGAGAGTCACAGCATTCTGCTCAGTGATGTTACTCTGAGTTTAGTGTGTTTTCACACAACATGACACTCCAAGCATGCTCCATTTATTTTAGGACAGGTTTTAAACCTGGGTTTTACATTGTTTTGCACCACTCAGTATAGGTAACTCCGCCTTCCTTCTTGTTGAATCTGGGTTTCTGGAGCCATTCAGCCCAGTTGACTCCGTTTCCATAGTGACAGGAGGGGGGTATGGCTGTGCTCTCTGCCCTCTGTTGCTTGTTTTCCCATAGATCCACAATGATGATGGTGTTTGGCTCAGGCTGAATGATGAGACAGTAAAGAAGTATGTGCCCAACATGAATGGGTACGCTGAAGCCTGGTGCCTCTCTTTTAACCAGCACGTGGGCAGGAGCCTGCTGATCCCAGCTGACGTAAGTAAAGTGACAATCAGTCAGTCTGTATGATAGCAGGGTAGTCTACCCCCTATGCTGCTCATTTGGGGAAAGCTTCACAGATCATGAGACCCCTCACTACCAGACCTTCACGCAAACTAATGGTAGCATAAGGGCAACGTGCATGCCTTAACTCATGTCTGAGGGGATGAGAAAAAGGTTCACTTTAATGTGACTAGAATGTGTTCGGTTGGACATGGCTTTTGAAAAACACTCACATGATCAGTTAATACATGTTTAATGCATTGAAGGCATCCCCAATGCAGGAATTGACCAAGATAGAAGTAGTAGATGAGCCATTTCAGTGTGTTTAGTTTTAGAGGGTCTTAGCTGTACTGTCTGTGATTATCTTCACCTCTTCCTCATTGCTTTCTTCTCACCCACGCTTCACAAGCAAGACACAAACAACCTCAAAACTCTAAAGGCTGGTTGCTTAAACTCAGATTAAGCCTAGTACTGACCTAAAAAAAGAAAAAATAAAAATGTATTTTTCAATTGAGCATGCTTTGTAGTCCAGGACTAGGCTTAATCTGGGTCCGGGAAACTAGCCCTGTCTAATCAGGGACTTCATGGTTGGATAGATTAGAAAATGTTTACATTAATTAGTTAAAAGGCATTGCCTCTGTATTCACAGTTATTCTGAAAATTAATGGTTTTCTGTCATGAAGCAATCATTGGTCCCCAACACCACTTCAGATGGAAATTGTGCTTCTACCACTCCACAATTCTGCCTATGCATTGGGCTGCTGTGGCTTTTAAGGTTCACAGAGGCTTCTGTGTAAGGGCATTGTCGAAAACAGCATGACACACTACATCCTATGTGTTGAAGATTTTTTGAGAAGATTGTTCTTTTTTAAAGTGATTTTCTGTCTTTTTTTAACTTCAAAATACTTTAAAAATGAAAACAATCTTTGATCAATATGATCGTTTCACCATTGTGGCCGGTAACCCAAAAGTGGGTTAAAAAATTCCACCCCAACCCCTTCCCACCCAAAATAACAAAATGTTCACCATGACACTTCACATGAAGTAAGCTAATATTTGACAGACTTTGTCAGCGTTCAGAATCCTTCACAAGATTTTGCCATTCCTTCACGAATGTGAGGATGAGCAATGACATTGACTAGAATACAGTAGAATACAGTATATACATATGAAATGAGTAAAACAGTATGTGAATGAATCCTCTGCCGTTTCTTGACTTGTACTTACGATTTGTTGCTCAGAGTCTCTTTAACGCTAGCCAAGGAGTCAGGGATATCAGCTTTTTGTCGTGGACCCCCTTAACTATATTCCCACAGGTGAGTTGTCTGAAGGAGAGATGTGTATGGCTTGGCTGCTCTGGTGCTTTTTCATCCATCTGTTATTTCTATATGTCCTATTGAAACCCCTTCCCCCCTGTGAAGTTATATAATTTGAGTTATAGTCGACTTTGCGTTTTGCCGTCAGGGACATGATTTCTTAACCACAGTTGCATCACTTTCTGAATAGTTTAATTTAAGAGCACTGTCATTCTACCTCCATTCCCCTTTAGGAATCAGCTATTAATTTAAGGTCAATTTTTATGCTGTCTGTCCCATGATAACTTTGTTCTCATTTCACTTGAAATTCGAGCCATTGAGGAAAATTGATAACACGTAGATAACATTTGTGTGTTGAATGAGGGTTAATGACATTGACATCAATATGTTACATGTGGCTTTTGTATGAAAATGTAGATGACATATAGCCTACTGTATGTGTCTAGTATTGTGGCCCCCATTTGTAATAGCATGCCTCTCCCCAGTTAGTAGAAGTCTAACCTACCCACACTGCATTTTCCTTTTGGGCATATCATCCACAGTTGAAGTCGGAAGTTTACATACACTTAGGTTGGAGTCATTAAAACTTGTTTTTCAACCACTCCACAAATTTCTTGTTAACAAACTATAGTTTTGGCAAGTCGGTTAGGACATCTACTTTGTGCATGAAACAAGTAATCTTTCCAACAATTGTTTACAGACAGATATATTTCACTTATAATTCACTGTATCACAATTCCAGTGGGTCAGAAGTTTACATACACTAAGTTGACTGTGCCTTTAAACAGCTTGGAAAATTCCAGAAAATTATGTCATGGCTTTAGAAGCTTCTGATAGGCTAATTGACATCATTTGAGTCAATTGGAGGTGTACCTGTGGATGTATTTCAAGACATACCTTCAAACTCAGTGCCTCTTTGCTTGACATCATGGGGAAATCCAAAATGGTACACCTCCACAAGTCTGGTTCATCCTTGGGAGCAATTTCCAAACGCCTAAAGGTACCACGTTCATCTGCACAAACAATAGTACGCAAGTATAAACACCATGGGACCACGCAGCCGTTATACCGCTCAGGAAGGAGACGCGTTCTGTCTCATAGAGATGAACGTACTTTGGTGCGAAAAGTGCAAATCAATCCCAGAACTACAGCAAAGGACCTTGTGAAGATACTGGAGGAAACAGGTACAAAAGTATCTATATCCACAGTAAAGCGAGTTCTATATCGACATAACCTGAAAGGCCGCTCAGCAAGGAAGAAGTCACTGCTCCAAAACTGCCATAAAATAAGACAGACTACGGTTTGCAACTGCACATGGGGACAAAGATTGTACTTTTTGGAGAAATGTCCTCTGGTCTGATGAAACAAAAATGAAACTGTTCGGCCATAATGACCATCGTTATGTTTGGAGGAAAAAGGGGATGCTTGCAAGCCGAAGAACACCATCCCAACCGTGAAGCACGGGGGTGGCAGCATCATGCTGTGGGGGTGCTTTGTTGCAGGAGGGACTGGTGCACTTCACAAAATAGATGGCATCATGAGGAAGGAAAATTATGTGGTCCTCTGTAGCTCAGCTGGTAGAGTACGGCGCTTGTAACGCCAAGGTAGTGGGTTCGATCCCCGGGACCACCCATACACAAAAAATGTATGCACGCATGACTAAGTCGCTTTGGATAAAAGCGTCTGCTAAATGGCATATTATTATTATTATTATTATTATTATTATTTTTATTATTATTGAAGCAGTATCTCAAGACATCAGTTATGAAGTTAAAGCTTGGTCACAAATGGGTCTTCCAAATGGACAATGACCCCAAGCATACTTCCAAAGTTGTGGCAAAATGGCTTAAGGACAACAAAGTCAAGGTATTAGAGTGGCCATCACAAAGCCCTGACCTCAATCCTATAGAACATTTGTGTGGGCAGAACTGAGAAAGTGTGTGCAAGCAAGGAGGCCTACAAACCTGACTCAGTTACACCAGCTCTGTCAGGAGGAATGGGCCAAAATTCACCCAACATATTGTGGGAAGCTTGTGGAAGGCTACCCGAAACGTTTTACCCAAGTTAAACAATTTAAAGGCAATGCTACTAAATACTAATTGAGTGTATGTAAACTTCTGACCCACTGGGAATGTGATGAAAGAAATAAAAGCTGAAATAAATCATTCTCTCTACTATTATTCTGACATTTCACATTCTTTAAAATAAAGTGGTGATCCTAACTGGCCTAAAACAGGGAATTTCTATTAGGATTAAATGTCAGGAATTGTGAAAAATTGAGTTTAAATGTATTTGGCTAAGGTGTATGTAAACTTCCGACTTCAACTGTATGTTAGAGAGACATTAATGCAACAATTTCCTGAATTCATGTAGCATATCAAATCCATAGTATTCCTAGCAATTTGTTTTTAATCTTTAGGTTTACACTGTACTTTTATGGTTGAGTAAATGTACAGTTGAAACATATTTCAAGCCTGTGCAGTATGAAGTGATACATCATTTTTATTTATGCATTTATCATACTTTGTCGTCACACTTTTTGAGAACTTTGTTGTGGCATTCAGGTGTTGTCAATGAAGCCTGTCTTCTTGTCCACTTTATGCCATTAAGGCAGTATCAGCCCAACAACCACCTGTGCACTTGATGCTCACAGGGTGTCCTCGGAAATGTGTTCGTCATTGCTGCAACATTTAAGTGAACATTAGGCTCTAGGTTTGTTAGAGAGAGTGGATCCTACTGGTTTTGTTGAACTGATAGCTCTGTGGACAGTACTGTAAAGCTGTAACAGCTATGCTGGAACTTTGATCATTTGATAATCTTAAACACTGGTCATGCTATATCCCCTCTCATAAGACACACACAGTTATCAGGAATCAGGATGAAACTATGACCTCGCATCAGACAAATCCATTACTACTCTCCCACTGACTGTGGTCCTCTAACCTAACCTAGCCTGATTGGTATTAACGCTAGTCAATTCCCTCTTGCAGGAGGCCAGGGGCCATTTGGAGCAGTGTGTTAAGGAGGTGAGCGCCAGCGGCCGCCCCACCCACGAGGCCCCCTCCATGCGGGAGCAGGGCAGGGCGTGGCAGGGCGGCGGCGGCCCTGGGCTTTATAAGGTAGTGAAGACGGGCCCTTCGGGTCACAACATCAGAAGCTGGCCAAACCTTAGGGGTATCCCCATTGGAATGTTAGTACTTGGGAACAAGGTCAAGGCAGTAGGCGAGGTACGCACTGCCCCCCCCCCACAAAACCCTGAAAATGATAAATGTGTGACTTAAATGACTTATCGTGGCTGCCGTTAAATTATCTATAATATATTATATATATATATTATCTTTTTTTAAATACTTCCAATCAAAGTAGAGTAGAAGAGGGCAACAAAAAATTAGCATAAGATCTACAGAACTAAAAATGGGCATAAGAACTACAGAACAGTAGTTCTAATGCCCGTCTTTTTTGTTGCCCTCCTCTACTTTGCTCTCTCTTTGCTAACACAGACCGAAGTTGCTGTAATGTGTTTCATTTGCTCCCCCTTTTGCTTGTAAATTGGTTGACTTGTTTTGCCTTCAGAAAGTATTTGTTGACTTGTTTTGCCTTCAGAAAGTATTCATACCCCTTGACTTATTCCACATTTTGTTGTGTTACAGCGTGAATTCAAAATTGATTAAATACATGTTTTTCTATCACCCATCTACACACAATACCCCATAATGACAAAGTGAAAATGAAATGCAGAAATATCTCATTTACGTAAGTATTCACACCGCTGAGTCAATACTTTGTTGAAGCCCCTTTGGCATCGATTACAGCTGTGAGTTATTCTGGATAAGTCTCTAAGAGCTTCCCACACCTGGATTGTGTAACATTTGGCCATTATTATTTTCCAAATTCTTCAAGCTCTGTCAAATTGGTTGTTAATCATTGCTAGACAACCATTTTTAGGTCTTGCCATAGATTGTCAAGTAAATTTAAGTCAAAACTGTAACTCGGCCACTCAGGAACATTCAATGTCTTCTTGGTAAGCAACTACAGTGTAGATTTGGCCTTGTGTTTTAGGTTATTGTCCTGCTGAAAGGTGAATTCATCTCCCAGTGTCTGGTGGAAAGCAGACTGAACCAGGTTTTCCTGTAGGATTTTGCCTGTGCTTAGCTACATTCAGTTTCTTTTTTATCTTGGAAAAACTCCCCAGTCCTTAACGTTTACAAGCATACCCATAACATGATGCAGCCACCACTATGCCTGAAAATATTTAATGTATTGGATTTGCCCCAAACATAACACTTTGTATTCAGGACAAAAAGTTAGTTGCTTTGCCACATTTTTTGAAGTATTACTTTAATACCTTGTAGGAAACTGCATGCATGTTTTGGAATATTTGTATTCCGTACAGGCTACCTTCTTTTCACTCTGCCAATTAGGTGATTATTGTGAAGTAACTACAATGTTGTTGATCCATCCTCAGTTTTCTCCTATCACAGCCATTAAACTCTGTAACTGTTTTAAAGTCACCATTGGCCTCATGGTGAAATCCCTGGGCGGTTTCCACCCTCTCCGGCAACTGAGTTAGGAAGGATGCCTGTATCTTTGTAGTCACTGGGTGTATTGATACACCATCCAAAGTGTAACTAATAACTTCACCATGCTCAAAGGGATATTCAATGTCAGTTTTTTTCTCTTCTTTTTTTTCTCTACCAATAGGTGCCCTTCTTGCGAGGCATTGGAAAACCTCCTTGGTCTTTGTCGATTAAATCTGTGTTTGAAATTCACTGCTCAACTGAGGGACCTTACAGATAATTGTATGTGTCGGGTACAGAGATGAGGTAGCCAAAAATCATGTTAAACACTATTATATGACAAATTAAATTAAATTAAATGTTATTATTGTAAAATAATGCAACTTATTATGTGACTTTTTAAGAACAATTTTCTCCTAAACTTATTTAGGCTTGCCATAACAAAGGTGTTAAATACTTATTGACTGACATTTCAGCTTTTCATATTTAAGAAAATTATAAAAACGTAATTCCACTTTGACATTATGTGGTAGGGGTGTTCTGTGTAGGCCAGTGACAAAAAAATCTAAATGTAATCAATTTTAAATTCAGGCTGTAACACAACAAAATGTGGAAAAGGTCAAGGAGTGTGAATAGTTTATGAAGGCACTGCATGTACTTTGCCAATGAAAGGGTGAATACACAAGATGCCTCTGGGTGTGGGTGTGTGCTCTGTCCTTTCTCTGGTGGCTCTTTCTTTTATTAACACACTCCAATGGCTTCAGCATTTATTTATTTTTTCCTTTTGCATTTATTCATTTCAGTTTATTTAAACAATATCACAATTATCTTAGTTTATTTATCATTGGAAACAGATTAGATATTTTCTGAGGTTTACATTATATAGGGCGGCAGGTAGCTTAGTGGTTAAGAGCGTTGTGCCAGTAACCAAAAGGTTGCTGCTTCTAATCCCCGAGCCGACTAGGTGAAAAATCTGTTGATGTGCCCTTGAGCAAGGCACTTAACCCTAATTGCTCATGTAAGTCGCTCTGGATAAGAGTGTCTGCTAAAATGACAAAAATTTAAAATGTAAATATACTTGAAATGCTGAAGCCATACTGTATCTCAGATTAATCTTTCCCCTCTTACACCTTCTGTTCTCTTTGTTTTTCTGCACACATTTTGATACGCTCAAATATTTCTTCACCCGAAGTGCTGAATGGTGCCTACTTGACCTCTTTTTGGGGGATGTGGTGTGTCATGCTTTTACTAGAATGCCCTGTCTGAACCAATGGCTCTCTGGCTCTTTCTCAATTAATCTTTCCTCGAGTCCTCACGTACTATATCCTCTCCTACTTCTCAAACCGCATTGGAGATGGAGGTCTGAGGGGAGGAACCTTGGACCTCCTCCAATAGGGTTGAGAAGGTGGCAAGGCGATACTAGGATACGAGGAATCGTGGAAAGACTCACTAAGCCTCTCTCTCTCTCTAAGCACTTATTAACATTTCCACTTTCCATCTGTGTCTGTATGTCTAAAGTGGTGATTTTATTTTAGGACCTTTACAAAACAAAAACAAACAAACATGCATTTACCTTTCAATATGATTCACTTTTAGAGTAAGTTGTTTAATTGATTCTCTTTATACAGTAAACTCTGCAAATATTATAGCTACAATGCAGTATGGAATTGCTCTGTAGGGATGATGTTGTACATTTTACATTTTGTATAGGGTGATGGGATGATATTTGTGAGGTGTGTGTGTGTGTGTGAGAGAGAGGATGGTGCTGTGTGTGTGTGTGAGGACTAGCATGTGTGTGCGTGTATAGGGATAAAGAGTGCTGTGTTGTCCGTCAGGTGGTAAACACTGAAGGGACGTGGGTGCAGCTGGACAAGAATAGCGTGGTGGAGTTCTGCGAGAGCGACGAAGGAGAGGCCTGGTCTCTGGCCCGAGACCGTGGGGGAAACCAGTACCTACGCCACGGGGAAGGTAAGAGCCCCGCTAATGGCCTTTTAACTTACTGCTTTGAGACCTCTTTAATCTTTGTAGATCAAGGCCCGTATTCACAAAGCATCTCAGAAAAGTTCCTAGGAATCCTGTTAAAACATGTTTTAAGACAACAAAACCTCCCAGCTCAGAGTAGGTTTTAGGATGATGTTAAGACACTGGCCAGACAAACTCTCTGAGCCAGGAATAAAATGAACTCATTTTCTCAGCTGGTTATCACGACAGTTTGAGGTACCGCAAAGGAAAGATAGTGATGACGCTCATTGACATTGTTGCAAATGTTGGGAAATAACCAATCGTGATGAAGCATCATCAGCTGTGATGAAGCATCATCATCATCATCTAGCACGTTTCAGACAACCATGGTGAATGTGACTGTACATCAAATTTTGCAATGGTAAAACGTTTGATATAATTTTCGCCTGACACGATCAATTTGCCTACTTTTAATTATTGCTTAAAATGTTGGCATGCATAACCTTTTTTTTCACCAATTCTAATGGTTGTTAAAAGTGAAATTTTAACAATATTACCGTTATATCAACACATTTGTCACTCCTGTTTTAGTCTATTTTTAAAAGTCTAAGCCGTTAGATAAGAAAATTTTAAAACAAACATAAAAACGATATTTGATAAAATATTGAATTTGGCCTTTACTACTATAGCCCAGAGAAAAGCATTGAATAACACATTCATAAATGGCAAAAAAGACAGTCCAAAAATAAATCATAAGAAACAAGGTTTTGAATTGTTTGTTCTATATCTAGGAGTTCAGGAAATATTTTTTTGTTTTTTTTCTACACATATTTAACCCCTTTTCTGGGTAGGCACAAAACTGCCTTCATACTGTATACTGAACAAACACATAAACTCAACATGTAAAGTGTTGGTCCCATGTTTCATGAGCTGAAATAAAAGATCCCAGAAATGTTCCATACGCACAATAAAGCGTATTTCTCTCACATTTTGTGGAAACATTTGTTTACATCCCTGTTAGTAAGCATTTTTCCTTTGCCAAGATAATCAATCCACCTGACTGGTGTGGCATATCAAGAAGCTGATTAAACAGCATTATCATTACACAGGTGCACCTTGTGCTGGGGAAAATAAAAGGCCACTCTAAAATGTGCAGTTTTGTCCATATCCATCTTTTTGACCTGTGGGATCGTCTGATACCAGCCACCCGGACAGCTGATGAAACTGTGGGTATGCACAACCAAATAATTTGTATAAAAGGCCACTCTAAAATGTGCATTTTTGTCACGCAACACAATGCCACAGATGTCTCAAGTTTTGAGGGAGCGTGCAATTGGCATGCTGACTGCAGGAATGTCTACGAAAGCTGTTGCCAGAGAATTGAATGTTCATTTCTCTACCATAAGCCGCCTCCAACTTCGTTTTTGAGAGTTTGGCAGTACGTCCAACCGGCCTCACAACCGCAGAACACGTGTAACCACACCAGCCCAGAACCTCCATATCCGGCTTTTTCACCTTCGGGATCGTCTGAGACCAGCCACCCAGACAGCTGATGAATCTGTGCACAACCGTAGACTTTCTGCACAAACCGACTTCAGTGGGCAAATGCTCACCTTCGATGGCCACTGGCACGATGGAGAAGTGTGCTCGTCATGGATGAATCCTGGTTTCAACTGTACCCGACAGATGGCAGACACCCCATGGTGGCATTTGGATTATGGTATGGGCAGGCATAAGCTACGAACAACGAACACAATTGCATTTTGTCGATGGCAATTAGAATGAACAGAGATACCGTGAAGAGGTCCTGAGGCCCATGGTAGTGCCATTCATCCGCCACCATCACCTCATGTTTCACCATGATAATGCACGGCCCCATGTCGCAAGGATCTGTACACAATTCCTGGAAGCTGAAAATGTCCCAGTTCTTCCATGGCCTGCATACTCTCACAGCGTGTTCCAGTTCCCACAAATATCCAGCAACTTCACATAGCCATTGAGGAGGAGTGGGACAACATTCCACAGGCCACAATCAACAGCCTGATCAACTCTATGCGAAGGAGATGTGTCGCGCTGCATGAGGCAAATGGTGGTCACAGCAGATACTGACTGGTTTTCTGATCCATGCTCCTACCTTTTTTTTAAAGGTATCTGTCACCAACAGATGCATATCTGTATTCCAGTCAATTTAAATAATATAGCCTAAATAATTAATCTTTGTTACTTTTTTAGGCTCCCTGTCTGGCTCCTGACCTATTTAGAGTTTATATGCTGTTTAATATGACATGTAGCCTATTTGAAATGATGAGCGCTTCTTACATTCACCTTTTCATATTTATTAAAATACTTTTCATTCAAATGGTTTGGTTTCAATACTTCAAAACCAAATGGTAGGTCCAGGTTGTCACATCAATAGATGGGTGTTGGTTAAATTATGATTTCAATGAATAGAGCGAATTTGGAGCGGCAGTTTCTTTGAGATACAAATGTAATAGTTGTCTGAATACTAATGTAAATAAGGTATTTCAGTTTTTATTGGTAATACATTTGTAGAAATTTCTAAAAACCTGTTTTTGCTTTGCCATTATGGGGTATTGTATGTATATTGATGAGGGCAAAAAATTATGTCATACATTTTAGAATAAGGCTGTAACGTAACAAAATGTGGGAAGGTCAAGGGGTCTGAATACTTTCCGAATGCACTGTGTGTGTGTGTGTATATAGGTATATATATATATATATATATATATATATATATATATATATATATATATATATATATATATATATATATATATATATATAATATACACTACCGGTCAAACATTTTAGAACACCTACTCATTCAAGGGTTTTTCTTTATTTTTACTATTTTCTACTTTGTAGAATAATAGTGAAGACATCAAAACTATGAAATAACACATATGGAATCATGTAGTAACCAAAAAAGTGTTAAACAAATCAAAATATATTTTATATTTGAGATTCTTCAAAGTAGCCACCCTTTGCCTTGATGACAGCTTTACAAACTCTTGGCATTCTCTCAACCAGCTTCATGAGGTAGTCACCTGGAATGCATTTCAATTGACAGGTGTGCCTTCTGAAAAGTTAATTTGTGGAATTTCTTTCCTTCATAGTGCCGGTGGAAATGTGTCCTTTGGTCTGGAGTCCAAATTTAAGGTGTTTGGTTCCAACCGCTGTGTCTTTGTGAGACGCGGTGTGGGTGAACGGATTATCTCCGCATGTGTATTTCCCACCGTAAAGCATGGAGGTTATTTGCTGATGACACTGTCTGTGATTTATTTAGAATTCAAGGCACATTTAACCAGCATGGCTACCGCATTCTGCAGCGATACACCATCCCATCTGGTTTGGGCTTAGTAGGGCTATCATTTGTTTTTCAACAGGACAATGACCAAACACACCTCCAGGCTGTGTAAGGGCTATTTTACCAAGAAGGAGAGTGATGGAGTGCTGCATCAGATGACCTGGCCTCCACAATCCCCCGACCTCAAACAAATTGAGATGGTTTGGGATGAGTCGGACCGCAGAGTGAAGAAAGCAGCCAACAAGTGCTCAGCAGATGTGGGAACTCCTTCAACACTGTTGGAAAAGCATTCCAGGTGAAGCTGATTGAGAGAATGCCAAGAGTGTGCAAAGCTGTCAAGGCGAAGGGTGGCTATTTGAAGAATCTCAAATATAAAATGTATTTTTTTTAGCAACTTTTTGGTTACTACATGATTCCATATGTGTTATTTCATAGTTGTGATGTCTTCACTATTATTCTACAACATAGAAAATTGTAAAAATAAAGAAAAACCCTTGAATGACTAGGTGTTCTAAAACTTTTGACCGGTAGTGTATGTGTATATACAGTGAGGGAAAAAAAGTATTTGATCCCCTGCTGATTTTGTACGTTTGCCCACTGACAAATAAATGATCAGTCTATAATTTTAATGGTAGGTTTATTTGAACAGTGAGAGACAGAATAACAACAAAAAAATCCAGATAAACGCATGTCAAAAATGTTATAAAAAGATTTCTGGCTCCCAGGTGTCTTTTATACAGGTAATGAGCTGAGATTAGGAGCATACTCTTAAAGGGAGTGCTCCTAATCTCAGCTTGTTAACTGTATAAAAGACACCTGTCCACAGAAGCAATCAATCAATCAGATTCCACTCTCCACCATGGCCAAGACCAAAGAGCTCTCCAAGGATGTCAGGGACAAGATTGTAGACCTACACAAGGCTGGAATGGGCTACAAGACCATCGCCAAGCAACTTGGTGAGAAGGTGACAAAAGTTGGTGCGATTAATCGCAAATGGAAGAAATACAAAATAACTGTCAATCTCCCTCGGCCTGGGGCTCCATGCAAGATCTCACCTCGTGGAGTTGCAATGATCATGAGAACGTTGAGGAATCAGCCCAGAACTACACGGGAGGATCTTGTCAATGATCTCAAGGCAGCTGGGACCATAGTCACCAAGAAAACAATTGGTAACACACTACGCCATGAAGGACTGAAATCCCGCAAGGTCCCCCTGCTCAAGAAAGCACATATACAGGGCCGTCTGAAGTTTGCCAATGAACATCTGAATGATTCCGAGGAGAACTGGGTGAAAGTGTTGTGGTCAGATGAGAACAAAATTGAGCTCTTTAGCATCAACTCAACTTGCCGTGTTTGGAGGAGGAGGAATGCTGCCTATGACCCCAAGAACACCATCCCGGCCGTCAAACATGGAGGTGGAAACATTATGCTTTGGGGGTGTTTTTCTGCTAAGGGGACAGGACAACTTCACCGGATCAAAGGGACGATGGACGGGGCCATGTACCGTCAACTCTTGGGTGAGAACCTCCTTCCCTCAGCCAAGGCATTGAAAATGGGTCGTGGATGAGTATTCCAGCATGACAATGACCCAAAACACACGGCCAATGCAACAAAGGAGTGGCTCAAGAAGAAGCACATTAAGGTCCTGGAGTGGCCTAGCCAATCTCCAGACCTTAATCCCATAGAAAATCTGTGGAGGGAGCTGAAGGTTCGAGTTGCCAAACGTCAGCCTTGAAACCTTAATGACTTGGAGAAGATCTGCAAAGAGGAGTGGAACAAAATCCCTCCTGAGATGTGTGCAAATCTGGTGGCCAACTACAAGAAACGTCTGACCTCTGTGATTGCCAAAAAGGGTTTTGCTACCAAATACTAAGTCATGTTTTGCAGACGGGTCAAATACTTATTTCCCTCATTAAAATGCAAATCAATTTATAACATTTTTGACTTGTGTTTTTCTGGATTTTGTTGTTGTTATTCTGTCTCTTACTGTTCAAATAAACCTACCATTAAAATTATAGACTGATCAACTCTTTGTCAGTGGGCAAACTTACAAAATCAGCAGGGGATCAAATACATGTTTCCCTCACTGTACAGTTGAACTCAGAAGTTTACATAAACTCAGGTTGAAGTCATTAAAACTTGTTTTTCAACCACTCCACACATTTCTTGTTAACAAACTATAGTTTTGTCAAGTCGGTTAGGACATCTACTTTGTTATGACACAAGGAATTTTTCCAACAATTGTTTACAGACAGATTATTTCACTTATAATTCACTGTATCACAATTCCAGTGTGTCAGAAGTTTACATACACTAAGTTGACTGTGCCTTTAAACAGCTTGGAAAATTCCAGAAAATGATGTGATGGCTTTAGAAGCTTCTGATAAGCTAATTGACATCATTTGAGTCAATTGGAGGTGTACCTGTGGATGTATTTCAAGGACTAGCTTCAAACTCAGTGCCTCTTTGCTAGACATCATTGGAAAATCAAAATAAATCAGCCAAGACCTCAGATTTTTTTTTTTAGACCTCCACAAGTCTGGTTCATCCTTGGGAGCAATTTCCAAACGCCTGAAGTTGCCACGTTCATCTGTACAAACAATGGTACGCAGGTATAAACACCATGGGACCATGCAGCCATCATACCGCTCAGGAAGGAGACGCATTCTGTCTCCTAGAGATGAACGTACTTTGGTGCGAAAAGTGCAAATCAATCCCAGAACAACAGCAAAGGACCTTGTGAAGATGCTGGAGGAAACAGGTACAAAAGTATCTATATCCGCAGTAAAACAAGTAATATATCAACCTTACCTGAAAGGCCGCTCAGCAAGGAAGAAGGCATTGCTCCAAAACTGTGTGAAATCGCGTGAAAAATGAGTTTTAATGACGCCAACCTAAGTGTATGTAAACTTCCGACTTCAACTGTGTATATATATACAGTGGGGAGAACAAGTATTTGATACACTGCCGATTTTGTAGGTTTTCCTACTTACAAAGCATGTAGAGGTCTGTAATTTTTATCATAGGTACACTTAAACTGTGAGAGACGGAATCTAAAACAAAAATCTAGAAAATCACATTGTATGATTTTTAAGTAATTAATTTGTATTTTATTGCATGACATACAGTGGGGGGAAAAAGTATTTAGTCAGCCACCAATTGTGCAAGTTCTCCCAGTTAAAAAGATGAGAGAGGCCTGTAATTTTCATCATAGGTACAAGTCAACTATGACAGACAAATTGAGAAAAAAAAATCCAGAATATCACATTGTAGGATTTGTAATGAATTTATTTGCAAATTATGGTGGAAAATAAGTATTTGGTCACCTACAAACAAGCAAGATTTCTGGCTCTCACAGACCTGTAACTTATTCTTTAAGAGGCTCCTCTGTCCTCCACTCGTTACCTGTATTAATGGCACCTGTTTGAACTTATCAGTATAAAAGACACCTGTCCACAACCTCAAACAGTCACACTCCAAAATCCACTATGGCCAAGACCAAAGAGCTGTCAAAGGACACCAGAAACAAAATTGTAGACCTGCACCAGGCTGGGAAGACTGAATCTGCAATAGGTAAGCAGCTTGGTTTGAAGAAATCAACTGTGGGAGCAATTATTAGGAAATGGAAGACATACAAGACCACTGATAATCTCCCTCGATCTGGGGCTCCACGCAAGATCTCACCCCTTGGGGTCCAAATTATCACAAGAACGGTGAGCAAAAATCCCAGAACCACACAGTGAATGAATGACCTGCAGAGAGCTGGGACCAAAGTAACAAAGCCTACCATCAGTAACACACTACGCCGCCAGGGACTCAAATCCTGCAGTGCCAGACGTGTCCCCCTGCTTAAGCCAGTACATGTCCAGGCCCGTCTGAAGTTTGCTAGAGTGCATTTGGATGATCCAGAAGAGGATTGGGAGAATGTCATATGGTCAGATGAAACCAAAATATAACTTTTTGGTAAAACCTCAACTCGTCATGTTTGGAGGACAAAGAATGCTGAGTTGCATCCAAAGAACACCATACCTACTGCGAAGCATGGGGGTGGAAACATCATGCTTTGGGGCTGTTTTTCTGCAAAGGGACCAGGACGACTGATCCGTGTAAAGGAAAGAATGAATGGGGCCATGTATCGTGAGATTTTGAGTGAAAACCTCCTTCCATCAGCAAGGGCATTGAAGATGAAACGTGGCTGGGTCTTTCAGCATGACAATGATCCCAAACACACCGCCCGGGCAACGAAGGAGTGGCTTTGTAAGAAGCTATTCAAGGTCCTGGAGTGGCCTAGCCAGTCTCCAGATCTCAACCCCATAGAAAATCTTTGGAGGGAGTTGAAAGTCCGTGTTGCCCAGTGACAGCCCCAAAACATCACTGCTCTAGAGGAGATCTGCATGGAGGAATGGGCCAAAATACCAGCAACAGTGTGTGAAAACATTGTGAAGACTTACAGAAAACGTTTGACCTGTGTCATTGCCAATAAAGGGTATATAACAAAGTATTGAGAAACTTTTGTTATTGACCAAATACTTATTTTCCACCATAATTTGCAAATAAATTCATTAAAAATCCTACAATGTGATTTTCTGGATTTTTTTTCTCTCATTTTGTCTGTCATAGTTGACGTGTACCTATGATGACAATTACAGGCCTCTCTCATCTTTTTAAGTGGGAGAACTTGCACAATTGGTGGCTGACTAAATACTTTTTTTATCTACTGTAAGTATTTGATACATCAGAAAAGCAGAACTTAATATTTGGTACAGAAACCTTTGTTTGCAATTACAGAGATCATACGTTTCCTGTAGGTCTTGACCAAGTTTGCACACACTGCAGTAGGGATTTTGGCTCACTCCTCCATACAGACCTTCTCCAGATCCTTCAGGTTTCGGGGCTGTCGCTGGGCAAAACGGATTCAGGTCTGGAGACTGGCTAGGCCACTCCAGGACCTTGAGATGCTTCTTACGGAGCCACTCCTTAGTTGCCCTGGCTGTGTGTTTCGGGTCGTTGTCATGCTGGAAGACCCAGCCACGACCAATCTTCAATGCTCTTACTGAGGGAAGGAGGTTGTTGGCCAAGATCTCGCGATACATGGACCCATCCATCCTCCCCTCAATACGGTGCAGTCGTCCTGTCCCCTTTGCAGAAAAGCATCCCCAAAGAATGATGTTTCCACCTCCATGCTTCACGGTTGGGATGGTGTTCTTGGGGTTGTACTCATCCATCTTCTTCCTCCAAACACGGCGAGTGGAGTTTAGACCAAAAAGCTCTATTTTTGTCTCATCAGACAACATGACCTTCTCCCATTCCTCCTCTGGATCATCCAGATGGTCATTGGCAAACTTCAGACGGGCCTGGACGTGCGCTGGCTTGAGCAGGAGGACCTTGCGTGCGCTGCAGGATTTTAATCCATGACGGCGTAGTGTGTTACTAATGGTTTTCTTTGAGATTGTGGTCCCAGCTCTCTTCAGGTCATTGACCAGGTCCTGCCGTGTAGTTCTGGGCTGATCCCTCACCTTCCTCATGATCATTGATGCCCCACGAGGTGAGATCTTGCATGGAGCCCCAGACCGAGTGTGATTGACCATCATCTTGAACTTCTTCCATTTTCTAATAATTGCACCAACAGTTGTTGCCTTCTCTCCAAGCTGCTTGCCTATTGTCCTGTAGCCCATCCCAGCCTTTTGCAGGTCTACAATTGTATCCCTGATGTCCTTACACAGCTCTCTGGTCTTGGCCATTGTGGAGAGGTTGGAGTCTGTTTGATTGAGTGTTTGGACAGGTGTCTTTTATACAGGTAACGAGTTCAAACAGGTGCAGTTAATACAGGTAATGAGTGGAGAACAGGAGGGCTTCTTAAAGAAAAACTAACGGGTCTGTGAGAGCCGGAACTCTTACTGGTTGGTAGGTGATCAAATACTCATATCATGCAATAAAATGCAAATTAATTACTTAAAAATCATACAATGTGATTTTCTGGATTCTCTCACAGTTGAAGTGTACCTATGATAAAAATTACAGACCTCTACATGCTTTGTAAGTAGGAAAACCTGCAAAATTGGCAGTGTATCAAATACTTGTTCTTATATAATATAATATAATATAATAATTATTAGTATTATTAGTATTATTTAGTTTTGGCCACAAATACGAGTATAGTACAAGTCAGCAGCATTATTTGGGTATCAGTCAACATATTATAAACTTTTAAAAGTAAATTTTCACTGGACACTTACTTTAACAAATCTAACATGGATGTGAATGGATGTATTGGTTGCTGTCGTTGGTGGAGCTAACATGGTCCAGCTCTGTCTTCTCTCCCAACAGAACAAACCCTGTTAGAGCACGTGGCCCAGACCTCCCCAACTAGCCCCTTTTCTGTCCAGGCCTTCAACAGGGCTGCTGCAGCCAATGGGGCCAATGGGGCACAGGGCTTCAACTACGGCATCTCAAACAACAAAGGTGAGGCCAGCCGGGGGACGTGGATAGGTGGCTGGGTGTTGAGAGGGAAGCCTACACTGAGTGTACAAAACATTAGGAACACCTTCCTAATATTGACTTGTACCCCCAGTTGCCCTCAGAATAGCCTCAATTCATCGGGGCATGGACTCTACTCTACAAGGTGTCGAAAGCGTTCCACTGAGATACTGGCCCATGTTTACTCCAATGCTTCCCACAGTTGTGTCAAGTTGGCTGGGTGTCCTTTGGGTGGTGGACCATTCTAGATACAAACAAGAAACTGTTGAGCGTGAAAAACCCAGCAGCATTGCAGTTCTTGACAAACTCAAACCGGTGCACCTGGCACCTACTACCATACCCCGTTCAAAGGCACTTAAATATTTTGTCTTGCCCATTCACCCTCTGATTGGCACACATACACAATCAATGTCTCAATTGCCTCAAGGCTTAAAAATGATTATTTAACCTGTCTCCTCCCCTTCATCCACACTGATTGAAGGTGACATCAATACGGGATCATAGCTTTCACCAGGTCAGTCTGTCATGGAAAGAGTAGTTGTTCCTAATGTTTTGTACACTGTGTACATGCACTTGGGGCTTGGTAGCTACAGCTGCTTCTGCTTTAGGAATCTCCTAAGTTGTTGCCTGAAGCAGAACCTTGGTTGTGGTTATTAGGCATAACACTTAAGAAAATGGTCCAACATGGAGTGAAATGAGAAGGTACTAGGTTTCGTTGTCTAGGTTTCGTTGTCTGTTGCAAAGCGTTTTAAAACAAATCTAATTGTATTTGTCACATGCGCCAAATACAACAGGTGTAGACATTACCGTGAAATGCTTACTTACAAGCCCTTAACCAACAATGTAGTTTAAAAAAAAAACTATGCAGTTCAAGAAATTTCAGAGTTTTCAGAGTTCAGAAAATATTTACTAAAAAACTAAAGTAAAGAATAAAATAAAATGTAACACAATAAAATAACATAACAAGGCTATATACAGGGGGTACCGGTACCGAGTCAATGTGCGGGGGTACAGGTTATTCGAGGTAATTAGGTAGGGGTAAAGTGACTGCATAGATAATAAACAGTGAGTAGCAGCAGTGTAAAAACAAAGGGGGGGGGGGGGGGTCAATATAAATAGTTTGGGTGGCCATTTGATTAATTGTTCAGCAGTTTTATGGCTTGGGGGTAGAAGCTGTTAAGGAGCTAGACTTGGCGCTCCGGTACCGCTTGCCGTGCGGTAGCAGAGAGAATAGTCTATGACTTGGGTGACTGGAGTCTTTCACAATTTTTGGGGCTTTCCTCTGACACCACCTAGTATATAGGTCCTGGATGGCAGGAAGCTTGGCCCCAGTGATGTACTGGGCCGTACACACTGCTCTCTGTAGCGCCTTACGGTCGGATGCCGAGCAGTTGCCATACCGGGCGGTGATGCAAACGGTCAGGATGATCTCGATGGTGCAGCTGTATAACTTTTTGAGGATCTGGGGACCCATTCCAAATATTTTCAGTCTCCTGAGGGCGACTGTCTTGGTGTGTTTGGACCATGATAGTTCGTTGGACTCCTTTTCCTGTAGTCCACAATCAGCTCCTTCGCGTCGGACTCATTAAAGAAAAAATCTTTGTCCAGTTTGAGGTGAGGAATCGCTGTTCTGATGTCCAGAAGCTCTATTCGGTCATAAGAGACGGTAGCAGCATCATAATATACAAAAGTTACAAACAATGCAAAAAGGAGCCCGTAAAACAGCAGCCATCCCCTCCGGCGCCATTATTAAAACATGTTCTGTTGTGCGCCCAAATGAACACAACCCAGATGTGGCAACCAGGCTGCCTCACACATAGGCACCAATCAAGGAGAATGAAAATGGACTAACTCAAACTTAACCAAGCCTTACTTTGCTATTCTCCTTATCTCTCCTTCTATGATATGTTGTCTGACTAGTAATATTCTGACTTGAAATACTCATGGCATTGCCTATGCAAGTCAGATTATTGGAGACACTCAGATGTATTGTGCTTAGGTTAGTTATGCATATATATCTCAAGTGAGGATGTGTCAAACATAGTTTATTTTTCCTTACAAAACCTTGCCGATTTATTAATCAATTAACCCACTTGTCGAAATCATGTCTTCAGTGCCTTATTTTAACAACCATTATCAATTTTCACTTTGGGTACAAAATTTAGGAATGAGTGTGATTATGGAACTGCTGAAGAGTTTCCACAAACAGTTGCTCCTTCTCACTTCTTCTCTCTTTGTCTTTCTTTATACACTGTGTTTTTTAATTCCTGTTTACTTCCTGCTTCTTGGTGACATGTCTCACAACTTCCTGTGGGCTTCCTGGGTTCTCTTGGTCTCGCTGTTTGACTCCCAAATCATTATAATTTTTGTGCACAACTGGAATGTTGATGTAAATTAACTGGTAGTGTGCTAGTTTTGTAGTTTTGGGGGAATAGTGGAAAGACCAAAGCATTGGCAAAATCTTAAAGGTATAGTTCACTTTTTAGTAGCTTATTTTCGACATACCTAGGGTGATATCATTTTGTCAAAGCCAATTTTTTATTCGTTAGCTGGTTATTTCGCATTTTTGGAGACTATAGCAATGCTAGTGGAAATGGATTGTATCAGTTAGCGGTGCACTCAAAAGCCTTGGGAAAGCGGGGTAGTGGCCCAAAGCGGTACTCTTTCCCCATGCTGGATCAAGTTGACCTTCCAAGGCCACAGGAGCTGTCAATAGTCACTAACTCTCTGTCCATTTTTTAGTTGTGCATGTCTCATTGTGTTTCACGATGTGTGTATATCATGTCTAACATCACTACTAAGTTTCAGGCATAATGTTTCTGTCTGTGTGCATGGTCCGGTCAGTGTGCTTCTGCAAGGTCAGGTGGGATCTGGAACACCATTGTTCACAAGTTCCCCCCAACTAGAAGGGGTGTCCTGGCTATACTCTCCAACCTGGCCCCTCATACGTCCCTAGACAACTTGACCAAAACGGAATCACCCCCCACAGCTTCCAGTTGACTCATCTGACCCCTTTCCTCTCCAAATTCCCTCCAAGTTTTTCTCAGGTTTTTTGTAGTGAGAATGATTTCTTACCTGGTGGTGCTGAGCGATTAATCGAATTGTCTTTTTTTTGGGGGGGTGGGTATTAAACAACTAATTGACCGACATTGGTTGTGTGGGACGCTGGGCTGAAGGGACTTGTTTTCACTAAGCAAATATTCAACCTAGTTCAGTGCAGAAACTAATTAACTACAATGACCATAATCCATTGCGCCTGTTTTTTCCAGCTCGGACAGAGACCGTTACAGTTTTACGCCTGCTACTTTAGGTTAGATACACACAGACCACGTAGACCGCATGAGAGAGGAATAAACACAACCACAAGAGGGAAAGAGACAGTTCGTGAAAGTATGCCTTATCTACTTTGAAGAACTAGTAAAATGATTTCGTCGGACAGCTCTGCAGCATACTTAGGCAGGCTAGCCTAGCTAAATAGGATGACTAAAGACAGTACAGTATGGGGAGCACAGAGGTAATGTTTGATGGTCTGGCTGGCTGCTGTTACCTGAGCAGAGATTAGATTATGACTTTAAGGAATAAAATAAGTAAAAAAAATCATCAAATAAAAACTAAGTAACTGAAATATCTTATTATTTCATAGTAATTTCCTATTTTTCTATTGATGTCTACCCAATGTGGACCTGACTGAGACAATATAATATTTTCTATGTTTTGGCAATTGAATGTTCACGATTTTTTGCATTGGAATTTTCATTAAAAAGCTCTAAAATCATTTAAAAATCATTTTAATGTCATTATTTCATAATGCATTTAATGTTACATTTAATATTTTTGCGCAACTGAAATCGGAAACTGTGATTCTTTAAAAAAAATATCGAAATGAAACTGACCTCAAAAAGCACTAATCACTCAGCACTATTACCTGGTAAATTAAATGTAAATTAGTCAGTACAATAGGTCTGGGAGGGTGCTTGACTTTCAGAACTGGCTTACCATTTACTTGGTACCATTTACGTTTTTCAAAAGATCTCTCTCTATAGACTAAGTTCACTGATTGTACAAAAAATGTAGAACACCTTCCTAATATTGAGTTGTGCATCCCCTTTTGCCTTCATTCATTCCGGGGCATGGACTCTACAAGGTGCCGAAAGCGTTCAACAGGGATGCTGGCCCATGTTGACATCAATGCTTCCCCCAGTTGGCTGGATGTCCTTTGGGTGGTGGACCATTCTTGATACTCACCGGAAACTGTTGAGCGTGAAAAACCCAGCAGTGTTGCAGTTCATTAGGTGTTCCTAATGTTTTGTCATAATTCACCGGAATTAGTCAAACCTGAATCAATTTTCCCTAAAATCTTTCAGAGAAAATTTTATAATTTTGTTATTCCATATGGAAATGACTGAAGGACAGGATTTTTCTATGTTGTTGGGGAGAAAGCTGATGCCCTCGACGTTACTGCTACAGTACATATAGTACAAACAGTTTTATTTTCAGCCAATCGCCATTACTGTCCTGAAACCCCACCCTGTGACATCCCCCATTACCCCATTGTGACTTTAGTTTACCCCCTTCCCTCCCTATCTCTGGCATTACCTGTGTGGGAGATGATGATTGATCAATGGACATTTTAATGTTTAATGGATTAATTGATTGATTGATACCCCCCCCCCCTTTGGAATTCTATAAGACCATAGTGTAAGCTAAGCTGTAGTCCGTCCGTCCCCCTCCCCCCCTTCCCCTTGTCTTCCGTTATTTGCAGGTGACCAACAGTTGAGTGCCATACTGAATAGTGCCATTCAGTCTGGGCCCTTCCTCCCTCCAGCCGCTCCTCCCTCCTCTTCCTCCGTATTTGAGCAAGCCGCCCATCTTTCCTCCTCCTCCCTTGTCCACAGCCCATTTGTGTTTGGACAATGCCCCAGTTCCCAAGTGTCTCAGCCGCAGCCACAGCTTCTGAGTAAGTCTGTCTGTCTGTATGACAGTGTCGGCGCTTGTTTGCACAGGTGCTGCCTGGTCCCATCTTAACTCCTCCTTAGCTTATCACTCTTTTGTTTTGGATTTTTACTTTACATGCCTATTTGTTTAGCTTATTTCTGGGATTTTTTTGGTGGGGGACCAATGACAACGTTGCTGTTATGGTCTGACTGCTGCTTACCTTGTCTGTACTGTAGCTGCTTGCTTTTTTTATACCAATGGTCTTTCTCTCCTTTTCGTCATCTTCATCCCCGATTTAAACAGAGATTCAGCGATATGAAGTGATCACGGGCAGCAGTCTGCCCAGAGATATGAAGTGATCACGAGCATCAGTCTGCCCAGAGATATGAAGTGATCACGGGCAGCAGTCTGCCCAGAGATATGAAGTGATCACGAGCATCAGTCTGCCCAGAGATATGAAGTGATCACGAGCAGCAGTCTGCCCAGAGATTGTCACATTTCTTGCTTCTCTCTCCTGCAATGTTATAGCTGCCTGACAACAAATGTTGATGAGTGCAGCCTCTGCCTTCACATTGTCTTTGTTTGTGTCAGAACCCTGAGTCGTTAGGACGTCCCCGGGACGTCACGAAATGGTTGCCTAAAGTCGTCAGGACGTTGTGTCATGGTCCCCTGGCAGTTTTGTCCAGTTCCCAGTTGGTCCCAGGGGCGTCTCCGAGGACGTTTTTAGGACAATGTGTCATGGTCCCCTGAACGTTCTTGGGATGTTGTCATGATCCGCTGGAGGTTTTTGTCTAGTTCTTGTTACCTGATGGTCGCAAATAAACTTTCTCCCCCTCCAAAAATGTTGTTTTACCCAGGGCACGCGCGCCATAGTTTCATTACACATCAGCCCTTGTTACTGCCTATCAAGGCTCTGATTGGTGAACCACTGATTCAGTCACAGCTCTTTGTCTTTTGGCAATGCTAGGGACACCCACACACATACAGTGCTCTTAACATAGTGTTTTCAACTTACACATTTGACACACTTTGACATACATGATTACATTGTGTATGTTTCTTCATACAGTATTTTTTTTACATTGTAGAATAATAGTGAAGACATCAAAACAATGAAATAACACATATGGAATCATGTAGTAACCAAAAAAGTGTTAAACAAATCAAAATATATTTTATATGATTCTTCAAATAGCCACCGTTTGCCTTGATGACAGCTTTGCACACTCTTGGCATTCTCTCAACCAGCTTCATGAAGTAGTCACCTGGAATGCATTTCAATTAACAGGTGTGCTTCTTAAAAGTTGATTTGTGGAATTTCTTTCCTTCTTAATGCGTTTGAGCCAATCAGTTGTGTTGTGACAAGGTAGGGGCTTATACAGAAGATAGCCCTATTTGGTAAAAGACCAAGTCCATAGTATGGCAAGAACAGTTCAAATAAGCAAAGAGAAACGACAGTCCATCATTACTTTAAGACATGAAGGTCAGTCAATACGGAAAATGTCAAGAACTTTAAAAGTTTCTTCAAGTGCAGTCGCAAAAACCATCAAGGGCTATGATGAAACTCGCTCTCATGAGGACCGTCACAGGAATGGAAGACCCAGAGTTACCTCTGCTGCAGAGGATTAGTTCATTAGAGTTACCAGCCTCAGAAATTGCAGCCCAAATAAATGTTTACAGAGTTCAAGTCCTAGACACATCTCAACATTAACTGTTCAGAGGGGACTGTGTGAATCAGGCCTTCATGGTCGAATTGCTGCAAAGAAACCACTACTAAAGGACACCAATAAGAAGAAGAGACCTGCTTGAGCCAAGAAAATCGAGCAATGGACATTAGACCGGTGGAAATTTGTCCTTTGGTCTGGAGTCCAAATTGGAGATTTTGGGTTCCAACCGCCGTGTCTTTGTGAGACGCTTTGTGGGTGAACAGATGTGCATGTGTTGTTCCCACCGTAAAGCATGGAGGAGGAGGTGTTATGGTGTGGGGGTGCTTTACTGGTGACACTGTCTGTGATTTATTTAGAATTCAAGACACACTTAACCAGCATGGCTACCACAGCATTCTGCAGCGATAAGCCATCCCATCTGGTTTGGGCTTAGTAGGACTATCATTTGTTTTTCAGCAGGACAATGACCCAACACACCTCCAGGCTGTGTAAGGGCTATTTTACCAAGAAGGAGAGTGATGGAGTGCTGCATCAGATGACCTGGCCTCCACAATCCCCCGACCTCAACCCAATTGAGATGGTTTGGGATGAGTCGGACAGCAGAGGGAAGGATGTCCCCTGGACAAACCAGGAACTAGACAAAACCTCCAGGTGACCATGACACAACATCCCAAGAATGTTCAGGGGACTTTTTGGGGACCACCCAAAAATGGGACAAACCGGGAGCTATAAAAAGGTCACCCAGAGAATGTTCCCTTGGGACCATCGCGCGGCGTCCTAAAAACTAGTCAAATGAAAGTCCTGAACGTCCTAACAAATCCTGACATGGTCCTCAGTGACATCCTGGGAATATACAGGGAGCTAGACAAAGTTTCCCCAGAGAACGCTCCCTTGTGAACATCATGCAACGTTCTTAAAATGTCCTCAGTATGTCAGTGGGATAACGTCACGCCGCAACCCTTAAGTGAAATAATGGGAACGCTGCCGAATGTCCTCAGGACCCCGCTCCTCTTGGTAAATGCATATCTTTGATTCTACTTTTAAACATGAGCTCTGCAGCTCCCATCTCTGCTTAGAACTCTCAACCAGCCCAGGGCTGCACTGCAAATGTAGACTACCGTAGTGTAATCTATCAGATCTGAATTTAGGAAGCATCATTTTGTGTTCGAGTTACTGTATTAATTTACCACATTCATTCATTATTTTTATTTCTGAATCTCTAAAAAGTTCCCGGACGGGTACACTAAACTAAATGCCTAGAGAATGTGTCAATATGACCAAACTTACTAACCTTAACTTGCAGCACATGTGGTGCGCTAATCAGAAACAATCTCATGGTCAGATTAGTTGATATTCTTCTAACTATTAAGTATCAATAAAGTATGAGATGTATCAATATGTTTCCATTCACTGCATTATCTCAGCCCCGGGTTCAAACTGCAGTCTCCCAGCCCTAGTTCATGCACGGGGGGCCAGTATGAAAAAATGTAGGCACTCACTAACTGTAAGTCGCTCTGGATAAGAGCGTCTGCTAAATGATCCCCCCCCCCCAAAAAAGAATGCATCTCTTACTACTCTTTTTTTCTGTTCTCTTATAGCTGTCTTAACTCCAGCTGTCGGTCTGACTGTGTCCGTCTTTTGCACTCTCAATGTTCATCCTCTCTCTCTCTCCCTCCTTTCTCTAACTCTTTCTCTCCCTCTTTCTCCCCCTCACTCTTTCTCCCCCTCACTCTTTCTTACTGTGGTGTGTTTCCTTACCTGTTCTCTCTACTTACCTGCACTCGCTTTACTCTTCCTCTCTGTGATGGTGTCCCTGCCTTCATGTCCTGTGTTTTGCTTTTCTGCCACTGTTTTCCGCTGTAGATGGTTCTTCATCACACAGCTTTGCATATTCTCAAGAGTGTGTGCACAAAAGCAGTGTGTCCACGGCTGGGCATGGTTCTGCTCTCAGGCAAAAGGGTGGGTAACATACAGAATGCATGCGTTCTTCAGACTGAACAGTGGGTGTCAGTTACTGAGCCAGTTAATGCTGAACAACAGGATACATGGGGTGGGAATAATGTCCCTAGACAGGATCCATTCTAAATACCAATTATATAATACCTAGCCTAGGGGACAGTGCTGGGCTGGGCTTTTCTCATCTGTTGCGCAATGATCCTTTAGCTACCCCTGTCAATGTTAGGGGCTTTCAGCAAATAGATGGACAGACCTTTCAGACATGCTTAGGTTGATTTAGATAATTTGGAAGAAGCTCAGTCACTATTTCAAGGCTCTTCTAGAATTTCTACCACAATTATGTCTTCTGCTGAATTGCAGTCACTAAAGTGAATTGGTCGACAACTTTCCACAGTCTGAGGTTTCTTATTATTTCTTTTAACATCATTTTCTCAGACTTTTCTTCATTTCCTCCCATTCGTTGAATTTTTCCTTCCCTTTCATAATCCCTTTTGTTTTGACCCTTAGATATTGAGTGTTGTACTCTGAGTAAACTGGATGTGCTGCCTTTTACAGTAAACCTCTATGAGTTATAGTATAACTGTTTCTATGTTGTGGCTGTCTACTAGGTAACTCAGGGACACGCCCCATGTCCCCAGCCTCTAAACACCGACAGGAAAGCCACTCCCCAAAACAGGAGGGGCGCGGTGGTCGCTCCTCGGACCACTCCAAAAGCAAAGACCTGTTGGCCAGCGAGGCACTGATCCTGCGGTCGGACACAGCCAAGCTGCGGTCAGACTCCCATAGCCGCTCCCACTCACCCAACCATAACACCTTGCAGGCGCGGAAGGCCGACGGGCGTGATCGTAACTCCGAATCGCCCAACCCTGGCTCCCGCTCCTCCTCGCCCAAGCAGAAGGACCTGTCCTCCTCCTCGGGGAGGTATAGCCCCTCTAGCACCTCCTTTCCGGGGTCCTCCTCCCCCCAGCATGATAAGAACCTTGCTCAGGACAAGAACCAACCAATTGACAAGAACATGCCAGAAGACAAGAACCAACCAGTCGATAAGAACATGCCACAAGACAAGAACCAACCCCATGACCAGAACCTCCCTCCCAAAGTCAGCCCCTCCTCCAAGGCTCGGCTGGACCTGCCCAGAGAGAGATCCAAGTCGGACTCGTACACCCTGGACCCGGACACCCTAAGGAAAAAGGTCCCTCTCACCTCGGAGCCACTGAGGGGAAGGTCCACCTCGCCCAAACCCAAACTACCCCCCAAGGACAGGAGCAGCAAAGGAGGTGACAGGAACACGGAGAACCGCACCCCGTCGCCCCATGTAACCCAGGAGGACCTCCACAGCGAGGTGGTGGAGGTGTGTGCGTCTAGCACTCTTCTTTCCAATGATGATGAAGGAAACGACGAGAACGTTAAGGTGAGCAACACAGAGGAGGGCTCCTCCAAGGTGCACTTCAGCATCGGCAAGGCGCCCATCAAGGAGGAACTGGAGAGCAGCCGCTTGTCGCCCAAAGTCAGCCGCAAGACCTCCAGCCGCCATGTGCGCCCCAAGAAGGACAAGTCGGGCCTGCTCTTCAAGGGCGAGAGCTCATCGAGGCTCGCCGAGCCCACCAAGCAGGCTATGTCGCCCTCGGTGGCAGAGTGCGCCCGGTCGGTCTTCGCTGCGTTCCTCTGGCACGAGGGCATCGTCCACGACGCCATGGCCTGCTCCTCGTTCCTCAAGTTCAACCCGGAGCTGACCAAGGAGCACGCGCCCATTCGCAGCTCTCTGGGTGGCCAGGGCGGCCAAGAGGAGAGGGAGAGCAAGCTGAAGAACCGCCACTCACTGGAGATATCCTCGGCCCTCAATATGTTCAACATTGCCCCACATGGGCCCGACATCTCCAAGATGGGCAGCATCAACAAGAACAAGGTCCTGTCCATGCTCAAAGAGCCACCACTGCCCGAGAAGTGTGAGGACGGCAAGGGGGAGCCCATCTCCTACGAGATGACCTCTCACCCCTTCATGAGGGCCAAGTCCATCCTGCCACTCACCCTCCAGCACCTTGTTGCATTTTGGGAGGACATCTCCATGGCGACCATCAAGGCAGCCACCCAGAACATGATTTTTCCCAGCCCGGGCTCCAGCGCCATTCTGAAGAAAAAGGAGAACGAGAAGGACAGTAAGAAGTCCAAGAAGGAGAAGAAGAAAAGAGAGAAGGCGGAGGTGCGCCCCAGGGGGAACCTGTTTGGGGAGATGGCCCAGCTGGCCATGGGGGGACCGGAGAAGGACACCATCTGTGAGCTTTGTGGGGACTCGCACCCCTACCCTGTCACCTACCACATGAGGCAGGCCCACCCAGGTAAGACCAACGATGGGTTTGGCTTTATTCCATACGGTTAGAAATATATACATGCCATGTTACTGTGCGAGGTTAGCCTACCTCTCACATATAAACTTCAGACATGAAAGTCCTGTGAAAGGCTGTATTTTGTTTATTGGTTGTGTGGAAGAAAAGAAAGCTTTAAAGCTGAAAATGTCTTCATACCGAGGCGGATGGTGGCTAACCCCATGACACTATCTGCACTGTATCTCTGCTAGTACAGCAGCACTACTCAATATGATCTTAGCATAGAGATAAGTGTATATGTGTTCTATGTACTATTTATGTCTGTGGATCTTAGCGTCATCTGGTGTGTTTTGTCTTGGGCAGGTTGTGGTCGCTACGCGGGAGGCCAGGGCTACAACAGCATCGGCCACTTTTGTGGGGGCTGGGCAGGAAACTGTGGTGACGGAGGGATCGGAGGAAGTACCTGGTACCTGGTGTGTGACCGCTGCAGGGAGAAGTACCTGAGAGACAAGCAGACTGCAGCCAGGGAAAAGGTACTGTACTGCTCAACGCTTCAAGTCTTACAATGCATCATTATAACTGTATCATAATGCATTATGCCTACAAGTGTTTCCCCAAACTTCGACTTGACCTCTTAGCCACCAGTTAACTTTAACCTCCCTCCCTACCCATCCAGGTGAAGCAGTCGAGGAAGAAGCCCCTGCAGGTGAAGACGCCGCGGGCGCTGCCCACCATGGAGGCCCACCAGGTGATCCGTGCCAATGCCCTTTTCCTGCTGTCCCTAATCAGCGCTGCCGAGCCCAGCCTGCTGTGGCACCACCCGCCTCGCCCACTTCACTCCACACTGCCCAGCCTCAAGGAGGGTGTCTCCGACGAGATGCCCAACAAGATCGGCTGCCTGTACCTGCAGACGATGGCCAGGTAAATGATAGCTATTGTGATGATGATCAAAATGAAAAGGACTGTAAAGACTGGGAGTGAAAACATTTAAGGTAATCTCTTTTTATTTTTGCCTCCCAGACAGTCTCCTTCTCTTTTGGTTTTATGCCCTTTGGGACGGCATTACACTTAAAGCGCTGTGGCCATGTTAATTGAAGTGACGATCATACATTTTGGTTGTGGATGGTGTCTTATCCATATCTCACGGACATATTACACAGTGAAAACAGTCATTGAATTCTTAACCTTTATTTGCTAGGAGGCAGCATCCACATAACCTAAACACTAAATATTTGAACTACATATGTACGTAAAACCTGTCTCCCCTCTTCCAGGCAACACACAGAGAACTTTGGTGGGTACCAGGATGACAACCTGTTCCAGGATGAGATGAGGTACCTGCGTTCCACGTCTGTCCCTGCGCCCTACATCTCAGTCACCCCCGACGCCTGCCGCAACGTGTTCGAGGAGCCCAAGAGCAACATGAAGTCCATGCCACCCAGGTAACACACACACAGACAACACACACACATCTCTTTTTGAACGTAGAGATGAGCAGACTGATTATGTCTGTGTTTGTTATACAGTGAGGGGAAAAAAGTATTTGATCCCCTGCTGATTTTGTACGTTTGCCCACTGACAAAGAAATGATCAGTCTATAATTTTAATGGTAGGTTTATTTTAACAGTGAGAGACAGAATAACAACAAAAAACACCAGAAAAACGCATGTAAAAAATGTTATAAATTGATTTGCATTTTAATTAGGGAAATAAGTATTTGACATGGCTCCCAGGTGTCTTTTATACAGGTAACGAGCTGAGATTAGGAGCACACTCTTAAAGGGAGTGCTCCTAATCTCAGTTTGTTACCTGTATAAAAGACACCTGTCCACAGAAGCAATCAATCAATCAGATTCCAAACTCTCCACCATGGCCAAGACCAAAGAGCTCTCCAAGGATGTCAGGGACAAGATTGTATACCTACACAAGGCTGGAATGGGCTACAAGACCATCGCCAAGCAGCTTGGTGAGAAGGTGACAACAGTTGGTGCGATTATTCGCAAATGGAAGAAACACAAAATAACTGTCAATCTCCCTCGGCCTGGGGCTCCATGCAAGATCTCACCTTGTGGAGTTGCAATGATCATGAGAACGGTGAGGAATCAGCCCAGAACTACACGGGAGGATCTTGTCAATGATCTCAAGGCAGCTGGGACCATAGTCACCAAGAAAACAATTGCTAACACACTACGCCATGAAGGACTGAAATCCTGCAGCGCCCGCAAGGTCCCCCTGCTCAAGAAAGCACATATACAAGCCCGTCTGAAGTTTGCCAATGAACATCTGAATGATTCAGAGGAGAACAGGGAGAAAGTGTTGTGGTCAGATGAGACCAAAATCGAGCTCTTTGGCATCAACTCAACTCGCCGTGTTTGGAGGAGGAGGAATGCTGCCTATGACCCCAAGAACACCATCCCCACCGTCAAACATGGAGGTGGAAACATTATGCTTTGGGGGTGTTTTTCTGCTAAGGGGACAGGACAACTTCACCACATCAAAGGGACGATGGATGGGGCCATGTACCGTCAAATCTTGGGTGAGAACCTCCATCCTTCAGCCAGGGCATTGAAAATGGATCGTGGATGGGTATTCCAGCATGACAATGACCCAAAACACACGGCCAAGGCAACAAAGGAGTGGCTCAAGAAGAAGCACATTAAGGCCCTGGAGTGGCCTAGCCAGTCTCCAGACCTTAATCTCATAGAAAATCTGTGGTAGGGAGCTGAAGTTTCGAGTTGCCAAACGTCAGCCTCAAAACCTTAATGACTTGGAGAAGATCTGCAAAGAGGAGTGGAACAACATCCCTCCTGAGATGTGTGCAAACCTGGTGGCCAACTACAAGAAACGTCTGATCTCTGATCATGTCTTTGTCAGTGGGCAAACTTACAAAATCAGCAGGGGATCAAATACTTTTTTCCCTCACTGTATGTGGTTGTAGTGTGTGTCATATCTGTTGGTCAACATTTCTCTGTGTTCATCTCTTGCAGTCTGGAGACCAGCCCAATCACAGACAGTGACTTGTCCAAGCGGATGGTGTTCCAGAGGTCTTACTCTGTAGTGGCCTCTGAGTATGACAAGCAGCACTCGGCCTCCCCGGCCAGGGTCAAAGCCGTGCCCAGACGCAGAGTCCACAGTGGGAATGCAGGTGGGTAAACCTTCCCCTGAACCACCAGACCAGAGGGCTTTGTGCCTACTTACTATTAGAACTAAAGGGTTTGGATGCAGACAAAAAATAGTTATTCTACACCTCACCATTATCCAATTAACCTGATATTTACTACACAAGTATTATGGTAATGGTCATTGTATGATAAAGACATTAAAATATGTCCTATTTAGTTTTCATATGATTTATTGAGTTATACCACTTCCCCACTGTTATAACAAAGCAAATATCAGTTTCTTTGTAAATATCAGGTGAATTTTAGCTGGAATAGGGTTGCAAATTCCTAAGTGTTGCCAATTACCATGACATTTGTAATACCGTATTTAATAAGTATGGCATTTTTATTTATTGTTTTGTTATTAGGGGTTCATGCAGTGAATCTGATGAAACCCTATTGTATTTGTTGGCGTTCATTATTATAATTATTGTTAGGGGTTCAAGCAACAAAGCCAGTGAAACCCTATTGTATTTGTTGGTGTTTATTATTATTATTATTATTATTATTAGGGGTTCAAGCAGAGAAGCTGGTGAAACCGTATTGTATTTCTTGGTGTTTATTATTATTAGGGGTTCAGCAGCTAAGCTGGTGAAACCCTATTATATTTGTTCCAGTTTGTTCCTAGTTTGTTCCTAGTCGATCTCCAAACATTTCTGTAGAAAACCCAACGATAAAGCCTTGCGTTCCTATATTTTTTTGGGGTCTTGCGCTGTTGGCAGTAGGTGCACCCAATTCAGCTTTTCTAATATTGAGGAATATTTCACTTTCAGTTTTCATAGGAGTAACAACATGAATTTGTACATGAGGCGTGCGACTTGTTTCGCCATCAGCTTTAAGACGGTGTCCCTTTTCGGCCAGTGTCAGCGGAGGAAAGGGAGAGCTGAGGGACGTTGAGAGGCGGGCCCTCAGTCTGCTCCTCTCTCCCGCCGCTGAGACTGACCATCAGATGCAGGCCCGATTAGCCCAGTAAAATAAAAAGCTAAATATTTAAATGTATGCTCACTCAGCTGTGCCTCACAAGTAATACGACAACTGATAAATAGCCTACCTCCATTTTTTTAAATATATGATGTTTAAAAAATGGTCCGAACAACAATGCATTGGCAGGGAAATTCAAGCAAAGCCACTATGTGGTGAAAGTGTATTGGGCCTATATCTTACTGCACAAACCTCATTGCTACAGTACTGCATAGGCTTACATTTTATAAAGTAATGTAAAAAATATATATATAATAGCGGTAGACCTTGCATTTTGACTCAGAAAGTGATCTTGACTCAAAAATGGTTGATGACCACTGCCCTATTATGTTTCTTCTGGTTCATTATTGTTATTATTACACCAGTTCTTCTTGCGAGGAAAATTAACATGCAAATTCCTGTGAGATGGTAAGTCAGAGGAGGGTGCAACTTGACATGATAGTAAAGGCCCTTAGTCCACACCCTTTCATGCAATGCCGTGCCAATTGGCCACAAGGTGGTGCTCCAACAGGCGATTTAAATTGCAAACTTTGAAGGGTCACGCCCCTCACCCCCTATGACCTAGAGTCCTGAAAAAGTCAGTGTGTAGGTCCCTCTTCTCACAAGGAACACATTTTCCTCATGGACCCATAAGGTCCGCCATGATGAATTTTCCGCCATTTAGAATTTTGTGAAAATCATTTAAAACGTTACTCCTCTGTCCATAAATGCTACATACCAAATTTGGTACCGTCCGGTCCATCATTAGAAATGGTCCAAAATACACTATATATACAAAAGTATGTGGATACCCCTTCAAATTAGTGGATTCAGCTATTTCAGCCACACCCGTTGCTGACAGGTGTATAAAATCAAGCAAACAGCCATGCAATCTTCATAGACAAACAAGTGGAAACGTCTAGTAGCAACAACGGCTCAGCTGCGAAGTGGTAGGCCACACAAGCTCACAGAATGGGACCGTCTTTCCTCGGTTGTAGCACTCACTACCGAGTTCCAAACTGCCTCTTGAAGCAACATCAGCACAATAACTGTTCATCGAGAGCTTCATGAAATGGGTTGCCATGGCTGAGCAGCCGCACACAAGCCTGAGATCACCATGCACAATGCCACGCGTCGGCTGGAGTGGTGTAAAGCTCGCCGCCATTGGACTCTGGAGTAGTGGAAACGCGTTCTCTGGAGTGATGAATCACGCTTCACCATCTGGCAGTCCGACGGATGAATCAGGGTTTGGTGTATGCCAGGAGAACACTACCTGCCCCAATGCATAGTGCCAACTGTAAAGTTTGGTGGAGGAGGAATAATGGTGTGGGGCTGTTTTTCATGGTTCGGGCTAGGCCCCTTAGTTCCAGTGAAGGGAAATCTTAACGCTACAGCATACAATGACATTCTAGTCATTGTACTTCCATCTTTGCGGCAACAGTTTGAGAAAGGCCCTTTCCTGTTTCAGCATGACAATGCCCCCGTGCACAAAGCGAGGTCCATATAGAAATGGTTGAGATCGGTGTGGAAGAACTTGACTGGCCTGCAACTCTATCAAACACCTTTGGGATGAATTGGAACGCTGACTGCGAGCCAGGCCTAATCGCCCAACATCAGTGCCCGACCTCACTAATGCTCATGGCTGAATGGAAGCAAGTCCCCACAGCAATGTTCCAACATCTAGTGGAAAGCCTTCCCAGAAGAGTGGAGGCTGTTATAGCAGCAAAGGGGGGACCAACTCCATATTAATGCCCATGATTTTGGAATGAGATGTTCGACGAGCAGGCGTCCACATACTTATGGTCATGTAGTGTACATCAAAAGCACATTGCACAATCTATTGGCAAGCGTGGTAAGGAATACAGAAGTAGCTCAGACTAGGGCAGTGTGCACAATTTGTCCTGATGGTGGCACAGTGGGCCCACATCTTGAACCCTGGCATTGCTGCTTGCAGCTTTAATAATAATAATAATAATTATTATTATTATTATTATTATTATTGTTCCTCTTCTTCCGTAAGGCAAAATTAAAATATACATTCTCGTGAGATGGTGAGGCCCAGGAGGGTGCAACCTTGGATGTTGGTACAGGGCCTTGGGCCACACCTTCGCACGTAATGCCATGCCAATTGTCCACATGGTGCTGCTATAACAATCGATTTAACGTGCACATTTTGCGAGGTCACGCCCCTCACCCTGTGTGAGCTAGAGTCCTAAAAATTGTTACATAGGTCCCTCTCTTCACAAGGAACAAATGTGCCTCAAGAACTCATAAAGTCAGGCATTATGGATTTTCCGGTATTTAGAATTTTGTGAAAAACACTCAAAACGCTGATCCTCTTGCACCGAATGACCGATCTGCACAAAAGTTGATGAATGGCATCTATGGACCAATGTCTCCCAACGCAAAATTTTCTAGGCTAGTATGTCAAACACCATTAACCAATGAACTTGGGTGGGGTCTGGCAAATTTGGTGCCAATTTGGTGCTCCTGGAGAAAAATACGTTTAAAGGAGTTAACATCATTACAAATGGTCTAAAATACATCAAAGGCAGATTGCACGATCTGTTTGATTATGAGTTCTGATATTTGTCAAGTGTGGTAAGGAGTACAGAATTAGCTAATCCTAGGGCGATGTGTCCAATTTGTCCTGATGGGGGCACAGTGGGCCCACAGCTTGAACCGAGGCATTGCTGCTTGCCTCTTTAATTTATATAATATTTGTAACACTGTCCTCCCCTCCAGAAGTGGGTTCTTCTCTGTTGCACCACCCCTCCCCGGAACTGTCCCGTCTCATTTTGGCCCACGGATCCCTCAGTAAGGGCGAGAGGAACTTCCAGTGGCCTGTCCTGGCCTTTGTCATCCAGCACCACGACCTGGAGGGTTTGGAGGTGGCCATGAAGCACGCCCTGCGCAAGTCCGCCTGCAGGGTCTTCGCCATGGAGGTAACGTCCGTCAAAGAGATACTCGTACACATGACAGTGGACATTTTAGCATTTCCCATCAGAAAATGTGTCAAGCTGCCTGGGAATGCTAACTCTAGCTGGCCACGGAGATACGTCAAAGATACTCATACACAAGACCGTGGACAGTTATCATTTTCATAGGAAAATGTGTCACGCTGCCCGAAGTGCCAAGTTCATGCTTACACTAGCTGGGCATTTGTAGTTGTATACCACAAATCAACAGTTAGCAGCGTTACCTCAAATGCTAACGTGATTAGCCTATTGGGTAATCCTCTTTGAGGTACCTCAGTAGTCGCTAGACGGCACTGTTAGAAAGGACAAAAGTGTAGGCAATATCTGAGATGAGAAACTGATCAGAAAATGTATTGTTAAGGTTAAGTTAAGGTTAGGTTAGGGGTTTAGAAAGCACTGTACTTTTTTTATTTAATAGGATCGTCCCTCCCCTCTCTGGCCTAATGTGATCTAATGTGAACTGATTACCTTCAAACTCTGAAAAAATCTCACAGATAACGTTGGTCAACGTTGTACATTGTTGGTTTTTGGTACTTTTATATAAAAGTAAATTAATACATTGCTTCAGGTCTTTGCTGTGAAATTTAAAGGACTGTTTTCTGAAGTGAGTCTGAAAGCCACCATCTTACCTCTCTCCCCTTCCTCAGTCATTCAACTGGCTGCTGTGTAACGTGATCCAGACCACCTCGCTGCACGACATCCTGTGGCACTTTGTCGCCTCCCTCACCCCATCACCCTTTGAAACTGAGGATGAGGAGGAGCAAGAAAACAAAGCCCCCGGGAACAAGGAAATCGTGATGGAGCAGGTGATGTTTGATTAAGAAAAATGGACCGGGGTGGTGGGGGGGTCATTTTATTGCTGCTATCTTCAACAGGTCTCTTGCTAAATACATCATCTCAATGAGACAAACCTGGATAAATAAAGGTTTTTATTTGAGGTACCGGTACAATATATTCAGATGGTTTATTTTTCAATGTATACTGAACAAAAATATAAACGCAACATGTAAAGTGTTGGTCCCGTGTTTCATTAGCTGGAATAAAATATTACATTTAATTATCTTTAAGGAATACCTGGAATAGTATAAAGTAATCCTTCTACCCCCCACCCCCCCCCCCCCATAAAAAAAAGAAGAAAAAAAGTGGTTGTCCCACTTGCTATCATAAGTTGAATGCACCAATTTGTAAGTCACTCTGGATAAGAGCGTCTGCTAAATGATGTAAATGTAAATGTACATTTGTTTACATCCCTGTTAGTGAGCATTTCACCTTCGCCAAGATAATCCATCCACTTGACAGGTGTGGCATATCAAGAAGCTGATTAAACACCATGATCATTACAAAGGTGCACCTTGTGCTGGGGACAATAAAAGGCCACTCTAAAATGTGCAGTTTTGTCACACAACAAAATACCACAGATGTCTCAAGTTTTGAGGGAGTGTGCAATTGGCAGGCTGACTGAAGGAATGTCCACCAGAGCTGTTGCCAGAGAATTTACTGTTAATTTCTCTACCATAAGCCACTTCCAACATCGTTAAATAGAATTTGGCAGTACGTCCAACCGGCCTCACAACCGCAGACCATGTGTATGGCGTCGTGTGGGCGAGTGGTTTGCTGATGTCAACGTTGTGAACAGAGTGCCCCATGGTGGCGGTGGGGTTAATGTATGGACAGGCATTAGCTACCGACAACGGCAATTGCATTTTATCGATGGCAATTTGAATGCACAGAGATACCGTGATGAGATCCTGAGGTCCATTGTCGTGCCATTCATCACCTCATGTTTCAGCATGATAATCCACGGCCCCATGTCGCAAGGATCTGTACACAATTCCTGGAAGCTGAAAATGTCCATGTTCCTCCATGGCCTGCATAGACATGTCACCCATTGAGCATGTTTGGGATGCTCTGGATCGACGTGTACGACAGTGCGTTCCAATTCCCGCCATATCCAGCAAATTCACACAGCTATTGAAGAGGAGTGGGGCAACATTCCACAGGTCACAATCAACAGCCTGATCAACTAACTCTATGCAAAGGATATGTGTCGCACTGCATGAGGCAAAAGGTGGTCACACTAGATACTGACCGGTTTTCTGATCCATGCCCCTACCATTTTTTTAAGGTACAGTGGGGGAAAAAAGTATTTAGTCAGCCACCAATTGTGCAAGTTCTCCCACTTAAAAAGATGAGAGAGGCCTGTAATTTTCATCATAGGTACACGTCAACTATGACAGACAAAATGAGGGAAAAAAATCCAGAAAATCACATTGTAGGATTTTTTATGAATTTATTTGCAAATTATGGTGGAAAATAAGTATTTGGTCAATAACAAAAGTTTCTCAATACTTTGTTATATACCCTTTGTTGGCAATGACACAGGTCAAACGTTTTCTGTAAGTCTTCACAAGGTTTTCACACACTGTTGCTGGTATTTTGGCCCATTCCTCCATGCAGATCTCCTCTAGAGCAGTGATGTTTTGGGGCTGTAGCTGGGCAACACGGACTTTCAACTCCCTCCAAAGATTTTCTATGGGGTTGAGATCTGGAGACTGGATAGGCCACTCCAGGACCTTGAAATGCTTCTTACGAAGCCACTCCTTCGTTGCCTGGGCGGTGTGTTTGGGATCATTGTCATGCTGAAAGACCCAGCCACTTTTAATCTTCAATGCCCTTGCTGATGGAAGGAGGTTTTCACTCAAAATCTCACGATACATGGCCCCATTCATTCTTTCCTTTACACGGATCAGTTGTCCTGGTCCTTTTGCAGAAAAACAGCCCCAAAGCATGATGTTTCCACCCCCATGCTTCACAGTAGGTATGGTGTTCTTTGGATGCAACTCATCATTCTTTGTCCTCCAAACACGACGAGTTGAGTTTTTACCAAAAAGTTCTATTTTGGTTTCATCTGACCATATGACATTCTCCCAATCCTCTTCTGGATCATCCAAATGCACTCTAGCAAACTTCAGACGGGCCTGGACATATACTGGCTTAAGCAGGGGGACACGTCTGGCACTGCAGGATTTGGGTCCCTGGCGGCGTAGTGTGTTACTGATGGTAGGCTTTGTTACTTTGGTCCCAGCTCTCTGCAGGTCATTCACTAGGTCCCCCCGTGTGGTTCTGGGATTTTTGCTCACCTTTTTTTTTTTTTTTTTTTTTTTTTTTTTTTCACCTTTATTTAACCAGGTAAGCCAGTTGAGAACAGGTTCTCATTTACAACTGCGACCTGGCCAAGATAAAGCAAAGTAGTGCAATAAAAACAACAGAGTTACATATGGGGTAAAAAAAAACATAAAGTCAGAAATACAACAGAAAATATATATACAGTGTGTGCAAATGTAGCAAGTTATGGAGGTAAGGCAATAAATAGGCTATAGTGCAGAATAATTACAATAGTATTAACACTGGAATGCTAGATGTGCAAGAGATTATGTGCAAATAGAGATACTGGGGTGCAAAAGAGCAAAATAAATAACAATATAGGGATGAGGTAGTTGGGTGGGCTAATTTCGGATGGGCTGTATACAGGTGCAGTGATCGGTAAGGTGCTCTGACAACTGATGCTTAAAGTTATTGAGGGAGATAAGAGTCTCCAGCTTCAGAGATTTTTGCAATTCGTTCCAGTCATTGGCAGCAGAGAACTGGAAGGAATGGCGGCCAAAGGAGGTGTTGGCTTTGGGAATGACCAGTGAGATATACCTGCTGGAGCGCAGACTACGGGTGGGTGCTGCTATGGTGACCAATGAGCTAAGATAAGGCGGGGATTTACCTAGCAGTGATTTATAGATGGCCTGGAGCCAGTGGGTTTGACGACGAACATGTAGTGAGGACCAGCCAACAAGAGCGTACAGGTCACAGTGGTGGGTAGTGTATGGGGCTTTGGAGACAAAACGGATGGCACTGTGATAGACTACATCCAATTTGCTGAGTAGAGTGTTGGAGGCTATTTTGTAAATTACATCGCCGAAGTCAAGGATCGGTAGGATAGTCAGTTTTACGAGGGCATGTTTGGCAGCATGAGTGAAGGAGGCTTTATTGCGAAATAGGAAGCCGATTCTAGATTTAACTTTGGATTGGAGATTCTTTATGTGAGTCTGGAAGTTGAGTTTACAGTCTAACCAGACACCTAGGTATTTGTAGTTGTCCACATACTCTAGGTCAGACCCGTCGAGAGTGGTGATTCTAGTCGGGTGGGCGGGTGCCAGCAGCGTTCGATTGAAAAGCATGCATTTAGTTTTACTAGTGTTTAAGAGCAGTTGGAGGCTACTGAAGGATTGTTGTATGGCATTGAAGCTCGTTTGGAGGTTTGTTAACACAGTGTCCAATGAAGGGCCAGATGTATACAAAATGGTGTCGTCTGCGTAGAGGTGGATCTGAGAGTCACCAGCAGCAAGAGCGACATCATTGATATACACGGAGAAAAGTGTCGGCCCAAGAATTGAACCCTGTGGCACCCCCATAGAGACTGCCATAGGTCCAGACAACAGGCCCTCCGATTTGACACACTGAACTCTATCTGAGAAGTAGTTGGTGAACCAGGCGAGGCAGTCATTTGAGAAACCAAGGCTATTTAGTCTGCCAATAAGAATGCGGTGGTTGACAGAGTCGAAAGCCTTGGCCAGGTCGATGAAGACGGCTGCACAGTACTGTCTATTATCAATCGCGGTTATAATATCGTTTAGGACCTTGAGCGTGGCTGAAGTGCACCCGTGACCAGCTCGGAAACCGGATTGCATAGCGGAGAAGGTACGGTGGTATTCGAAATGGTCGATGATCTGTTTGTTAACTTGGCTTTCGAATACTTTCGAAAGGCAGGGCAGGATGGATATAGGTCTGTAGCAGTTTGGATCTAGAGTGTCACCCCCTTTGAAGAGGGGGATGACCGCGGCAGCTTTCCAATCTCTGGGGATCTCAGACGTTATGAAAGAGAGGTTAAACAGACTAGTAATAGGGGTAGCGACAATTTCAGCGGCTAGTTTTAGAAAGAAAGGGTCCAGATTGTCTAGCCCAGCTGATTTGTAGGGGTCCAGATTTTGCAGCGCTTTCAAAACATCAGCTGTCTGAATTTGTGTGAAGGAGAAGCGGGGGGGGCATGGGCAAGTTGCAGCAGAGGGTGCAGAGTTGGTGGCCGGGTTAGTGGTAGCCAGATGGAAAGCATGGCCAGCTGTAGCAAAATGCTTGTTGAAATTCTCGATTATTGTAGATTTATCGGTGGTGATAGTGTTTCCTAGCCTCAGTGCAGTGGGCAGCTGGGAGGAAGTGCTCTTATTCTCCATGGACTTTACAGTGTCCCAAAACTTTTTGGAGTTAGTGCTACAGGATGCAAATTTCTGTTTGAAAAAGTTAGCCTTTGCTTTCCTGACTGCTTGTGTATATTGGTTCCTAACTTCCCTGAAAAGTTGCATATCGCGGGGGCTATTTGATGCTAATGCTGTACGCCACAGGATGTTTTTGTGCTGGTCAAGGGCAGTCAAGTCTGAGGAGAACCAGGGGCTATATCGGTTCTTAGTTCTGTATTTTTTGAATGGGGCATGTTTATTTAAGATTGAGAGGAAATTACTTTTAAGGAACAACCAGGCATCCTCTACTGACGGAATGAGATCTATATCCATCCAGTATACCTGGGCCAGGTCAATTAGGAAGGCCTCCTCGCTAAAGTGTTTTAGGGAGCGTTTGACAGTGATGAGGGGTGGTCGTTTGACCGCGGACCCGTTACGGACGCAGGCAATAAGGCAGTGATCGCTGAGATCCTGGTTGAAGACAGCTGAGGTGTATTTAGAGGGTATGTTAGTCAGGATGATATCTATGAGGGTACCCATGTTTACGGATTTAGGGTTGTACCTGGTAGGTTCGTTGATAATTTGCGTGAGGTTGAGGGCATCTAGCTTGGATTGTAGGATGGCTGGGGTATTAAGCATATCCCAATTTAGGTCACCAAGCAGTACAAACTCTGAGGATAAATGGGGGGCAATCAATTCACATATGGTGTCCAGGGCACAGCTGGGGGCTGAGGGGGGTCTGTAGCAAGCGGCAACAGTGAGAGACTTATTTCTGGAAAGGTGGATTTTTAGAAGTAGAAGCTCAAACTGTTTGGGCACAGACCTGGATAGTATGATAGAGCTCTGCAGGCTATCTCTACAGTAGATTGCAACTCCACCCCCTTTGGCAGTTCTATCTAGACGGAAAATGTTATAGTTGGGGATGGAAATTTCAGAATTTTTGGTGGCCTTCCTGAGCCAGGATTCAGACACTGCTAGAACATCAGGGTTGGCAGAGTGTGCTAACGCAGTGAATAACTCAAACTTAGGAAGTAGACTTCTGATATTTATGTGCAAGAAACCAAGACTTTTGCGATTACAGAAGTCATCAAATGATAGCGCCTGGGGAGTAGGAGTGATACTGAGGGCTGCAGGGCCTGGGTTAGCCTCTACATCACCAGAGGAACAGAGGAGGACTAGAATAAGGATACGGCTAAAGGCTTTAAGAACTGGTCTTCTAGTGCGTTGGGTACATAGAATAAAGGGGGCAGATTTCCGGGTGTTATAGAAAAGATTCAGGGCATTATGTACAGACAAGGATATGGAAGGATATGAGTAAAGTGGAGGTAAACCTAAGCGTTGGGTAACGATGAAAGAGATAGCATCGCTGGAGGCATCAATTGAGTCGGTCTCCGCGTGTATTGGGGGAGGTGCAAAGGAGCTATCTAAGGCAGGTTTAGCTAGGCTGGGGGGTCTACAGTGATATAGTACAATTAGAAATAACCGAAACAACAATAAACTAACCATGTTTGGGCTGAGGCTAAACATAAACAGGATGTAGTACCGTAAAAAGGAACAGTCCAGCAGATATCAGCTGTATAGCTGAGTTATCATAAGGTCCGGTGGTGAAGTACTAGTGAGTAAGAGGCTACAGCTAGCGGGCCAGGGCTAGCAGATGGATGGAATCTTCGTGGTTAACGTCGTAACCACATCAGACGATTTCGTCGGCAGACCAGTCGTGTAGGATCGGCGGGGCTCCGTGTCAATACTAGGTGGTCCCGTCCGGTTGACAGAGAGGTAGATAGCCGGGAGATGGGCCTAGCTCAGGATAATTAGCCAGACCACAGCGTCCGTTTTGTTGTAGCTAGCTGGTAGCGACGAATCCGGAGTTAAAGGTCCAGTGATTCCAGCGGAAAAACTGATATGTTCTGGGTCGATAACGCGCTGTGCAGACTGGCCGAATATCCGGTGATCAATGTCCAGTGATTAAAATTAATCCCGCAGAAAAAAATCCAATGTTCTGGGTGAAACACCGCTAGCTAAGGCTAATAGCAAGTAGCTAGTTAGCTGGCTAGCTGGCTAGCTAGTTTCACTGGAGATTCTAGATAAAAGGTAAGTCAATAATAGAATCCGTTCCACATTGAGTGAGGCGGGTTGCAGGAAAGTATATTTTGTAGAAGGATGAAAAGTCTGATAGGGAAATAGGTACGAAAAATACAAAAAAACAAGTTATTTACAGGCTATTTACAGGCACACGACAGAAACAGGACTGCACTACTTCGCCATCACGGGGTGAGATCTTGCGTGGAGCCCCAGATCGAGGGAGATTATCAGTGGTCTTGTATGTCTTCCATTTCCTAATAATTGCTCCCACAGTTGATTTCTTCAAACCAAGCTGCTTACCTATTGCAGATTCAGTCTTCCCAGCCTGGTGCAGGTCTACAATTTTGTTTCTGGTGTCCTTTGACAGCTCTTTGGTCTTGGCCATAGTGGAGTTTGGAGTGTGACTGTTTGAGGTTGTGGACAGGTGTCTTTTATACTAATAACAAGTTCAAACAGGTGCCATTAATACAGGTAACGAGTGGAGGACAGAGGAGCCTCTTAAAGAAGAAGTTACAGGGCTGTGAGAGCCAGAAATCTTGCTTGTTTGTAGGTGACCAAATACTTATTTTCCACCATAATTTGCAAATAAATTCATTACAAATCCTACAATGTGATTTTCTGGAATTTTTTTCTCTCAATTTGTCTGTCATAGTTGACGTGTACCTATGATGAAAATTACAGGCCTCTCTCATCTTTTTAAGTGGGAGAACTTGCACAATTGGTGGCTGACTAAATACTTTTTTTCCCCACTATCTGTGACCAACAGATGCATACCGTATCTATATTCCCAGTCATTTGAAACCCATAGATTACGGCCTAATGAATTTATTTCAATTGACTTATTTCCTTATATGAACTGTAACTCAGTAAAATCTTTGAAATTGTTTCATATTGCGTTTATGCTTTTGTTCAGTATACATGTATGTCTGTAGTCATTGTGTCCCTGATATGTGTGTTTTTATCTACTTTTCCATTATGTTTTCTTCATACACACAGGAGAGGGACCTGGGTGTGTGTGAGCACCCGCTGTCTGACATTGTGATCGCCGGGGAGGCCGCCCACCCCCTCCCCCACACCTTCCACCACCTCCTCCAGACCATCTCCGACCTAATGATGTCACTTCCTAGTGGCAGCTCCCTGCAACAGATGGCCCTCAGGTACAGTGGCCCTGTTGCTCAAAGTTCACCTCCACTTTCAACTCAAGCCTGCCCTCAAATCAATTATTTAACCCTATTATCCACCATACACTTGGAACAGAGCATATTATTACATTTTACATTTTACATTTTAGTCATTTAGCAGACGCTCTTATCCAGAGCGACTTACAGTTAGCGCATACATTATTTTATCGAACCCACAACCCTGGCGTTGCAAACGCCATGCTCCACCAACTGAGCTACATCCCCTGCCGGCCATTCCCTCCCCTACCCTGGCAACGCTGGGCCAATTGTGCGCCGCCCCATGGGTCTCCCGGTCGCGGCCGGCTACGACAGAGCCTGGATAAGACTAAAACTAAGGGGAAAATATCTCTTCTAAAGGATCAAATACTTTTATATATATATGAATAGGCCCTATAATGTTCACCACAGCTTTTTTTACATTACTTTTTAACACTAGAACCGCTGGGCTTTTCAGCATACAAGTACCCGCTACACTAAAGAATGCTGTCCGGCATCACCTTTAGCCTACTCATCAGATTAATCTACAGTGTTGTTATCAACCTAAATAAATACCAACGTAAATACCATCGTTCACGGTCCTGTTTCAGGACCGTGAACGAAAGTGATCTCTAGTGTTCCGCAACAAAACCATTATTTTAAAAGCATGGGAACCAGTTAATAACGTCCTTTCACATTCCAAGCAATTTTTCAGTCCCACAAAAAACGCCAACCAAACACCTGTGCAAAAGCACTCAGAAACATCTCCTTCCAGGGTCTGATTTAATAGTTTTGGTATATGATCGTTTAGCAGACACTCTTTTATTCATAGCGACTTGCTACCAACATGTGACACAGATATTCAGGATACATGGCCCATGTAGAAATTGAACCAACAACCCTGGTGTTGCTAGCACCATCCTCCAAACAATTTAGCTACCACTGTACTGATCAATGTGAGCGCGTGATCTCACCCTTGACCCGGAGTGTTTCCCCATCTGTCTATCAGGTGTTGGAGTTTGAAGTTCAAGCAGTCTGACCACCAGTTCCTGCACCAGAGCAACGTGTTCCACCACATCAACAACATATTGTCCAAGTCGGATGACGGCGACAGCGAGGAGAGCTTCAACATCAGTGTGCAGTCTGGCTACGAGGCCATGAGCCAAGTGAGACAGAATCCCATAAGAGAGCCATAATCATAGGGATGTTTCACGGGACCCATATTATATTAAGCCTAGTACTAGACTAAGAAGGTTTATTTAAATGGAGAATCTCCAAGGAGAATGATTTTTAAACCAGGACTAGGTTCAAACTAGATCTGGCTCATTAAGTTTTGCGGTAGCTAGCTCGACCTTATGAAAGTTGGTAGAGAATAGACTAGGTGATACATATACCACAGATGCTGTCTGAGACCCAAGTGCAGACCAACAGAACAGTCCAACAAATACCTAAGTCGTGTTCATTAGGGGATGCAACGGAAAGCAGTTAAACCTTTTCTGTTATCCTTGATGATTTTAAATGAATTGTATCCACTGAAATTAGAGGGCTGCATTCCTGCTGTGTGGTCTGCATTTTTCATATGGAGGGCTGTCAGACAGAGGACTTTGGGATGAAAATATGTTTGTTGTCCATCAGATTATTTGGAAATGTTTGTCTTTCTGCTTTGTATGCATTAGCCTACCTATTGTATTAAAAGCACATATGTTTCGCTGCTTTAACAGTAGCCTAGTTGGGCGTGAGTTCAAGTGCAGCTAGTATATGTGATGTCATTGAAATAGAGTAGGCTGCCTACATCCGCAGAGAATCACGTGGCAATTAACTCAAATATGAAATGTACTTAAATATGATTAGACCGTAGTTTACTACAGTGTCTGTAAATAAATATTGATAATGGAAAGAAGTGGAGGGCGCTCAATCAACGTGAGTCGAGGTGCAATCAAAAAAAAGTAATCATCATTGAAAAGGAAAAGGCATAACACGCACATACTGTAGGTTAGGCTACTAAGGTGAGCGAGCGTTGCGGTATTGATTACCCATTTATTTGTCTGCCTGCAAATCGTCCTCCTAAAAAGTAGGCTATATTCTATATGCAAAACGTAGCAAGTGTCGCTGTCATCATTCTTGCTGCTTCAAGTTCAGTAGCCATATGTGCGAGATCAGGTGTGGTCTCAATTAAATAGAGTAGGCTATAGCCTATGCATGCGCGGAGAAGCGCGGGGCAGTTATCATTCCAAGGAAATGTACTTCCTAAATATGTTTAGGCTATAGTTTACTACATTGCTTGTAAATAAATATTGATCACACATATTTATCCATTTGAAAATCTTCCCACTCCTAAAAAGTAGGCAATAAAAATAGCTCAAGAGAAAGTGCAAGTCTCGCGAACTATGCTCTCTTCAAACTACATCTAGCATATTCACTGATATAGCCCAGTAATACAAATAGCCTAATATAATGGGCCACATGAGAATCTTTGGTAATATAACCTATTATTTTTGCGCATTTTATATTGCATATAGGGCGTAAAATTGCTAGGACCATGGCTGGCAAGTGAGCTGCGTCACATACGCCTAAAATAAATCATTGCGGGACTGCGGTTGGGTTTGGGACCAGTTATTTCAGTAGTGGGTGGGAGTCGGACAGAAACCCAGCTGGGTGCGGTATGAAAAGCTGCGGGAGCGGGATGAAGAAATCAGTACCACGCAGACCTCTAGCTGAAATTAAATGTTTAAGATAGCTAGCAAAATTGTAAAACCTTGTCTGTTATCCGCTATGATTTTAAATGAATTGTATCCACTTGTGTGGCTGAAATGGATAGTTCAATATTGTCCAATCAAATCGTATCTATCTATATAGCTGGGAGGTGTTGAACATCATTTGACCTTCCAGGAGCTGTGCCTAGTGTCCTGTCTGAAGGACCTGACCAGCGTGGTGGACATAAAGACGTCCAGCCGTCCGGCCATGATCGGCAGCCTGACGGATGGCTCCACCGAGACCTTTTGGGAGTCGGGCGATGAGGACAAGAACAAGACCAAGTGCATCACCATCAGCTGCGTCAAAGGCATCAACGCCTCCTACATCACTGTGCACGTGGACAACTCCCGCGACATTGGGGTGAGTAGGGAAGGATTAAAGGGACATTTATATGTTTTATGGATCCCCATTCCTGGGGTCCAGCTAAATTAAGGCAGTTATGCAATTTTAAAAACATGACAATACATTCACAACATATTTCACAACACCTTAAGTGTGTGCCCTCAGGCCCTTACTCTGCTACCACACATCTACAACACAAAATCCATGTGTACATGTGTGTATAGTGCTTATGTTATTGTGCGGCAGGTAGCTTAGTGGTTAAGAGCGTAGTGCCAGTAACGGAAAGGGCGCTGGTTCTAATCCAGGAGCCGACTAGGTGAAAAATCTTTCGATGTGCCCTTGAGCAAGGCACTTAACCCTAATTGCTCCTGTAAGTCGCTCTGGATAAGAGCGTCTGTTAAATTACTAAAATGTAAAATGTGTGTGTGTGTGTCTGTGCCTATGTTTGTTGCTTTACAGTCCCCGCTGTTCCATAAGGTGTATTTTTATCTGTTTTTTAAATCAAATTTTACTGCTTGCATGAGTTACTTGATGTGGAATAGAGTTCCATGTAGTCATGGCTCTATGTAGTACTGTGCACCTCCCATAGTCTGTTCTGGATTTAGGGAAGTGCACTCCAAAATCAAATTTGTCAGATGCCACAATCTAAAATGTATTGAAAAACGGTCTGTTTTCATTGATTTTAAAGCCGCTCTTCTCTAACTCCACAGAACAAAGTCACCTCCATGACGTTCCTGTGTGGCAAAGCCGGGGAGGACCTCTGCAGGACCAAACAGGTTTGGCCTCTTATTTGAATAGACCAGCTCCAGGCATCTGTATAGTGCATTACAAGCCATGCCTCTGGTTAAAAGTAGATTACTACATGTTGTTGTACACTACTATTTGGGAAAGGTAGTGAGATACAGCCTGATATAGCTAACCACTATTAGTACAGAATATGGCAAACTTACAGCAATTGAAGCCCTTCTATACAATGTGTATTGTAATTTACTGTATGTACATACAAGCTGTTTTCAAAAGAAAGAACAAAGGAAAATCTGTACTGAACATTTTGATTCACCTCGGCATCAACACAACCTTCACTAACCAATCCCTTCCATCTCCCCACCTCTCTCAAGATCGACCTCGACTCGCGTCACATGGGCTGGGTGACCAGTGAGCTTCCTGGCGGGGACCACCATGTGATCAAGGTGGAGCTGAAGGGGCCCGAGAACACGCTGCGGGTGCGCCAGGTCAAGGTGCTGGGCTGGAAGGCTGGCGAGAGCATCAAGATCGCGGGGCAGATCTCGGCCAGCGTGACCCAGCAGAAGAACTGCGAGGCCGAGACACTCCGCGTTTTCCGCCTCATCACCTCACAGGTCGGTTCACCTGTCAATCAATCGTACTATGGGATCATAGGACCGGTCACCTGTCAATCACTCATAATATCATCTTACTGGTCGGTTGGCCAGCCAGTCACTCATACTATGGGGCCAAAATGTTCATGTTTTCTTCCTCTACCACTTTAGATCTAATAGAATTGGATAGGTTCAAGCTTTACCCTTGGTGTGCATGTGTTGTGTGTGTGTAGGTATTTGGGAAGCTAATCTGCGGAGATGCTGAGCCCACCCCTGAACAGGAGGAGAAGAACCTGCTGTCATCATCAGAGGGAGAGGACAAGGTCAGGGGTCATACTGTATACCAGTGTTTCCCTGTATGCCAGTGTTTCACACCTGAATCTTTTTGCAAATAATGACCAGAAAACAAACAGGATATTATAAAATATTTTTGTTTACCTGTTATTGTTTACATGTCATCAGGCTCCGTCAGACGCAGACCTGAAGGAACACATGGTGGGCATCATTTTCAGCCGGAGCAAGCTGACCAACCTGCAAAAACAGGTCAGTAGTCTATGGAATACCTGGCCAATAAAGTACAATTAACTAAAATAGTACAATACAACTACAACAACACAAAATGTGATCTCTGTCTACAGTAATCCTCTATAGAAGGCTTTGAGGGTTCAAGCCCCTGACTCTGCTTCCCCTGTCAATGTTATCTTCACACTTGAAATTGACTTCATATAGCTTTATCACTCTCCCCTCCCCCCTCCAGGTGTGCGCCCACATCGTCCAGGCCATCCGCATGGAGGCGACCCGGGTGCGCGAGGAGTGGGAGCATGCCATCTCCAGCAAGGAAAACGCCAACTCGCAGCCCAGCGACGACGACGCCTCCTCGGACGCCTACTGCTTTGAGCTGCTGTCCATGGTGCTGGCTCTGAGCGGCTCCAATGTAGGCCGCCAGTACCTGGCCCAGCAGCTGACGCTGATGGAGGACCTGTTCTCGCTGCTGCACACGGCCTCGCCCCGTGTCCAGAGACAGGTGGGGTGTACCCACATAATACAGACTCAACACATAATGTAATAACACATAATAGTTATTTATATACTCGTCGCCAAACCCACTGGCTCCAGGTCATCAATAAATCACTGCTAGGCAAATCCCCGTCTTATCTTAGCTCACTGGTCACCATAGCAAAACCCACCCGTAGTCTGCGCTCCAGCAGGTATATCTCACTGGTCATCCGCAAAGCCAACACCTCCTTTGGCTGCCATTCCTTCCAGTTCTCTGCTGCCAATGACTGGAATGAACTGCAAAAATCCTTGAAGGTGGAGACTCTTATCTCCCTCATTAACTTTAAGCGTCAGTTGTCAGAGCAGCTTACCGATCACTGCACCTGTACACAGCCATTCTGAAATTAGCCCACCCAACTACCTCATCCCCATATTGTTATTTATTTTGCTAATTTTGCACCCCAGTAGCTCTATTTGCACATCAGCTTTTGCACATCTATCATTCCAGTGTTAATACTAAATTGTAACTATTTTGCACTATGGCCTATTTATTGCCTTACCTCCATAACTTACTACATTCGCACATACTGTATATATATTTTCTGTTGTATTTTTGACTTTATGTTTTGTTTACCCCATATGTAACCATATGTAACTCTGTGTTGTTTTTATCGCACTGCTTTGCTTTATCTTGGCCAGGTCGCAGTTGTAAATGAGAACTTGTTCTCAACTGGCTTACCTGGTTAAATAAAGGTTAAATAAAATAAAAAATAAATGTTATATTATACATACACAATATGCCCATACACACACATGGGCACACCTACTCAATAAAGTATCATGGGGTGCTGGTCCAGTATGATTTCCTGCCTCATGACAATCTTAAAGAGGAGCTGAACTCTAAAACCAACTCATTATAATTATAATAATAATAATAATAATATATGCCATTTAGTAGACACTTTTATCAAAAGCGACTTACGGTAATGCATGCATACATTTTACGTATTGGTGGTCCCGGGAATGTGGCATCAATAGTAGTCTTAAACAATTGTACTATTTGCAAAAGTGGTAGAACTTTGGTCACAAAGTCAGAATCTTCTAAAACAGAGATTTGCGAGATTTAAAGAATCTATGGCACGTAAACGTTTTTCTTGGGTTGGGTTTAGATTTGAATCCTGCCCACGGCTGTCAGCGCCCGAATAACCAACCTACAGCCCACCCTTTTTCTTTATAGACAGCAGAGCTAACCAATTGAGGCATTAGCACACAGCGTCTCAGGACAACTTTGATGAGACTTGTTCATTATAAACAGCTTGGGTTTTTCCAACTCAAACATCCTTACATTTGTGAGCTAACTTTAGCGTCACAAACACAACTGTCATAAAAGATAGGGAAATGCTCAGAGCTTGATTCTTGACCAATCACATTCATGTTGTCATGCGGTTGCTAAGTCATTTGTCATGTGTACGGTGGCTGTTTGGATAGTTAAAGTAAACTGGAACACACATTTTACAGTTACATTTTACTCATTTAGCAGTTGCCCTTATCCAAAGCGACTTACTGTAGTGAGTGCATACATTTTCATACTTTTTTTCATACTAATCCCCCGTGGGAATCGAATCCACAACCTTGGCGTTGCAAGCTCCATGCTCTACCAACTGAACTACACGGGACACACAACAGTAGGCTATTAGAAAACATGACACACACTTCAAACTGGCTAAATCAGTGAATTCAGCCCCACTTTAACATCAGTAAAGCTAAAGAGAGTCTCTGCATGATGTATATCACTCCAGCCGTTTAATAACATTGACTACATGGCTATCCTTTCTCACCCTTCACCTGTCCCCTCTTTCCCAGGTGACCTCTCTCCTCCGTCGTGTCCTTCCTGAGGTGACACCCGTGCGCCTGGCCAGCATCATCGGCATCAAGGCCCTGCCGCCTGCCGATATCAGTGACATCATCCACTCGACCGAGAAGGGTGACTGGAACAAGCTTGGCATCCTGGACATGTTCCTGGGCTGCATCGCCAAGGCGCTCACCGTGCAGCTCAAGGCCAAGGGCACCACCATTGCCGGCACGGCGGGCATGGCGGCAGGCAAAGGCATCACAACTGTCACACTGCCCATGATCTTCAACTCCAGGTGAGACAACAACTTTGAGATTTACCTTCATTAGGCACAAAATCTAAGAAAATTGTCCAAAAACGGAGTGAAGTATGACTATGTGGACTTGTCCAATAAGAAAAGCTTGCTTTTGTTTTATGTTGCAAGACGTTGTAAGATGTGAGATGACCCACCTGGATGGGTCATCTCACAAAAACGATTAATGACTTCGTCGCCAACATTTTGAGATATTCTCAAACCAATTGTTGTGTGTGGTTGTTTGTATATTGACTTTCAGATGTGATTTCTCCTGATTGAACAGGAATTCCGGATTTTCAATATAATCTCATTCAAATGTATTTATAAAACCCTTTATACATCAGTGGTTGTACAAAGCCTTTTGTACATTTTACTGACATTCTCTTGTATTCATACATTTCTGGAATTGACCTAACTCCCCGAAACCAATATATATATATTTTTTTACATTTTTAGTCATTTAGCAGACGCTCTTATCCAGAGCGACTTACAGTTAGTGAGTGCATACATTATTTTATATTTTATTTTTCATACTGGCCCCCCGTGGGAATCGAACGCCATGCTCTACCAACTGAGCTACATCCCTGCCGGCCATTCCCTCCCCTACCCTGGACGACGCTGGGCCAATTGTGCGCCGCCCCATGGGTCTCTTGGTCACGGCCGGCTACGACAGAGCCTGGATTCGAACCAGGATCTCTAGTGGCGATGCAGTGCCTTAGACCACTGCGCCACTCGGGAGCATATATACAGTACTTATTGTTTTGCTGTTCATATCTCTGTTGTATTGTGTCCCATAATGAACACATTGGTCGAACACTGCCTCTCTCCATGTGCAGCTACATACGCCGGGGGGTGAGCCACTGGTGGATGAAGGGATCCACTCCCCCTCAGATCGCTGAGATCATCATCAAGCTGGTCAAAGACATGGCTGCCGGACACCTGTCGGATGCCTGGTCTCGGGTGACGAAGAATGCCATCGCTGAGACCATCATGGCCCTCACCAAGATGGAAGAGGAGCATCGCTCGCCAGTCCGTTGCATTGCCACCACCCGGGTATGGCTGTTCTCATATCACACTACCATATTGTGTGTGTGTGTGTGTGTGTGTGAGAGAGGTAGAGGGAAAAGGAGTGTGTGTGTGTGCTTAGCAGACCTGGGTTCAAATACTATTTCAATTACTTTCACATACATTTCATAGTAAGTATTCAGATTAATTTCTTGAAAATTCAAGTAGTTGAATACTGGAATGTAAGTAAGTATCTAAAATACATGTATTTGAATCCAGGTCTGGTGTGTGTGTAGTGTGTGGCGGATGTTTGTATGTGCACATGCACGTGTGTTAGGTTAGTGCGTGTGTTTGAGTACATTTTTATCCTCTCTGTCCTTTCTCTCTGTACTGTAGTTGTGGCTTGCTCTGGCCTCTCTGTGTGTGCTGGACCAGGATCATGTGGACAGGCTGTCCTCAGGCCGCTGGATGGGCAAAGACGGACAGCAGAAACAGATGGTAACTTGTCCATATTAGCCTCATAGAACACGTGCATTTTGGCAAAGCAATATAGACTCAAGACTTTCTCTGTTTTTTATTATAACCTGTTGAGATAATGCATAATTGAATGGATTTAATTTATAGCACGCAAAATCACATTCCTTACAATTTTTACATTTAGCTATACACATTTTAAGTTCTAGGTGGATGAAATGAGGGAAAGTTGTCTCGAGGTGTTCGGGTTGTAACCGTAAAGTGTCGTTGTGCTCCTGTCCACAGCCCATGTGCGATAACCATGACGACGGCGAGACGGCAGCCATCATCCTGTGTAACATGTGTGGTAACCTGTGTACCGACTGTGACCGCTTCCTCCACCTGCACCGACGCACGCGCTCCCATCAGAGACAGGTCAGTAGTACCCACATTCACCTGTAGGGGGCTAGACTGGGAGCCTGTCGAAGTGTCAATGCTTCTTTCCACCTTGGTACCACCTGCAATAATGTGTATACCAGGGTTTCCATTAGGATATTTGCCACCGGACAATGTGACCTGCAAGATTTACATTTACTGGACATTTGAGAAATATACCGCATGCATTGGGTGCGTAACCCATTATAGGGTATGCCCACGGAGCTCAGAATGCAGAAATCACATTTAGATTATGGTAATTCAATTTAACAGAATAGAAATTAGCCTGTAAAGTTGGTTCATGTATACCAACATGAACCAACATGTCCCTGATAATTTGTCCGGCACCAATGTTAGTTATCCGCTTTTCCCTGGTGTATATACGCCCATTTGTGAAGACCTGACCACCTATAAATGTTAAAGGGATGTTCCACTCAAAATACAAACTAACATGTTTTTCCACCTACCTTGGCTGTAGTAGTTTCCAAGACAGTTTTTGCTTATGCATTTAGCTTATTAAGGTATTTGTTAGTCATGCTTAGGCGTAGGCGGTATACCAGTTATAGCGTACACCGGGGTATTTTGAGATACTGACGGTACGGTTTTCAATACCGTATTAAAAATATATATATATTATAATAATAGAATACAAATTTGGGGCGGGGGACTACGCCACTGCTTGTAACTATAAGTTAACGCATAAGAGTCTAAGCCCTGTCTAAGCCGGGGGAGGGGTACTACTAAGTTATATGGAATTGTTTTAAGAAATTCATAGGATCATTTTGCTATTTGATTTAGAATGTTAAGACCCATTGAAGTATAACAACAAAATTAGAATACAATTATTTGATTAAAACATGTATTTGGCCATAGTGCTATTAGCCCATACAAAAGCATTGAATAACAGATTCACTACATGGAACAACAGATCAAAAGGAAGTTTGTTCTGAAGTGTCTATCCTATATCCTATACCCCTTATTTTTTTCACTAAACATTCTCCATATATACTTCCATTAATCTTTTTGGCTGGTCCCAGGGGACCTTCAGACAAGTCTTGTGAGGCCTGTGGGCGTCCAAGAGTAAACAACATGTACGTGTTCGTGAGAGACTCATCTTTCCATAGAGGGGTCATAATAGTGTGTAGGCCAAACCGATTTTGTGAGAAGACTGATTTTCGGGATGTCTCATTGTCTGGCAAACACCGCCCTAGCTCTGTCACCTTTCACCGCAGATGCGAAAGTGTTACAGATGCGGTGGATTGAGATGTATCCAATGCAAAAAAACTGATACACTACATGACCAAAAGTATGTGGACACCTGCTCATCGAACATCTCATTCCAAAGTCATGGGCATTAATATGGAGTTGGTCCCCCCTTTGCTGCTATAACAGCCTCCACTCTTCTGGGAAGGCTTTCCACTAGATGTTGGAACATTGCTGCGGGGATTAGGCCTGATTCGCAGTCGGCTTTCCAATTCATCCCAAAGGTGTTCGATTGGGTTGAGGTCAGGGCTCTGTGCAGGCCAGTCAAGTTCTTCCACACCGATCTCGACAAACCATTGGACCTCGCTTTGTGCCCGGGGGCATTGTCATGCTGAAACAGAAAAGAGCCTTCCCCAAACTGTTGCCACCAAGTTGGAAGCACAGAATCGTCTAGAATGTCATTGTATGCTGTAGTGTTAAGATTTCCCTTCAGTGGAACTAAGGGGCTTAGCCCGAACCATGAAAAACAGCCCCAAACCATTATTCCTCCTCCACCAAACTTTACAGTTGGCACTATGCATTGGGGCAGTTAGCGTTCTCCTGGCATCCGCCAAACCCTTGGCATTGTGCATGGTGATCTTAGGCTTGTTTGTGGCTGCTCGGCCATGGAAACCCATTTCATGAAGCTGCCGACAAACAGTTATTGTGCTGACGTTGCTTCCAGTGGCAGTTTGGAACTCGGTAGTGAGTGTTGCAACTGAGTTCAGATGATTTGTACGCGCTACGCGCTTCAGCACTCGGCAGTCCAGTTCTGTACCACTTTGTGGCTGAGCCGTTTTTGCTCCTAGACTTTTCCACTTCCCAATAACAGCACTTACAGTTGACTGGGGCAGCTCTAGCAGGGCAGACATTTTTCAAACTGACTTGTTGGAAAGGTGGCATCCTATGACGGTGCCACATTGAAAGTCACTGAGCTCTTCAGTAAGGCTGTTCTACTGCCAATGTTTGTCTATGGGGATTGCATGGCTGTGTGCTCGATTTTATACACCTGTCAGCAACAGGTGTGTCTGAAATAGCCAAGTCCACTCATTTGAAGGGGTGTGCACATCCTTTTGTATATCTCTATCTTAAACTGACAGATTGTTATGGGGATTTCTTTATTATGCTAATTAGATTTCCGCGGGGTGTGGACATCAACCATAGGGGGTTAACTATCTAAGATGTGCCAAATAAAATATCTCCAGCTCGGGTATCCAACTATGCATTTGGTTTGCTAACTTGCTAGCTAAATGGCTAGCTTGCAAGATCAAGCTTGGTTACAGCAGAGACAATTAATCCCCTCCTGGATCAAGATCCCTACTGCTTACATTTGTTTTGTCCCCAAGAATTATAATAAAATGTTTTTTGTTGTTGTAGTTGTTTTGTTTGAAAAAATAAATAGTGCCCCTTGTGTGCACCCCGGTAATACCATATACTCCCGTATCAGAAAAGGTAGAAAGGTATGAAAATCTGGATATCGCCTAACCCTAGTCAAGTTGTTTTTTCAGTATTACCATTAATTCTGAAAATATGTCTACAATCCAACTCATATTACATCATCCCTTTCTGACAGGCATGATGTGTAATTCAACATGGCGGTAACCCTGGTCTCCCTGCTGTTTCTCTACAGGTGTTTAAGGAGGAGGAGGAAGCAATCAAGGTGGACCTCCACGAGGGCTGTGGGAGGACAAAGCTCTTCTGGCTCATGGCTCTGGCCGACTCCAAGACCATGAAGGCCATGGTGGAGTTCAGGGAACACACGGGTAAGAGAACTTATTCAGATCATTTTCTGGCCCTGTCAAGAAAAACCCCTTAGCTAGCCATTACCCCCTAGACACTTGTGTAGATCTGAGAGGGACTGGATAGATTTAAGCAATATGATGACATTTCCACCTAGCCTATTACCTTTCTAATTCTTTGCAATCATAAGAAGTCACCGACTGTCATGACTGTTAATAGCATCTGCCGTGTGATGTTTATGACAGAGTTATGTATTCCTTATGAGCCTTCTCTCGTGCGTAGCTAATGCTCTGCCTCTGTGTGCAGGGAAACCAGCCTCCAGCAGCTCAGATGCCTGCAGGTTCTGTGGCACCAGGAACGGCACCGAGCTCTCGGCCGTGGGCAGTGTCTGCTCTGACCCAGACTGCCAGGTACCAAACACTCACAACATCAGTCATAATGATCATAGTTCTGGATTGCATTGATAAAACTTTTTTCAAATTCAGGTGTTCAGAGCGCTAAACCTAATCCATGTACTTACCACCCACAACATCAGTCATAATGATCATAGTAACAGATTGGATCTATTAAAAGAGCTAGCTATAGTGTTCAAAACACTTAGGCCATACAAATGTAATGTAAAAAAAAAAAAAAAAAAAAAATGTATTATAGTTTTTGGGGTATTTTACCCCCTTTTACTCCCCAATTTCGATCTTGTCTCATCGCTGCAACTCCCCAACTTGCGCGGGAGGCGAAGGTCGAGTCATGCGTCCTCTGAGACATGACCTGCCAAACCACGCTTCTTAACACCCACCCGCTTAACCCGGTATGCAGCCACACCAATGTGTCGTAGGAAACACAGTTCAACTGACGACCGAGGTCAGCCTGCAGGCGCCCGGCCCGCCACAAGGCGTTGCTAGAACGCGATGAGCTAAGTAAAGCCCCCCCGGCCTAACCCGGACAACGCTGGGCCAATTGTGCGCCGCCCTATGTGATTCCCGATCACGGCCGGTTGTGATACAGCCCGGGAACGAACTCGGGTCTGTAGTGATGCATAGACCGCTGCACCACTCGGAAGGCCCCACAAATAAAATCATTTTTAAAGAGAGGTGAGCGAAAAAAAGAAAAAAAACATGTGGACCCTTTTGTTAAAATCCTATAACGACCTTAGTTCAACACCTAGCGACCTAGTACAGAAATTGTAGCCTCTTGGGGAGGCTAAAAGAGGCATAGTTCAACCATAATCAGAGAGGGAGTTCTGTATCTCTTTATTGGAAGCTTGAGAACATTATTTTTTCTATAATCGTGCAATTTATTGTTACAACTTTTCATATATGTATATATTTTTTATATTTCAGAAAAGTGAAAACGTGCATCCTTTAAACCAGGGGTTTGGATCTACATTCATACAGTGTCCAGCTCGTGTCCAGCTCGCTAATAATCACCTAAATGAAAGCTAGACAGTCAGGGACAATGTTGGGGAACATTATTTTTAAAAGTAGTTACAACATTACTTACTATGGAAAGAAACTGGTTACATTATTTTTGTGTTACCAAAAACAGAAAACCCTCATGTTGGTCATTCATTCCTATGCCCAGTAGAGGGGGCACACTACCTATGAATGGCTACCCTCTGTAGGTTTCTCAAACTTGGTCCTGGGTGTCCCCCCCCCCACCAATTTGTGCACAAATTTGTTTACATCCCTGTTAGTGAGCATTTCTCCTTTGCCAAGATAATCCATCCACCTGACAGGTGTGGCATATCAAGAAGCTGATTAAACAGCATGATCATTACACAGGTGCACCTTGTGCTGGGGATAATAAAAGGCCACTCTAAAATGTGCAGTTTTGCCACACTGAGGAGTATTTCTGTCTGTAATAAAGCCCTTTTTTTGGGAAAAACTCATTCCGATTGGCCGGGTCTGGCTCCTCAGTGGGTGGGCCTGGCTCCCAGGCCCACACATGGCTCGCCCCTGCCCAGTCATGTGAAATCCGTAGGTTAGGGCCTAATTTATTTATTTTAATATACTGATTTCCTTCTATGAACTGTAAATCAGTAAAATCTTTGAAGTTGTTGTATTTATATTTTTGTTCAATATACATTATTTAGTTTAATTATTTGCACACAAGTAAATACATATATAAAACCAACTGGGCACAGTAAAAGAAGAAGCTAAAATACAAGGGCAACTGGCTACCAGTGTTGTATTATTTTACACACAGATACGAACGGGGAACAGAGATTCTATGTAAAACTAGATTATAATTTATATTGTCTAATTGTAGTGACCTTTCCTTTATGTTTATGGCAAAGACGAGCTGGAGAAATGTACGTTCTTATCAACTGAGCCTAACTTGATCACCTACGCTGTTTGCTTTATTACCAGACAATAAATGGGGCACTTGCCTGAACCCGATGATCCTGTGTTTGTGCTTGAATCCTGCAAGTAGCGTCGGTTAAGATTCAAGGAGTAACATCTGTCCTTTTCTTCTACCAATTCAAAGTACTGTGAATACTTCCACGATAAAGGCTATTGTCTCTGTCATCTCGCTAGCTATCTATCTACTAGCTGCCATGCCAGCTACCCACCACAATGTTCGTGCAGAAATAGGAAGCAGGAACGTAGCCTAGGGGGAGGGATTGTTGTTTGACACCCCTGCTTTAAACATTAAATTACATTTGTATGGCCTTAGCTTACCTCATCTGCCACAATTGTGAAAACCCCAACTCGGTAATAATGATCATAGTAATGGATTTTCAAAGTGTCTAAACTTACCTTACCAGCCACCAGTGGGAAACACTCAACTTCACCTGGTTTAGGCTTGAGGTCCATTTCAATTCAGTCCATTCAATATATTGACATTGAAACTCAATATAAGAATTGAAAAGTGTAATTTATTTTAAATTGTACTATTCATTAATTTAATTCCTCGTCACTCACTCAATTGACCCTGACCCTGCTGTACAGTATTGCACTGCAAAGGGTGTTGCGATTTTAAATGCACTTTGAATAAAGTGGATTTGATTATATGTATTGGGTAAAGCGCATCATCTGACCCTCACTCCCCTCCATGCCCTCTGTAGGAGTATGCCAAGCTGGCGTGCAGTAAGACCCACACGTGCGGCCACCTCTGTGGCGGGGTGAAGAACGAGAAGAGCTGCCTGCCCTGTCTGCACGGCTGCGAGAAGAACACAGGCTGCCTGAAACAGGACGCCGACGACATGTGCATGATCTGCTTTACTGAGGCGCTCTCTGCCGCTCCCGCTGTCCAGGTACACTATACTCTACACAGAATTACATTTTATTTCACCTTTATTTAAGCAGGGAGTCATGCTGAGACCACATTCTCTTTTGCAGATGAGCCCTGCATGAACACATCAATGAACATCAAATTACACAATACATGAAAAGCAAACACAAAACACGAAAAGCAAAACACAATCATATGAAACAAACACATTCTTCAGTAAAAAGGCCCTCTAACATTGGCCTGAATTGCGCTAGAGGTACCAACAACCAACTTAAAGGAGTTTTGGAGATCTCCACTGAGTTAGGTAAATATGCTTAAAAATAAAATAAAAAATTGCCGATTTACGTAACTCGGTGGAGATGGAAGGGATCTCCAGGTTTAGCCATCCCTGATTCCGGGTCTGCGACCTTATATGTCTGAAGCTTAACAATTTTGTATTTGTATTTATTAAGGATCCCCATTATCTGCTGCCAAGGCAGCAGCTGCTCTTCCTGGGGTCCAGCAACATTAAGGCAGTTATATAGTCCCGTGTAGCTCAGTTGGTAGAGCATGGCGCTTGCAACGCCAGGGTTGAGGGTTCGTTTCCCACGGGGGGCCAGTATGAAAAAAATAAAAAAAATAATTATGCACTCACTAACTGTAAGTCGCTCTGGATAAGAGCGTCTGCTAAATGACTCAAATGTAAATGTAAATATACAATTTAAAATATTGCATGACATTACATTACATAACACTTTTCACAACACATTAAGTGTGTGACCTCAGACCACTACTCTACTACCACATATCTACAATACAAAATCCATGTGTACGTGTGTGTGTATAGTGCGTTAACAATGACGTAAGGTACGGCAGAAGTTTATGCAAGAGGGCTTTATAGACAAAAAGAGCATAATGCATTGATCTATGAGACGTCAAAGAGGGCCAGCCTACTTTCTAATGCAAAATGCGAAATGATGTGTAATGAACCTATCGCCCTTACTAAAGGGAAATGCGCTATGATAAACTGCGTCCAATGGCTTCAATACTGTGGTAACTGTATTTACAGTATATAGATGAAACAAATACTATTATTGATAGTATTATATTGTATCTCTATGATACTAGCTTGAATCAGACAGGGACTCGCACCTGGGTTAAATTAGTATCTGTTTTCTTTCAAATACTTTTGAGTGTTTTTTTTGCCTGCCTGGAGTGCAAGATGGGTGGAATTTGAACTTGTGGGACTATTATATTGGTTTCAAAATAATACAAATACTATTTGAACCAAGGATTCTTGTTTGTCTTTAGGCCACAGATGTGTTCAAGGTCAGGTTCCAAAGGTTCTGTGTGTGGTTCTGTTCTGTTCCTCAGCTGGACTGCAGTCACGTGTTCCACCTCCAGTGTACCCGTCGTGTTCTTGAGAACCGCTGGCTCGGGCCCAGGATCACCTTCGGCTTCATGTCCTGCCCCATCTGCAAGGTACTATTCAACTTATGTAGCCCCACCCACTTGACCTGAGCCATTTCGAAAGCGGTTGTCTTTCAACATCCGGCCCATTGACACACAAGCAAAACCATAATTAAATATGAGCTAAATGTCTCATTTCCACGTAGTATAAGCACTTGGAAACCAACGTTAGCATAATTAGCATTCCCATAGACTTAACATGGCGGGTTAGCTAGACTAGCTTATTAGACTGTATCTGATGGTCGTTATCCATACAGGCTGTATTCCTTTTCAATCGAAGATCAATGCTTGAAAGGGCAATGTTGTTAGACACAGAATACCAATGGGAATAGAGAAACAGTGCTGAAATGTTTTTATGTAGATAACATGAGGATATTTGCAATCTGTTGTGCTACAAAGTTAACTAGCTAACCCGCCATTTTGAGTCTATGGGAATGCAAATTATGCTAACGTCGGCTACCGAGTGGTTATACTACTTGAAAACGCACGTTTACATTTTTTCAATATTTTTTCTGATAAAAGCAATTGATGAAGGCTAGAACATGAAGGTTTAAACAGTTACTTAAATAAAATTTAGTTTTTAATAGTGAACAAGCGTTGAGCCTTGTCTTTTTCAATAACATTTCTCACCAGATAATTACCATATCATTCAAATGATGTGCAAGTTATTTAATTATTTTGACAAATGTAATTTATATCTAACAACATCACCAGCTGTGTGTCAATGCGCCGGAAGTTGAAAGACAACCGCAGAAAATTGTCTGCGCCCTTGTTGCCAGGCTATGGTGGATATAAACCAATCTCCAGCAGTGGCCCCCTGGAACATCTAGTAATACACAGCTTCAAATATGGTCTAGAACAGCAGTAGTGGGAGAACATCCCACCCATTTTCATTGGTTTATCTTCCATCTAGCCCCTCATAAATGCACTAAGTATGGATTTAAATCTGTTTATTGTTTCGCTGGTTTAGTTCACCAGTTTGGTTGCTTTGTATAGAGGGCTGGCCCCTTTTCAGGTTTTTAGTCTGTTTTACTGAAATGTACTTGTCACTAGTCTTGCACACCAGGCATTTCTAGCCGTGTGTTTAGCAAAAAATAATAACTGACAGTGGTTTGAACTAACTAACATTGTGCCAACCGAGTTAAGAAAGGAGAGAGAATTGACTCAGACTCTTACCTGACTGGGCTGTTTTTCCTCCCAGAACAAGATTAACCACTCGGTCATCAAGGACCTGCTGGACCCTATCAGGGAGCTGTTTGAGGACGTACGGAGGAAGGCTCTGATGAGGATGGAGTACGAGGGGCTGCACAAGAGCGAGGCCATCACCATGCCCGGTGCCCGCTTCCACAACGACCCGGCCGGCTTCGCAATGAACCGATACGCCTACTACGTCTGCTACAAGTGCAAAAAGGTAGGCACTAGGGGTGTAACGGTTCACCAAACCAATGGTTTGGTACATATTGCGGTTTTAGGGTCACGTTTCGGTTACGATACACCAGGAAAATGAAATGCCAACAGTTACTGTAGGTAATTTTTGTTTATCTAAGAAAATGATTACATATATGATCATGAGTCATATAAAGCCTGATAAGAAAACATACGATTACTCATCAACAACACTAAAATAAAGTGCAATATGCGTGTGCCATCAATATGTAGACATGGCTCAGACATTGTGTAGGCCTATGCTATAATGTTTTCTTACAAAGAGAAAAATAGGCGCACTTGTGTGACTCTGTCATAAAGGGGGCGTGTCTGTAGCACGGTACTTCTCATTTCCCACTCTGTGGTAATGTGACGGGCTGTCACTGTAAAGTAGCTCTCTGTAGCCATGGCGGTCCATCCATCTGTAGAAAGTGCAAAACAGGGTGCATTGGCCAATTCATTGACAACGTTGGCTTTAGCTTGCTTATATAGAGCGGGTACTACCTGTTTGCTGAAATGCGTGCGAGAAGGCAAAGTGCGTAACGCGGCTCTAGCACTTTCACAAGCTTATTCTTCTCAACCATCGAGAATGGGCGCATATCCGCGGCTATAAACATGTTCATGTTTTGTATTGATATGTGTATTTGTATTGTGCAGGGCTCCTTTGAAAAAGAGACTTGGTCTCAATATGACACCCTGTTAAAATAAAGGTTAATAAATAAAGATCTAATCACATTTTATTTGTCACATGCGCCGAATACAACAGGTGTAGACCTTACCGTGAAATGCTTACTTACAAGCCCTTAACCAACAATGCAGTTCAAGAAAGAGTTAAGAAAAAGGTAAAAAAGAATAAAAAATAACACAATAAAATAACAATAACGGTACCGAGTCGAGGTAATTTAATAAATACCTATCGCTCTTGTAATTTCTTTGGCCCGGTCAGAATCAGCTTGCGAAGGGCTGCTTGAATGCAGAGAGGAGACTAAGTTGTGTTTTTTATTTTTTTATCCTTTGTTAGGAATACTGTGTTGATGTCGGCGTAAACGTCTCAACATGTTTGAGGTGTTGGCAGCTGCGTAGGCTATTCTAGTTGAGCAGTGGCAATATACTCTCTCTGTCTATCTCCGTTGTAATCTACTGGGAAGCCAAAATGTTCCCAAACTGGAGATTTAAACGATGATGGAGAATCCTCCTGGTTTATCGACCCCACCAGTCGCCATCGTACAGAACTAGTTCCCGGCTGCACAAAAGGACAGTTTGAAATGCGCCAATTAAAGATTTTAATTTTGATTACAACGTACACATAGGCTCTAGTTGTTTTAACGGAATAGCCTGAAATGTTTTTTGAGCTCAGATTTACTCAAGAGGCATACAGCGCAGCTGGTATAGCCTATAGGCCTAGTGTTTTTATAAAAATGTATTCACAGTGTGGACCGAACCGAGGTCCCCGTACCGAACGGTTTGGTATGAATACGCGTACCGTTACTCCCCTAGTAGGCAGAATTCTGGGGCGTATTCATTAGGCCGATTCTGTTGCAAAATGTTTCTTAAATGGAAGAAAACTAAATGAAACAGAGGTTTTAGTTGCAAAACTGGATGTATACTTAATTAGTGGTGTTTATGGATTTAATACAATTTGTGGACAGAATGGGTCCCACTTTAAATGACGTTCAGCTTATAAAGGCTTCTTAAAGCCTTCATAATGCCTTCATATGTTACAAAGCATCTATAACCGTATGTCATGCTTTAAAAAGGGTTCATAAATGTGGCATAACTGTGTGACACAATCACCAATGTCAAATGTGACATAACCCTTTATAAAGGGTTGACATGTTCTGCTGAAGGATGGAATACACTCTAAAGTGATGTCATGTTAGTCACATTACATTAAAATCACATTTTAAGATAAATTGTGGAAATGGCCATAATTATGACTTTTTTACTATGTTAAATAACACTAATATGTGAGAACAATATTTTCTGTGAAGAAATGTTTAATTTTGGCGTTATAATAAGGTTGGTAGCAACATGTTGCAGCTCAAGTCGACCACAAAATCCACAATGCAATGCTCTCTCTATGGGCTGGCTAGCTAACTAGCAAACGTAGCTACACACAATAATACCAAAGACAATATCAGCATGTGAAGTAGCTAGTTACATTGACATTACATTTTCGTCATTTAGCAGACGCTCTTATCCAGAGCGAAATTGGTGCATTCACCCTATGATAGCCAGTGGGACAACCACTTTACAATATATATCTTTTTTTGGGGGGGTGGGGTAAGGGGGGGTAGAAGGATTACTTTATCCTATCCCAGGTATTCCTTAAAGAGGTGGGGGTTCAAGTGTCTCTGGAAGGTGGTGAGTGACTCCGCTGTCCTGGCGTCGAGAGGGAGCTTGTTGCACCATTGGGGTGCCAGAGCAGCGAACAGTTTTGACTGGGCTGAGCAGGAACTGTGCTTCCGCAGAGGTAGGGGGGCCAGCAGGCCAGAGGTGGATGAACGCCCTCGTTTGGGTGTAGGGACTGGTCAGAGCCTGAAGGTACGGAGGTGCCGTTCCCCTCACAGCTCCGTAGGCAAGCACCATGGTCTTGTAGCAGATGCGAGCTTCAACTGTAAGCCAGTGGAGTGTGCGGAGGAGCGGGGTGACGTGAGAGAACTTGGGAAGGTTGAACACCAGACGGGCTGCAGCGTTCTGGATGAGTTGTAGGGGTTTAATGGCACAGGCAGGGAGCCCAGCCAACAGCGAGTTGCAGTAATCCAGATGGGAGATGACAAGTGCCTGGATTAGGACCTGTGCCGCTTCCTGTGTAAGGCAGGGTCGTACTCTGCGAATGTTGTAGAGCTTGAACCTACAGGATCGGGTCACCGCCTTGATGTTAGCGGAGAACGACAGGGTGTTGTCCAGGGTCACGCCAAGGCTCTTTGCACTCTGGGAGGAGGACACAACGGAGTTGTCAACCGTGATGGCGAGATCATGGAACGGGCAGTCCTTCCCCGGGAGGAAGAGCAGCTCCGTCTTGCCGAGGTTCAGCTTGAGGTGGTGATCCGTCATCCACACTGATATGTCTGCCAGACATGCAGAGATGCGATTTGCCACCTGGTTATCAGAAGGGGGAAAGGAGAAGATTAATTGTATGTTGTCTGCGTAGCAAAGATAGGAGAGGCCATGTGAGGATATGACAGAGCCAAGTGACTTGGTGTATAGCGAGAATAGGAGAGGGCCTAGAACTGAGCCCTGGGGGACACCAGTGGTGAGAGCACGTGGTGCGAAGACGATTCTCACCACGCTACCTGGTAGGAGCGACCTGTCAGGTAGGACGCAATCCAAGAGTGAGCCGCGCCGGAGATGCCCAACTTGGAGAGTGTGGAGAGGAGGATCTGATGGTTCACACTATCAAAGGCAGCAGACAGGTCTAGAAGGACGAGAGCAGAGGAGAGAGAGTTAGCTTTAGCAGTGCGGAGAGCCTCCGTGACAGAGAGAAGAGCAGTCTCAGTTGAATGACCAGTCTTGAAACCTGACTGGTTTGGATCAAGAAGGTAATTCTGAGAGAGATAGCAAGAGAGTTGGCTAAAGACTGCATGCTCAAGAGTTTTGGAGAGAAAAGAAAGAAGGGATACTGGTCTGTAGTTGTTGACATCGGAGGGATCGAGTGTAGGTTTTTTGAGAAGGGGTGCAACTCTCGCTCTCTTGAAGACGGAAGGGACATAGCCAGCGGTCAAGGATGAGTTGATCAGCGAGGTGAGGTAAGGGAGAAGGTCTCCGGAAATGGTCTGGAGAAGAGAGGAGGGGATAGGGTCAAGCGGGCAGGTTGTTAACAATAAATGAGTGTGGAGAGGAGGATCTGATGGTTCACAGTATCAAAGGCAGCAGACAGGTCTAGAAGGACAAGAGCAGAGGAGAGATAGTTAGCTTTAGCAGGGAGGAGAATGTGGCAAAGAGCTTCCTAGGGTTAGAGGCAGATGCTTGGAATTTAGAGTGGTAGAAAGTGGCCTTAGCAGCAGAAACAGATGAAGAAAATGTAGAGAGGAGGGAGTGAAAAGATGCCAGGTCCGCAGGGAGTCTATTTTTCTTCCATTTCCGCTCGGCTGCCCGGAGCTCTGTTCTGTGAGCTCGCAATGAGTCATCAAGCCACGGAGCTGGAGGGGAGGACCGAGCCGGCCGGGAGGATAGGGGACATAGAGAGTCAAAGGATGCAGAAAGGGAGGAGAGGAGGATTGAGGAGGCAGAATCAGGAGATTGGAGGGAGAAGGATTGAGCAGAGGGAAGAGATGATAGGATGGAAGAGGAGAGAGTAGCGGGAGAGAGAGAGCGAAGGTTGCGACGGTGCATTACCATCTGTGTAGGGGCAGAGTGAGTAGTGTTGGAGGAGAGGGAGAGAGAAAAGGATACAAAGTAGTGGTCGGAGACTTGGAGGGGAGTTGCAGTGAGATTAGTAGAACAACAGCATCTAGTAAAGATGAGGTCAAGCGTATTGCCTGCCTTGTGAGTAGGGGGGGACGGTGAGAGGGTGAGGTCAAAAGAGGAGAGGAGTGGAAAGAAGGAGGCAGAGAGAAATGAGTCAAATGTAGACGTAGGGAGGTTGAAATCCCCCAGAACTGTGAGGGGTGAGCCATCCTCAGGAAAGGAACTTATCAAGGCGTCAAGCTCATTGATGAACTCTCCAAGGGAACCTGGAGGGCGATAGATGACAAGGATATTAAGCTTAAATGGGCTAGTGACTGTGACAGCATGGAATTCAAATGAGGAGATAGACAGATGGGTCAGGGGAAAAATGTAGAATGTCCACTTGGGAGAGATGAGGATTCCTGTGCCACCACCCCGCTGACCAGATGCTCTCGGGGTATGCGAGAACACATGGTCAGACGAGGAGAGAGCAGCAGGAGTAGCAGTGTTTTCAGTGGTAATCCATGTTTCCGTCAGCGCCAAGAAGTCGAGGGACTGGAGGGTAGCATAGGCTGAGATGAACTCTGCCTTGTTGGCAGCAGAACAGCAGTTCCAGAGGCTGCCTGAGACCTGGAACTCCACGTGGGAGATGCGTGCAGGGACCACCAGGTTAGAGAGGCAGCAGCCACGCGGTGTGAGGCGTTTGTGTAGCCTGTGCAGAGAGGAGAGAACAGGGATAGGCATAGGCATAGTTGACAGGCTGCAGCAGATGGCTACAATAATGCAGAGGAGATCGGAATGAAATGAACTAAACATCTGGGAAAGGAGAGAGTGGGGCCTCCCTTACCACAACTCCCAAATATAACTCTCCCAACTTCCACCTCAGAAACTATAATTGTTGTAAACTACAGCGGTTCAATGTTTTCTAGGAATAGACTAACTTAGTTTATTCAGCTAGCTAACTAGGTGCAGTATTATTCCGTGAAAAACGTCCGGGCACCTCGTCATAAGACGCCACAGCCAGCTAGCATGCCGGACTCCAACAACACGGTTTAGCGCCAATACTCGGCCACAACAAACCACCAGTGTATCAACACGCAAGCAGATCGTTCGTGTCCGTGTCTAACGTTGTGGGTTAGTCCCGACAGCTTGAGCGTGTCCGTCGTCGACTTATTCAGCCAGTTAGTTAGCTAGAATAGTTAGCAAACTAGCTAGCCATTGCTTTCAGACAAAGAAGAACCCCTCCTTTCACGGCACGAACACACAGAGAGAGCCAAACTAACGTTAACTAGTCACCCATGTCCCGAATTCCTTGAACGACTCAGGCTATCAATATGTAAAAAACAAAAAAACACAAATGTAGGTTATGACTTACCCCTAGCAGCTACTGTTAGCTAGCCAAGTGCAAAGCTAGCCACTGAATTGACCCAGCCAGTTCGCGTCTGTTCGCTCGGTCGTTCCAGCTATTGTTTTGTCGATTTAGCAAGAGTGTTGTCGTGTGAATTTTAAATTGTAAAAATAATGAAAAACTTCTAAATAGTGAGCTATACCATTGAGAATACAGTAGCAGCCGGCATACATTTTCCCTACATGGAATGTTTCGGAAAGTAATATCTTTCACAGATGTCTGTCAGTCAGTTTCACTTGTCTCTAATAAACTTCTTTCGGGAGGCTTATTCCCTGACCCCTTCCCTTCCTTCCTCTGTTGCAGGCGTATTTTGGGGGAGAGGCACGCTGTGACGCGGAGGCAGGACAGGGAGACGATTATGACCCCAGCGAGTTGATCTGTGGAGCATGCTCAGATGTGTCCAGGGCACAGGTGGGTGGAGGGAAAGGTCCAGAGAAGGCCTTAGGGCAGCGTATCCCAAACTCAGTCCTCGGGACTCCAAGTGGTGCACGTTTTGGTTTTTGCCCTAACACTACACAGCTGATTCAAATGATCAAAGCTTGATGATTAGTTGATTATTTGAGTCAGCTGTGTAGTGCTAGGGCGAAAACCAAAACGTGCACCCCTTAGGGTCCCGAGGACCGAGTTTGGGAAACCCTGCCTTAGGGCGTTAACTGCATTGGGCTGTGTGACATCATCCACACTAGCATACTGCTTAGTATGGCCAATACGTTGCTGAATACTTGGTAATATCCGAGTTTGAATAGTGGGACACATCTTGACACTCCTGAACTCCTGACAGTATCACTTAATATGAGGACATTGTATGACAATTTTTTTTCCAATACTAGGTTGTTTATTGTCCATTTCAATAGAAATTCATTTTGTGACCTCTGCAAAACATTTAAATACTAAATACACAAAATCAATACAATATAATATGTTACAATACAATTGACACACTATCCCTGAAAAGTGATATACAGTGCATTGGGAAAGTATTCAGACCCCTTCCACATTTTGTTACGTTACAGCCTTATTCTAAAATAGATTAAATTATTTGTTTTCTCATCAATCTACACAGAATACCCCATAATGACAAAGCGAACACAGGATTTTAGAATTTTTTTCTAATTTATTTAAAATAAAAAACTGAAATATCACATTCACAGTGCATTCGAAAAGTATTCAGACCCCTTGACTTTTTCCAAATGTTGTTACCGTTATAGCATTATTCTAAAATTGATTAAATAAAAACATTTCATCATCAATCTACACACAATACCACATAATGACAAAGCGACAACAGGTTTTTAGACATTTTTGCAAAAATAAAATAAAAATAAATAAAAAACAGAAATAGCTTATTTACATAAGTATTCAGACCCTTTGCTATGAGACTCGAAATTGAGCTCAGTTGCATCCTGTCTATATAAGGTCCCACAGTTGACAGTGCATGTCAGAGCAAAAACCAAGCCTCTGAGACAGGATTGTGTCGATGCACAGATCTGGGGAAGGGGACCAAAAAATGTCTGCAGCATTGAAGGTCCTCAAGAACAGTGGCCTACATCATTCTTAAATGGAAGAAGTTTGGAACCACCAAGACTCTTCCTGGAGCCGCCGCCTGGCCAATTTGAGCAATCGGGGGTGAACGGCCTTAGTCAGGGAGGTGACCAAGAACCCAATGGTCACTCTGACAGAGCTCCAGAGTTCCTCTGTGGAGATGGGAGAACCTTCCAGAAGGACAACCAGCTCTGCAGCACTTCACCAATCATGCCTTTATGGTAGAGTGGCCAGTTGGAAGCCACTCCTCAGTAAAACGCACATGACAGCCCGCTTGGAGTTTGCCAAAAGGCACCTAAAGACTCTCAGACCATGAGAAACAAGATTCTCTGGTCTGATGAAACCAAGATTGAACTCTTTGGGTTCTTGGTCACCTCCCTGACCAAGGCCCTTCTCCCCCGATTGCTCAGTTTGGCCGGGCGGCCAGCTGTAGGAAGAGTCTTGGTGGTTCCAAACTTCTTCCATTTAAGAATGATGGAGGCCACTGTGTTATTGGGGATTTTCAATGCTGAAGAAATGTTTTGGTACCCTTCCCCAGATCTGTGCCTCGACACAATCCTGTCACGGAGCTCTACGGACAATTCCTTCGACCTCATGGCTTGGTTTTTGCTCTGACACGCAATATCAACAGTGGGACCTTATATAGACAGGTGTGTGCCTTTCCAAATAATGTCCAGTCAATTGAATTTACCACAGGTGGACTCCAATCAAGTTGTAGAAACAACTGATGGATGATCAATGGAAACAGGATGCACCTGAGCTCAATTTCGAGTCTCATAGCAAAGGGTCTGAATACTTCTGTAAATAAGCTATTTCTGTTTTTGAATGTTTATAAATTAGCAAAAATGTCTAAAAACCTGTTGCCGCTTTTTCATTATGGGGTATTGTGTGTAGATTAATGAGGATTTTTATTTATTTAATCCATTCTAGAGTAAGGCTGTAACGTATCAAAATGTGGGAAAAGTCAAGGGTTCTGAATACTTTCCAAATGCACTGTATACTGTAATATTAATATAACACATCCATGTTCCATCTGCAGATGTGCTCCAAACACGGGACAGACTTTCTGGAGTACAAATGCCGGTACTGCTGCTCGGTGGCCGTGTTCTTCTGCTTCGGCACCACTCACTTCTGTAACGCCTGCCATGATGACTTCCAGAGGATGACCAGCGTGCCCAAGGAGGAGCTGCCTCACTGTCCTGCAGGTACAGACTTACTGTGCAAAATGCATCATCATGGCAGTTTTTGCTCTGTACTGAAAGTGCTCCATCTTGAAGACTTGGCTGCTGACATCCACACTTTTTTGGGATTGTATTTAACAGTGAACAGAATTAACTAAATACTGAACAAAATACTAAAATATGAAATTCAAATAAAATCAACGTTTATTGATCGCGTACACAGTTTTGCAGATGTTATCGCAGTTGCAGCGAAATGCTTAAGTTTCTAGCTCCAACAATACAGCAATATCTAGCATTACAATAACAATAGGGAAATGGGATACCTAGTCAGTTGCACAATTGAAAGCATTCAACCAAAATGTGTCTTCCGCATTTAACCCAACCCCTCTGAATCAGAGAGGTGCGGGGGGCTGCCTTATTGGACGTCCACGTCATCGGCGCCTAGGGGAGCAGTTGTTGTTAACTGCTTGCTCAAGGGCAGAACGGCAGATTTTTCCACCTTAGCTGCTCGGGGATTCGAACCAGCAACCTTTCGGTTACTGGCCCAACGCTCTTAACCGCTAAGCTACCTGCATACACACATAACATTTAAAAAAGGACAAGAAATTAAGACATACTGTATCAAAACGAGCAATATCAGAACGAGTCCGGAATATAAATACATATACATTATATGTACAGTGCATTTGATTAAATAAATAAAAATCCTCATCAATCTACACACAATACCCCATAATGACAAAGCGAAAACAAGTTTGTAGAAATGTTTGCAAATATATTAAAAATAAAAACCTGGGGTTAAGCTGACCTGGGGGTACCTGACCTATCCACAGGGGGGTACTCATAAGAACGTTGGCTTTATGATCAGGGGGTTCTTCAGGCAGAGCAAAATAAGATTGGAGGTTCACAAAGAGGTGGAAAACCACTGGTTTACAACAGCGACCCGGGAAGCGTTACAGTGGAAAAGAGAAGGGATGAATGAGCCAATTGGTGGCAGGGGATGATTAGGTGGCTCCCTGTGAAGAAAATAAATAAATCTCCCTTTGAATCATTCAGACCAAGGGTCTGTTTCGAAGGTCTGTTAAAATAGTGATGACATTGTAATTCCAAGCTGATGTTGTTCGATGCTCTTTGACATACTGTAGTTCAGAGGTGCTGCTCAGTGCTTAGCTCAAGTCGTTGAGGGCTGCCACAGCGTCTGCTGATTTGACCCTGTTGGCAATATCATTGATTGGCCAGAGTCAGACCTCTGGCCTCCACATCTAAATCAGTGACTGGGAACCAACAGAGGTTCTTCAAATACAATGAATGGAATGACAAACAATTTCAAAGGGGCAAATTTTCACTTTGTCTCCCATTGACATCAATGCATGACTAAGGTGGAATCAAGCCAAACTCCTCATTGTTCTCCTTGCGTTCCCAGGTCCAAAAGGCAAGCAGTTGGAGGGGACGGAGTGCCCCTTGCACGTGGTTCACCCACCCACCGGCGAGGAGTTTGCCCTGGGCTGTGGAGTGTGCAGGAACGCCCACACGTTCTAAAAACAGCCAGGTCTGAAAACTGGGAGACACGTACCGAACACTCCTTCTTCTTCTGGGACTGCAGGCTGTTGGCTGCAGCCCGAGCCCAGCTTGTCAAGTATCTCCTCATGTTGGCTTTCATGTTGTCAGATGGCCCTGGACACTGGATCAGGCTTTCTACCGTACTCAAGAGTCCCGAGTTGTGCTCTTCTACCTACCAACCAGAGTCTTCGAGGATTATACAAAACATACAAAGAGAGTTGAGGCTGTCTATGTGGATTCCAGAGGAAACTCCCATGTAAAAAAATAAAAATAAATAAAAAAAAGTGTGACCTGTTTGCATGTGGCCGTTGTAACCCCTTGGCTTCCATAGACCTCCCGATCACTGAAGTGTAACAATGTATTGCATTTTTTTTTTTTTTTTTTTTTTTTTTTTTTTGCTGAAGGCAACTAGGATGAACTTGGATATATAAAAGAAAAAAGATGAGACAGGCTGTATTTCCAGCTTCCTAACTATGAATTCAAAATATTGTTGTATGTAAACAGACTTTTCGTAATCCTGTACAGTATTCTCTCCACTGTCGAGTGCATCATGGGTTGACAGACAAAAAAAACTAAAGAGAAGAATAATTCTGAGGTGGTGAAAAAGACTGTTAAGAATATGTTTTGGAGGAAAATAGTGTACAATTGATCTAATCTTGTATATAATGATGTATTCTGAAGTTGCTACTCTACACTTCAGTTTAGTTTGATATTCTGGGTTATGTTTTGAGCCAGAACTTTTAATGAAGTGCAGTACTGGGTGTGCCTCCTTTCTTGCAGCTGTTTATCCTATGGAATGTATGTCAATAAAAGCCACTGTACATTTTTATACAGCGATAAACAGTCGTATTCCCCCAATTCAAAATGTCAGATCACTTCTGTTCTCTGAAAATTATGAGGAGCCCAGCGTCTGCAGTGTATGAAGGTTGATTGCTGTGAACCCTTTTTTCTGCTCCACAATCGGAAAAGTAACGTGGTGGTACAAACCCTTTTTTCTGTAATTTGTTTTAACAACTCGGAAGGTGAGTATGCTATAGGCTACCATTCTATTGTAAATGACCGATAACTCAACGTGTTGGGGGGGCCAGTCTTCTTCATACCAAATATTAAAAATAATTGTGAATCCGTAATGCTTTTCCATCAGTAGGAGGCAGGGGGGACATGGGGGTCTGGGTATGGGGGTGTAAGAAAAAACAAACAGCTGCTGTTATAAAAGCGTATTACTTGTGAATCTGCTCTGTAATAGCTGTGGTGGATGGATTTGAATGGAAATAAACCAGGTTCTCTGTTTCGCAAGGTACATTTAAGAGGACTTGTGTGTTTATTTCACCTGGTTTTACCACACCAATGCAAGTAATTAAATAATTTAATATACAGTATCCTGCTGATACAGTCAACACCATATGTACAGTGAGGGAAAAAAGTATTTGATCCCCTGCTGATTTTGTACGTTTGCCCACTGACAAAGAAATGATCAGTCTATCATTTTAATGGTAGGTTTATTTGAACAGTGAGAGACAGAATAACAACAAAAAAATCCAGAAAAACGTATGTCAAAAATGTTATAAATTGATTTGCATTTTAATGAGGGAAATAAGTATTTGACCCCTCTGCAAAACATGACTTAGTACTTGGTGGCAAAACCCTTGTTGGCAATCACAGAGGTCAGACGTTTCTTGTAGTTGGCCACCAGGTTTGCACACATCTCAGGAGGGATTTTGTCCCACTCCTCTTTGCAGATCTTCTCCAAGTCATTAAGGTTTCGAGGCTGACGTTTGGCAACTCGAACCTTCAGCTCCCTCCACAGATTTTCTATGGGATTAAGGTCTGGAGACTGGCTAGGCCACTCCAGGACCTTAATGTGCTTCTTCTTGAGCCGCTCCTTTGTTGCCTTGGCCATGTGTTTTGGGTCATTGTCATGCTGGAATACCCATCCACGACCCATTTTCAATGCCCTGGCTGAGGGAAGGAGGTTCTCACCCAAGATTTGACGGTACATGGCCCTGTCCATCGTCCCTTTGATGCGGTGAAGTTGTCCTGTCCCCTTAGCAGAAAAACACCCCCAAAGCATAATGTTTGACGGTGGGGATGGTGTTCTTGGGGTCATAGGCAGCATTCCTCCTCCTCCAAACACGGCAAGTTGAGTTGATGCCAAAGAGCTAAATTTTGGTCTCATCTGACCACAACACTTTCACCCAGTTCTCCTCTGAATCATTCATATGTTCATTGGCAAACTTCAGACGGGCATGTATATGTGCTTTCTTGAGCAGGGGGACCATGCGGGCGCTGCAGAATTCCAGTCCTTCACGGCGTAGTGTGTTACCAATTGTTTTCTTGGTGACTATGTTCCCAGCTGCCTTGAAATCATTGACAAGATCCTCCCGTGTAGTTGTAGGGCTGATTACTCACCGTTCTCATGATCATTGCAACTCCACGAGGTGAGATCTTGCATGGAGCCCCAGGCCGAGGGAGATTGACAGTTATTTTGTGTTTCTTCCATTTTCGAATAATCGCACCAACTGTTGTCACCTTCTCACCAAGCTGCTTGGCGATGGTCTTGTAGCCCATTCCAGCCTTGTATAGGTCTACAATCTTGTCCCTGACATCCATGGAGAGCTCTTTGGTCTTGGCCATGGTGGAGAGTTTGGAATCTGATTGATTGATTGCTTCTGTGGACAGGTGTCTTTTATACAGGTAACAAACTGAGATTAGGAGCACTCCCTTTAAGAGTGTGCTCCTAATCTCAGCTCGTTACCTGTATAAAAGACACCTGGGAGCCAGAAATCTTTCTGATTGAGAGGGGGTCAAATACTTATTTCCCTCATTAAAATGCAAATCAATTTATAACATGCATTTTTCTGGATTTTTTTGTTGTTATTCTGTCTCTCACTGTTCAAATAAACCTACCATTAAAATTATAGACTGATCATTTCTTTGTCAGTGGGCAAACGTACAAAATCAGCAGGGGATCAAATACTTTTTTCCCTCACTGTATTTGGGAAGCCAAGCAAATTATTTTTTATTTGGATCTATACTCCAGCACTTTGAGATCAAATGTTTCATATGAGGCGACAGTACAGACCGTCTGTCACCTTTTATATGAGGGTATTTTCATTCATATCTGTAGGTAAAAGTTTAGTATTTGATCCCATATTCCTTGTACGCAATGACTAACTACATCAATTTGTAGTTTGTTTTGGTTCGCAGAGTACGACCTTACACAGAAAGCGGTACAGGTCCTAATCCAGGCACTTGTCATCTCCCGTCTGGATTACTGCAACTCGCTGTTGGCTGGGCTCCCTGCCTGTGCAATTAAACCCCTACAACTTATCCAGAACGCCACAGCCCGTCTGGTGTTCGACCTTCCCAAGTTCTCTCATGTCACCCCACTCCTCCGCACACTCCACTGGCTTCCAGTTGAGGCTCGCATCTACTACAAGACCATGGTGCTTGCCTACGGAGCTGTGAGGGGAACGGCACCTCCTTACCTTCAGGCTCTGATCAGACCCTACACCCAAAAGAGGGCACTACGTTCATCCACCTCTGGCCTGCTAGCTCCCCTACCTCTACAGAAGCACAGTTCCCGCTCAGCCCAGTCAAAGCTATTTGCTGCTCTGGCACCCCAATGGTGGAACAAGCTCCCCCAGTGACGGGAGTCACTGACCACCTTCCGGAGACACTTGAAACCCTACCTCTTTAAGGAATACCTGGAATAGTATAAAGTAATCCTTCTACCAACCCCCCCCTCCCCAACCCCCCCATAAAAAAAAAAAAAAAAAGGTTGTTGTCCCACTGGTTGAATGAAGTTGAATGCACCAATTTGTAAGTCGCTCTGGATAAGATGTAAATGTTGTGTTTTGGGTTATGTTTTGCCCAATAATAACTGAATGGTGAATGATGACTGGAGTAATTTCTTTCTGAGTAGTAACATGTTTTGGAACACTACACAATTAATCCTGATAATGCCATGATTAAGAATCGTGAATCATGAATAGTGGTGAGTGAGAAGATTAGAGGCTACAACAAAACATGCTAATCTCTCACTATTACCAAAAACAGGGGAGCTTAGCATTCTTTTTTTGGGGCGGGGGGTATTTGTGCCTCTGGAAGTGTTCAGAACCATTCCAATCATACTTACTTACAATTAAAGTGACTCCAAGACATTAGCCACCATTCAGTTCCTATTGTGCAAAAATAAAAGGTGACTGTACTGTTGCCTAATATGAAACATTCTATCTAAAATCCAAAATGCTGGCGTATAGAGACAAAAAAAAGCTTCACTAACCATTTTTCCATCCAACCTTTTTATGCAAGTAAAGTATGTTGGATAAAGACATGATCCGTATAATTTTAATGGTAGGTTTATTTGAACAGTGAGAGACAGAATAACAACAAAAACATCAAGAAAAACGCATGTCAAAAATGTTATAAATTGATTTGCATTTTAATGAGGGAAATACAGTGGGGAGAACAAGTATTTGATACACTGCCGATTTTGCAGGTTTTCCTACTTACAAAGCATGTAGAGGTCTGTAATTTTTATCATAGGTACACTTCAACTGTGAGAGACGGAATCTAAAACAAAAATCCAGAAAATCACATTGTATGATTTTTAAGTAATTAATTTGCTTTTTATTGCATGACATAAGTATTTGATACATCAGAAAAGCAGAACTTAATATTTGGTACAGAAACCTTTGTTTGCAATTACAGAGATCATACGTTTCCTGTAGGTCTTGACCAGTTTTGCACACACTGCAGCAGGGATTTTGGCCCACTACTCCTTACAGACCTTCTCCAGATCCTTCAGGTTTCGGGGCTGTTGCTGGACAATACGGACTTTCAGATCCCTCCAAAGATGTTCTATTGGGTTCAGGTCTGGAGACTGGCTAGGCCACTCCAGGACCTTGAGATGCTTCTTACAGAGCCACTCCTTAGTTGCCCTGGCTGTGTGTTTTGGGTCGTTGTCATGCTGGAAG